TCTCCTCTTCTCTTCTCGTCCTTTTATAATACATCTCTTCTCTTCTCTTCTCTTCTCGTCTTGTCTCGTCCTTTACATGTACATGTATAATGCTCATTTCGTATCTTGTTTTATCTCGTCTCCTCTTTCTTCTCTTATCTTACTTTTCCCTTATCTTGTCTTCTCTTCCTCTCTTCCTCTCTTCTCTTCTCCTTCCCTCTCTGCTCATCTTTTGTATTCTTGGGACTGTCTCGTATCGTGTTTTTTTTTGTCTTTGTTGGAACCTTGTAGTTGTTCGGCAACCCCGGTCACACCAAGCGATTTTCGCGTCGATCTTGACGATTTTCCGTGCGATTCCGTGTCGGCCGAAAAAATCGGCCTACTGGGAATAGAACCCCGGCACTGTTACCCGTACCCGGTAGATCTACCGGTACCATACCGTGCGTAGATTCTAGTCATTTACATTTCTGCCCAGAGCTACAAGTGGGCGGCTCGCTGTCATTTTCTACAGACTACACTGAGTCTCTGTGAGGATATGGGCAAAGTGGTGGCCGGCCGATGCGAATGTAGTCGAGATGTTGATCGGCTGCATCTATCGCCCGCCAGGTCAGTCCATTGACTACTGGGACAGTCTTGCTGCAGCTGTAGACTGCGCCGATTGCGAAGAGCTGTACTTGTTGGGAGACCTCAATGTGAACTTCCTGGACAAGCAATCAAGTACCTATAAAGCCCTATACCACACCATCCTCCTGCCCCTTAATCTCTCCAACTTAGTAAACGCCCCTACACGCATTACACGGCAAACCCAAACCTCACGAATTCGGAAGACGCCACAACCGCCTCAGTCTTTGACTGTGAATTCTCTGACCATCGCATCATCACAACCTCCGTGCCTATCACTTCCCTGCAGCCTGACACGCCAGACCACAAGCCAAGGCAGCCCAGTCGAGACTATAGTTCGTTCTGTATGCAGGAATTCCACAAGTTGCTGAAATCGGTATCCCTACACTCTTTTTCATCCACGAACCCCCACCAAATGGCCGCTGAGTGGGTGAAGAAGTTCAACTGTGCACTGGATGAACTCGCGCCAATTGTCTCACGAAGAGCGTGGAGGCCTACCTCTAAAGTAAGATGCCCTTTCATGACTGAGGAGCTACTGCACATGATACGACAACGCAAAAGTGCCTTCCGCCGATTAAAAGCCTCAGCTTTCCAAGATCCAGTTACTGCACTCCAATTCAGGCAACTGCGCACCCGATCCAACAACCTGTATCGCCAGCTCCGCAACAAATATTTTTCGGAGCTCTGTCAAGACTATGAACAATCTCCTCGGAAGTTCTGGTCGGCGATCAATGGCGTAACAAAACGTAAACCCGCTAAACCCAAAACCTCAGTCGAAGCAGAGACGCTGAATAGATATTTCCATTCAATCGTTCACGACCCCGATGCCTCCTACAACGTACCGCTCGGGCCGGTCTCCTCCACCGATTTGGAGTCGTTCGCATCTGTCACCATTGCGGAAGTAGAACTTCTTCTACTAGACCTGAAGCCCCGCAAAGCCCCGGGTCCAGACAATATACTGCCCTGTCTTGTGAAGTCTGCCGCTTACATTCTTGCCCCATCTCTAGCAATCCTGTTTAATGCCTCCTTTTCTTCTGGTATACTCCCGTCCACGTTCAAAGAAGCGAACATTTGCCCAGTGTTAAAGTCCCAACGCAGTGACAGATCAGACCCGTCCCAGTACCGACCCATATCCCTTAGTAGTGTCATTGCCAAAGCCCTGGAGAAAGTCGTTCTTAGACAGCTCCAGCAGCTATTTGACGACAAGTGCCCATACCATAAAGACCAGTATGGCTTCCGCCGCCATCACTCTACTGCCCAACTCGTCACCAAGGCTGTAAGCCAGTGGACTGCGAGCCGGGATACTGGACACACTACCATGATTGTGTTTTTAGACCTAAGTAAGGCATTCGATCGGGTGAACCACCAGTGCCTCCTCATTTCACTGCAAGCCAAGGGTATTGGAGGGACAGCACTAGCATGGTTCGCCTCATACCTGTATGATCGTCGGCAGAAAGTCACTCTGCCACATGCTACATCCAGAGTCCTCCCAGTTTCGCGTGGAGTCCCGCAAGGTACTGTTCTGGGTCCTGTACTCTTTAATGTCTATATAAGCCACCTCCCTACCATAGCGGATTCCTTCACCTGTTCCCTTCCCATGTTCGCAGATGATATGACCCTCTACCGAAGTGCCCCCTCACTCAAACTGTGTATTGCCTCCGTCATTCCCTGCTTGAATGTACTATGTGACGAGCTACAAAAGCTCCACATGATGATCAATGTTAAAAAGTCAGGTGTTATGATCATTTTCCCCGGCCGAAACCCCACGACGCACCCAAGTGTCATTAGCCTTCAAGGTGAGCCACTTAATTTTGTGACCGAAACTCGTCTCCTTGGTATCCAAGTTGACAACTGCCTGTCATTGACCAAGCATATCGATGTAATTGTTAGAAAAGTATCCCAGAAGGTGGGTGTCTTACGTCGCACCTTCCGGCAACTGAGCAAACTTGCACGCCGCCAGTACATCCTGTCTGTCGTTCTTCCTGACATTCTGTACTGCATCTGTTCCTTCGTCACACTCATTACTGCGAAGGATCACAATCGTCTAGTAAGCGTATACAATAGAGCTATCCGAGCGGCTTGTGGGGCTTCGAGCCGGGACAGTATTTCTGGTCTTCTGAAAAACCTTGATGTTAAAGGGGAAGTATACCCTAAAATCAAATTTTCACCAGTTGTAGTCTTCGGGGTGCTGAGTCGAATGGTCTTGGTCCGAGGAAGCTGAGACGCTCCCTTCCTACTTGAATCCCAATCGAACTCGCGCACTTCCACCGAAACTGGGTGACTGCGCCCTACTAGATGGGGATTTGTATGCAAAATGTCACTAAAAGCGCCATTTCGTTCTTATAAAAGCACGGATGACCGCGATTGGCCCATATGTTGTAGTCTTTTGGACGCTGAGTCGACTGGTTTTGGTTCGAAAAGGCTGCGATGCAGCGTTCCTCCTTTATTCCCAATCGAACATGGTTGAACAAGCGGTCACGTGCTCCTGCGTACACCAATCAGCTGGTCACCGTGCCTGCAGGGTACAACTTACTAGCCTGTTTGACCTTTTTTGGGTGCAGTCCTGTCACTCGAGTTGAACTCGAGTTGAACCTTGGTGTGAAAGTTCTCGCCTGCTGGCGCGGTGACCAGGTGATTTGGGCACCCAGGAGCACGTGACCGCTTGTTCAACCATGTTCGATTGGGAATAAAGGAGGAACGCTGCATCGCAGCCTTTTCGGACCAAAACCAGTCGACTCAGCGTCCAAAAGACTACAACATAATATGGGCCAATCGCGGTCATCCGTGCTTTTATAAGAACGAAATGGCGCTTTTAGTGACATTTTGCATACAAATCCCCATCTAGTAGGGCGCAGTCACCCAGTTTCGGTGGAAGTGCGCGAGTTCGATTGGGATTCAAGTAGGAAGGGAGCGTCGCAGCTTCCTCGGACCAAGACCATTCGACTCAGCACCCAGAAGACTACAACTGGTGAAAATTTGATTTTAGGGTATACTTCCCCTTTAAGCCCCTGGACTACTATTTCCTGGTGTCAACTGGGAAGTTCATTTTCATTAATCATATTCTTCGCCCTTTGCCTGTATTTACATCGTTATTCCCAGCCCCGCAATCTACCCGGAGCACGCGTAATCGCGACACACATGATATCCCTTATTTAAAATGCAGAACAACACTCGGTCAAAAATCCTTTGTGCTTCGTGCTGCTCTTTTTTTTAATGCTCTACCTAATGACTTGAAATCCTCTTTGTTTACCTCTCAGTTCGATCGTGGTTTTAAGCGCTTATTGGATGATCCAGTTTGGTTTGAACGATATCGTGCAATTTTGTTTGACAACGTTGGCAACGTTTAGTCTCTCACCAGCTACATGTACATGTATGTATTGCCCAGGTTCATTCAGCATACGTTTTTCTTCTTTTCTCTTTATGTTCACCACTCATCCCCCTTTTTTTCTAAACATTTGAACATTTACACTGATGTATGAACATATACACTGATGTTGACCAGCTGCACTGTTGAGCTTCCGATGTAAAACAAAATAATAATAAGGCCAAACTAAAGAAGGTGTGTGGTTCGACTCACCCGACCGACCGTACAATTTCAGCCCGACCGTAACTTTTTTTCGGCGGGCTGTCGTGTGACTGACGTACGTGGACTGAACACGTCCACGTCTACGTGCTGTGCGGCGTGAGTCTGCGGACGCAGGCGGCTCCTTTTGGACTTGACTTGTAGTTGTACTGCAGTGCAGTGCAGTGAGTGGTACGACTGCTGCCTTGTGCTGGTAGTAGAGTCTACTCGATACGCGTATACAAATTACCGTATACAGTGTATTTACATGTACTAAAAAATATATTAAAAAAAAAAAATCCGCCCGCCCGCCCGTAAAAAAAATGTCCATGTTAGTCGAACCACACACCTTCTTTAGTTTGGCCTAATAATAATAATGTACCGGTATTTGCTTGATATGTTAGCTAAACACGTCAGGTGATGCGGCGGCGAATCCGACTTTACTTTTTACACTGACAGTGACAGTCGACACTATACTAGTCTGTCCTACAAAATAATTATTCTAATTATTTACTACAATCATGTACATGTAGATGATCGCACGATTCGCAGGATAGTAATAATAGTACTACTACTAGTACTAGTCATGGTAGTGCCCGTGCCCAAAATGTGGGCTGCCTGGGCCATGTGTGGGCTGCCTGCACAGGCGCAGCTTTGTTGTAGCCAGCCCACATTTTTATTCTCTCTCATTTTTGCCTGACTGCAAGTATTATAATTCTACACTATCCTACACTACAGTCTACACCTGAAAAAGAACAATCATGTAGATCTACATGTCATGGGTTCAGCCGTTGTATCGGAATAGGTTGAGGGCTACGTGTCCTTCTGGTTCTGTATTTGTCAGAAGATTCTCGGACGGGCGCTCGCGCTAGTGGCAATGGCTTTGGGGACTCGTACTCTAGACTGGTTTTTCTTTGCCTCCTTTATTGTGCACATTGCCGTCACGGGAGTCAATGTCCTGCTGCTGATGCGTGTGTTCTTCAAGGGTGTGCTGCCGGAATCGGTATGTGACGCACTGGTACACTAGATATTATGTCACATGTGTATCTACTAAAATAATAAAATACAATACAATACAAAATCTACCGTAAAGTCGTGTATAAAGGCCGCGGCTTATTTGATTTTTTGGGGGAAATTTTGCTGGCCTCTATATGAGGCGGGCTTCTATACAAGACAGGTATATCTACAGGGCTGGCAACTGAAATCCGACCCCCTGAGCGGTGGGTTTACATTCTAGCGGTCTCTGTTTCGTAGCTTTATCATCACGTGTTGGGTCTTTGCGATGTGAGCGCACCGCTCAGGGGGTCGGATTTCAGTTCCCAGTACTGTATGTATGCCAACACTAAAACCAGGCTTATGTGCCGACAGTGTATCTTGAAAATCAGGATTTTATTCAAGACAGGCTCAGTTCTATATGAGACCGGCTTTAATACGGTATTATTATCCGCACGACCTTGCCAGTTGTGCTGATATTATAAAGCGCTCCGTTATTTTCACCCGAAATTCGACACTATTCCTGGCTCAATGGACCACACTTTCTCGTGTGGAAGGTTTGCATGCACAGTACATAATTATTCAGATGCCACCAACGCCTACCTAGCAAAGGTAATTGTTGGTCTTTGAAAATATGGCTGTGCCTAGTTTACTAGCCCCACTGAAATATAAAACGTTCAAAACCGCCAACAGATGCGCCAAAAGCACTGGACAAGCCGTTCCACGACAAGGCAACAAACACTGCTTTTTGAGTTGAATCTGATTGTCTGATCATTGAGTGTAACGGCATACCAACAGGGATGGAAAAGTCAGTCCGGTTGACTTTCACTCGAGCCGGGGAACATTTTTCTGTCCCTGCGGGAATTTGCGGAAAATTTCTCGAAAACTTGCGCAAGAAGTTGCGGCAGAGAACAACAAAAAATGCGGCGAAAAGTGCGGGAAGATGCGGAACTTGCCAGGAATTCGCGGAATTATTTGCAGAAAATTGCGGATTTGGACCAAATCATGAAATTTGTTGCATCCGTAGAATCTCAGTAGATCTACTCGATCGGGAGTAGTATGAGTCGTAGTGTGCAAATAACCTACATGATCATGGAAAGCACTGCGTGAAAAGTGCATAAAGCGGTACAAAAAAGTGCAGAAAACAACCAAAATGCGGGATATCGCGGATTTTGCCCAAATTGCGGGTTTGGGCTAAAACGCGAAATTTGTTGTATCTGTGGAATTGCGATTTCCTGGAGGGACGGATTATTTATCTTTTTTCCCCCTGAAATTGCAGCAGAAGTCTTCAAGTTAGTGCTTCAAATCCTATCATCAAACCAAGGAAGGCCACCTAGCTCGGGCGTGACGGCCTACCTGGACGTTGCTGTGGAGTTTTACCGTCTACATGCATGTGTGTGAGGGGAAGGGTGGTATACTTACGTTGCATGCGTGTGTGCACACGCCCGCATGCAACGTAAGTATACCACCCTACACCGGGCCGCGGGGACTGGCCAAGATACTACGAAACTGGCCACGGGCACAGTGGCTGGCACACGGTACCCGAGTACTTGTATGCCAAGTACATGTGCCTCGTGCTTGCAAGCACATTGTAGCACTGTACTCCAGCTTGATTCCGATTTCTTTGCCTAGTGCTGTATGTACAGGTTCCTGCACGAGTACGAGGGCAGTACCGCGGAATCCAGCCCGCGCCGCGATAGCAGCAAGGGCTGGATGAGCAGCGGTACTGACCGAGCCTGAGTGACTGGAATGTGTTTCCCGTATGCACCCAAGCCAAGGAGATCACTCACAATCTTTGACGTTTGAGTTTACATGAACCATTCTGTGACTCGAGTCCTGTATGAGGGTGTGACACTGTGTGAGCTGAGTGAGAGTGACTTCGACAACCGTACACGGACACAGTACATGACTTTTGCATGTACTTTCAGACCACAGAAGCTTGTCATTGAAATGGTAGACTCATGAGTGGATTCTGTCCACTGCCCGTCGCCAAGTGACGACGGGCAGTGGATTCCGTCCACTGCCCGTCGTCACTTGACGACGGGCAGTGGAACTAGTTCCATCACCATTCAGCAGTCAGGATCGCGCTGTCCAGCCCACGTAATTTGATCTGTCATTGGTCGACTCCAAGGCGACAGTCATGTGACATACGGGAACTGGTATTTCCCACAGTGAAAGGGGTGCAGAGGAGGCCAGTGTACAAAGAACTATCTGCGTCATGAAGAAAAATGTTAAAACTATGCCGACTGTCCAGGGCTGTCTTTGCTAGTATGACAGCTGTGACGGGCATCTCCTTGATACCAAGACAATTCTACTAAAACATCTCCTGTTTTTCTATTGATGTTCATGTGCTGCTGTTTCAGGTTGAAGAGTTCACGATATCGGGCGCAAAAGATGTGTTCGACCCGCTCGTCCCGCAGGAGAACCCACCCGTATGGTTCCTGGTGATCATCGTCAACGAGATCGTTTTCCACTTGCCGCTCTTCTTCCTGGCCGTGCTGGCTTTCTACAGTCAATCTGCTAGTGAGTCGAGAATCCTGAACATGATTGTACTGTGAGAATTTTGTGCAGCGATTTTCACACTGGTAGTCAGAGGAGTAGCCAGCGTTGGCCCAGCCAGGTATCAATCGGCTGGCTTTGGTTGCCATTGTTTGGTTTTCAGCCCAAGGCATCTAGTCAGTAATGCACTCCAGGAATCACATGGGTTGCATGTTCGGTGATAAGCAAAGAACTTGGACACATGTGTGTGTACAGGCGAATCCACACAAACCTACAAACAAATGCGTGTTCTTGATGAGTTTGAGGGAGTAAATGCACGATCGTGAAAAATTGCCGGTGGGGGACAAAAATGCAATAAAAGCACGGAAGAACCAAAAAGAAAAGAAAAAGGCATTGCCCTACGCAAACGAGGCCTCGCACATGTGTGATTTTAGTTGCCGCAACTTGCATGGCTGTACCTTGCAGGGAGTATACCCCCTACACACATGCTGCACCTTGCATGCGTTACACACGGCGTACACTGGCGTACGGCTGCCCAAAGCGTTATGTCTGCATCCTAATCATACTGATGATGTCTCAGGCAAACCTCCACCAGGATAACACCTTGTAAATGTAAAGCCAGGCTGTATTATTTTACTGACAGTAAGCATGTTTTAGTAGGGGTGAAACGATTAGTTCAAATATTCGAGTATTCGTTCGAAAATTTCAAACGAGCGAGTATTCGAAATTTTGTCAACAATATTGCCTAATGCTGGTCACGCTCACTGTTGCTGCCGCTCTTTTTCAGAATATAACTGGATCCGAATTCCGTGCATGCTGTATGCAGCGCAAGCACTCGCGAGTATACAACAGGTGATGGGCGAGGTGCTGTTGATCGACTACACTAACCAGGAGCTAGGGCCGAAAACGCCGGCACAACGGCGAGTCTGGCTTGGTATCAATCTACCGTTCCTGATAATGCCATTGCTGTTGTTAGTCCGTACCTCTTTGAGTACGCAAATGTGGTCTCCTAAAGTCAAGACACAATAACGTGCCAGTGAACTTTTTTTGTCCCGTAATGGGTTTATAGTTCAGAGAATTACGCTTCAGGAAAGAAATTTTCCCGTCGTCTGATACCGGCTGATAGTTCTTAATGCCGCCAAACCGAGCTGGACTCGGTGCTGTGAGGTGCTTACCTCTCTCCTATTTGTAATTCGGAACGTGTGCTGGGAAACATAGCTCAACAGACTCTCAGGCATACTCTCTACATGTGCATCGCTCTATACTCTGGAATATTGAGCATTCTATTTCAGCTGTATCGAATGGCTCTGCCTATTATTGGGGACCTGTGCTTAGTCACGACCAGCACACGGTACAGAGAAAACAGGTCTTTTAAAAAGGACAGGTGGTCCCTATAGATAGATCATGGTGTATAGTAAGGCATGGTGCGGAGCCCAGCTGAGATGATCGGTTCCGTGCAAGCGGTCTCTTACCACAGCAGTGTACGTGTACTGTGACGTTGTTCTAACTTACACCAGATCTAACTTTTGGCTTTATACAATTGTAGCCATGTCTTAGGTGCCTTGATGCCTCTAGGTTGATGACTTGACCTTGGGATTTTTCATTGATAAAGAGCTCGGCACAAGTTAGAAGCTACCAATGAACTGGCAGGCAGTCAACAACCTCACACGTTTTCTTCTATTATCTTGTTACTGTGGTGGACTGTTGCTCATGAATCATACTGCTATGTAGTATCCATTGGCCCGGGTCCCTTCTCCTATTCTCTTAAATTTTGAATTTTGAAGTTGGCTCGGTATCGTGCCAATTATTTTGATGCTCTAATGTATGCTGTTTTGGCTTGCATTTGGTTGATTTACAGTACATGTACATGTACGTCAAAGTGCGATGCTGTGTCCCTTTGTCCTGTCTGGTTTGCTTATTGGCCTCTCTCGTTCTTGCTCCTCTTTCTCATGCTGATCTCTTTGGACCGTGACACAATCTGCATGTTAGGATTCAATCAGTGGTGAGGGTACTGAACACAGAAGCCAGTTCCGAACATTTCTAGACATCGTTATTTTCCATCGGTTTGCTTGGGCACTCTCCAAGGCTTCTATGCCGAAGACGCGCAGTTCTGCCCCGTAGTAGGGTATAATTTTAAAACAAAAAACATTAACACACCTGAATTCATCCATTATCTGCTACCTCTGCCGGAGCGAAACAGCTGTCTGGAGAGTCTGCGATATCAAGTCTCAACCAATTTCCTCACTATGGATCGGTGGTGCAAGTGGAATGAGTTGGTCGAGAGTGCGTTTTGCAGTGGCAGTATGACTGATATTAATTTTACGAAATGGCCAAGTTTAATTAATAGTCGCTAATTCCTCTTCAGCCAAAGAATACACACGTGGCAATTGGGAGCAAATATATAAGGCCGTAAAAGATTGGGTAAAGTTACGTATGTTTCATGACTTCTGAAGATACTGCTAAAATATTAAATAAAAGTTGTCCAACTTGAACACAACTATTCTACAGTTAAAAATAAAATAAATAAAATAAAAACTATTCAAAACAATCAACCAATACCGTGAGTGAAATTCTGTAATACTATGATGTCTACATTGTATGTAGAGAGCATCGATTTTCACCTAATAGCCAAACAAAGTATCTACATGTACATGTATATCATTCTATAATGCAACTGGTGAGTAAATTTCTGTACCGCATTTTCCGGGTTAGAGACGCATCTTTTTTACACCAAAATCTGGCAAACCAATGATCACCCCTGCACCTCCATTACAACAAACACAAAACAGTGACACATGGCATTCACAAAGAATTGCAGCTTATACCATGGTCCTAATCTGACCCCAGAAAATGATGCAGTATAGTTTGTATAAGTATTCTCGACCAGAGAATAATAGTCTACACGATTAAATATCCTTTATAAAAAAAAAAATTTTTAACCCAGAAATGCTGACTGAAGGGAAGATCCGTAATAGAGGATGTTCGCAGAAGCATACTTCAACTATTCGTCAGAATGATAAATCACAAAGACAAAGCTGCTGGAACTCATTTCTGCACTGCAGTCTCTCGCAGTTTGTCACAGTGTAGTGGCCTACGTACAACGTTGTGGCAATGGAGAATCTGAAAGCATTCACCTACATGAAGCAAACAGTCAAGCCAGCTTACTTCCAGCTTTAAAGCCAGTTTTCTGCTCGTGCATGGGCTGTCAGACAGTGTTGCTCTAGGCAGCTTTGAAGATCTTCGGCCACAATTGCTGGCAAGACAAGACGCGGAACAACAACAGTACAGGGACAATCAGGAAGGGTAGGTATGCCACGAGAAGCCCAGAAACCTGAGCGGGCGTCTTCGGACCGATCTCTTCCTTAGAGTAGTCGATAAGAAGCATCTCGGCGAGAATGGGCAGAATGGCTGTGATCGCCTGTGTAGCATAGATGATGCATGGAATCCGCATCCAGTTATATCCTGCAGGGGACAGACAGGGGCAAGTGTGATGAAGTTTACCGCTTCTCAGTTTCCGGAATACCTAGTTTCACGTGTTGAACAATATAGTCTAAATCCGCTACTGCAGTTATTTTGTTTTAGTGCCTTTCCAGTGTTCTATTAGCACCCCTGGTTCTCAATCTATTGTTCTTCCTCTCCTTCGACTTTTAAAACATCTCAGATTCTGAGTTTTTTGCACTCCATACATAATTCTGGAAGTTCTGGAAGTTTATATTTTTTCGGGAGTCCGTCATTTTACCACTGCTCGGCAGTAGAACCCACGAGGATACTCACTGAGTGCGTTCGGTTTTGCCCTCGAATCGATATCGAATCCATTCATAAATCGCCCTTGGCTATTTACATCACCCCATGTGACTGAATAGGGTGGATGGATTCCGAACCGATTCCAGGGCTCATGAAATGAAAATCGAACGACTTGAATGCACCAGATTCCTACTTGTGTAATGGAAAGCACTCACTGGGTGACTGGTGGTAGAAAGCTGGCACTGCTATGATGAAGAATGGGACTTGGAAGAGCAGCTCCATGGCAACAACTGTCCTGAACCACATCGGGGCCACAGCCGGTGAGAGAAACGGCTCGCCATTCTCCAATGCCCAGCTCTTGGCATAGTCCACAAGCTAAAACAACACGGGCCGCGACAGTAGAATGCAACAGTGTTAGAACGACGCAAGACAATCGGAATGATTGACTATGAATGTACATGGCTGTACAAGCTTGACTCACACTTCTGGTCAAGAGCCGTGTAGCTCGTGAGTAGGGGGGGGGGGGGGGGGGGTTCTCGATCACCCAGAGCACCTCCCCCCCCCTGGGTACGCCATTGAATGTGGCCACAGCATGATGATGCCCAAGAACTAACGTACTGGCATACATGCATTTACATGCACACAATATGATTCACTTTCTCATCAAATACCCGGTTACGTGATATTTAAGTACCGCAGCTCTCCTATAACTAGACAGTAGTGCAAGGATACAGGAAATTCTACACCAACACTCAGTGAGTAAGGGCATGCTCACACTATGGCCAAAACATGCTTGTCAAAAGACTCGAAACCCACTGCGGCACCTTTCTTTGGCCTTTTCAGACTTTGTGTGAGGACGATTATCCATGACATTCCTGCGCAATGCTGTCGCTTGGACGCGAGCCTTTTTCCTAGTGTGAGCCCGTCCTTATCCGAACATCGAAGTCACAAGTTGGCCACTTCGGTCTTCCAGGCAAGTGTTTGGATGCATTGTAGTTGATACAGTATCATTTTCATCATTTTCATTAGTTTTTTAGGAGTGAAAGGGGTGATCCGGGTACCCGTTTGTTGAGCTGTTGTTGATTCGTTAGCAAATGAGTACCCGTTAGTCGTATACGATGGTACAGCATGGTATCATATTATTATTAGCTGGTTTGTACAGTCGTACAGTTGGATTATACAGTTTGAATGGGTTGTTGCTTGTTCGATCCTGCAACATATGACAATTTTGACCGTTTTGCATGTAGTGCAGTAAGTGCGCATTCTGCGCTTGTCGCGCTGTAGTGTACTCAGTACTCGATGTGTCGTATTATGAGTTCGCATGTCCTCCTCGCACGAAATGCGGAAGGCTATTCAAGCAGCTGTAAGTTAGCAGGAGGTTATGTGAATGATGTCATGGTTGGCCGGTGAGTATTAAGCGGAACCGCTCATGGGCGTTATGCATACAGCGCGAGTCGGTGGTTTCCATGGCTTCGCTCGTGCTATCGCATCGCCGCGTGTGACGCGACTGCCAAAGCATCTCTACTGATGATGTAAATGCGCAACCTCTATCCATGGCAGATCAAACAGCAAGGGCTGTGTGATGATGTGAATGCAGAGCATGGTGTGCATCACGTGTTACTTACCGGTTTAGGGTGAAAGTCGGTGGTGAAAATCTGCAAATCAATCAGCAGCGTAATGGGGATGTGCACCAGGAAGAAGATGCAGAAGAGCCAGTCCAAAGCACGCCAAACTAGCCCCATGGTCTTCGTTACTTTCTAACAATTTAGGTATCATGCACTTCAAGTGACTTGTTCACAGCAGGCCACTGCTTACAGTTTAGTAGCGTATTTTCAGTTTTATCAGAAAGACTCAATCGAATGATGGGACTCGGACTCTCGGAGATAAGCATTGCCGCGGTAGCAGCTACGTAACACGCTGTACTCAACGTTGGTACCGCTAGCGCCGCAACGGCGCAAGTCGTAGATACGAGTACCGCGTTGCCGTTGGTACATGGTACGAGTACGAGTACTATAGTAGCTGAGTTTATTTTCGTAAAAAAAAACAGAAAAATCCGTGACAACAGCCAGATTTGTGCATGTGATCGTGAGAGTACCACTGTAGCGTCGTCATCTTTTCCCAAGGAAGACACATCCATCAAATCGGTTCAGGTTGAAAGAGTTTTGAATCAATCTGCTGTATTGCCTTTACAGTTTACTCCTTTGTTGTTTGGTGGGGCAAGATGTGACCTGTGAGCAGAAGCAGGGACGGAACGTTTACAAAGACTGACTCCTGTGTTTGTAGTATTTGACAAAGTTTGGCAAAGTTGATTTGGACTGCGATTTGGAACTTGAATGACCATTAATTTTTGAAATTTCACCTTGTGCAGCTAGCTAGCTGATTGAGAACATTTATTCGCGAAGAACCATAGGTAGAGTGAAACAAACCCTTCCGTTCACAGAGCACTTAGGAAACATACCAATAAATACGTGCGGTGTTTCTGAGAAGAAACAGCAGCGAACTCTATCCTCGTGCTTGTGTTCTTGGCTTGAACGATGAGCATCACGTCTGATAAACGAAAAGGATTCAGTGAGCTGCTCTACCAGCTGGATAAGGGCAGCATTGAGGATGAATCTGAGTTTGAGGAAGCCTTCTTCGCTGAGCTGCGGGATGTTCGTGACTCGTGGCTGGTGGAGGGAGTGGTGGAGCACTTCATTCGCACGCAGTCCCAATACGCGCTGAAGCTGTTGCTGAGACTGCCAGACAGTAGCTCAACGGTGAGCGAAAGAGAGAGAGGGAGAGAGAGAGAGAGAGAGAGAGAGAGAGGGAGAGAGAGAGAGGGTGTGTGTGTGTGCATGTGCGTGTGTGTGCACGTGTATATGTATGTACATGTGGGCGGACAGTCGGGACACGCATACCGTAATTCCGCGCATATACGCCCACGGGCCTATATCCGGATATAAGCCCACCTCCGTTTATAAGCCCATGGGCTAATAAACAGACACAATTGCAACTCACGTGTCAAGTAGAATTTGTCACAAAATGGACTCTTCCTACCATGGCACAGCAGGTCAGTGCAGTTTACCAGTAGAGTATGGTAGACCCACTATGAGCACGGACTTATACTTTTTCGTGAACCTTCAAAATTCGAATATTGGCACATGGGCTACAAAAGCGAACATGTTTCACTGGATATTTTATTCCCAAACTGCATTATTTCACATATAAGCCCATGGGCTTATATGCGCGGAATTACGGTATTGTGTGTATGCAGTCCCGTAGGGCCACAGGAGGCATATGCACCCCCTAAATCGTTTCACCTTTTTCAGCATATGCATGTTTGGCCCAATTGGCATAGGGGTTGTAGTTTTGTGGCTCCTGCGAAGCCAGATTCACAGCTAAACATCGAAGAGATAAGGCGAAAGCAAACACTTGCCTATGAAGAACCTCTGTTTAGCTGGTATCCCAAGTGTCATGGTAAGAAGGCTCTTGTCATCAGACAACAATCTTGCCCTGTGCCCGTGGTATCACCACTCACGCCGATCACTCACGCCGATCTGTGTACTGTCTGTGTACTGTCCTGCTTTGTTGCTGTGTGTGTGTGTGTGTGCAGTGGTATGTGCAGTCGATTTCCAGTCGAGAGGTTGCGGGTTCAATTCCCGACGATTATGGTCGCACACGTCTTTCTTCTCTTTCTCGGTCTCTTCCTGACTTTTCTTTCATTCTCCTGGGTGGTTACCAACAGCCAGTGTATGCCGGAGTATGTGGTGTGGTGTGTGTGTGTGTAGAAAAAAAATGGAAAAATGAAAATAGGGATTCACTGGCCAGAAAAAGTCACTTCAATCAGCTGTGTGGTGGATACCAAGCTAAAAATAGTGGCGGTCAATTCATCAGCCTTGCAATCTGTTGAATGGTGTAATCCCAGCACAAGTTGCTATGTCTAACATAGCTGTTCGCTATCATCGCTTCCGCGATGGGCAGGTCTGAGGTCTGAGGTGTGTGTGCGTGTGTGTGCGTGTGTGCATGTGTGTGTGTGCGCACGTGGTGCTTGCAGAAGCTACTGGAGCGCTTGGACGTGGCGCTACACAGCGAGAAACGTCTCGTCGGCCTCTTCCTGCTTGGCATGCTGGTCAGCAACGATGTAAGTACTGTCTGTACCCAGGTTTCTGGAATACCGTGTTTTCCGGAGTATAAACCGCACTAGTTCAAACACTTGTGATTCACACCCCCCCCCAAAAAAAATCAATTCGGCTTATGCTACGATGGTCAAATGGATAGTGATGTACATGGTTGGGTAGTTGTCTGTGGTTCGTGACAAAAAAAATCTGGACGCGGCTTATACTCCAGTGCGGCATAGGGTGTTGCGGACACGACGGACTGCGGTCGAAACGATCCGTGATTTAATGATCTCCACCGTACATCATATTGCATTCGTATGGCTCAGGCTGCTTTTTGTCCGAAGTATCCATCCATCACGGAGACTCCCTCGATTTAGGCTATGGCCTGTCGAGAATCCGTAAATACAAATACAATACTAAATTACAATCGTCTGTAACATAACGGGTCAAGCGGGCAATCTTATTTACCATGTCGACACGACGTGTAACTTACGAATGAACACCTGGGTGTGAGTATAGACCTGGCGAGTAGGATGTGTGTGCGTATGTGTGTGTGTGTGCGTGCGTGCGCGTGCGTGCGTGTGTGTGTGTGTGTGTGTGTGTGTGTGTGTGTGTGTGTGTGTGTGTGTGTGTGTGCATGCATGTGTGCGCGTGTATGTGTGGGTGGGTGTGTGAGTGGCTTCTTTGTCCGGCTGTGGTGTTGTTTCCTATCCGTAGGTTCCCTGGATCCATCGCCTCATCAACGACCCTCTCTTTCTCTCCATTCTCGACTTGCTGGAGGTAAGTTTGTGGTTTCTCTGGCGGCTCTGGTCAGCCATTTTCACCAGAGGCAAGTTGTTGTTCATTTGGCAAAAATAACTTATTTCTCTCGTATCGACAATGTGATGTTATTCCAACTGATCGCTATCACAAGAAAACGTTCTTGGAAAAAAACTAATTTTTGACGTGATGTTTTTTTAGAATGAGTGCGTAGTTCATCCTTTCCATTGCTATAAAATAACTTATATTTTACTTTGTGGGTAAAGGCAGGAATATTTGCGAATGTTTGCCTTGTTGTCAATGTTGAGTCTTTTGGACACATTTGCTTCCAGGAAATACGAGGAGCCAAGGTTTTTGGAACTCTGTCTGCTTGTGGAGTGGGTTCTTGACCCTGAAAAACTTGTTTTAAGTATTTATCTGAGCAACAGCTTACATGTATGCCTTCACTTCCTTTTGGATTAAATTCGCAGGTCTTGACAGTTTCCCAACACCAGCAGCTCAATAATCCACACCTGTTCGTGTGTGTGTGTTTTTTTTGTCTTTTGTACTATTCTCTTCTTATCAGTTCGAAGAAGATTTGCCGGTCTTAATGGCAACGTTGGTGGTGGTGACGGTTGTACTGCCTTCGGTGCCTTCTGACATCCTTCCGTTTCTGGAGTCTCTGTTCCGAGTGTTCTGTCGCCTGGCGGAGTTCCTAACTAACAAATATGCAGGTAGGTGTGGGGAGAATGCAAACTGCGGTCTACCCGAATGCCGAGTGACTGTGCGGATGATTGTTGCTTTGTACAACGTTACATCTGATTGATGAGTGAGCTCGGGGTATGGATAGGTGATGGTGACGGCAGTGGGGGGGGGGGGGGGGGGGGGGTGATACTGGCGGTGCTGAGTCTGGTGGGGCTGTGGTGGCTCTCGGGTCAGAAGTTGTACAACCGTGCATTGTGCAATCATCAAGCAGCATTCTGTTCTTGACGTATATCTAGAAGCAACGTGGCACTTTGTTAATTTGTTGTGTGCACACTTGTGCTCACTACTCTCTGCTTCTCCAGGCAACATCCCCGACGTGCTGTTGCTGCAGCTGAAAGTGGGCATCCACGCGTACTTCCACCGTCTCTACACTATGTACCCGTGCAACCTCATCGCTTTCCTGCGCCTACGCTACTTCAAGCCATCACAGATGCCCGGCAGCGGAGGCCAGAGCAACATCGACTTCGAGGCCATCGTCGCGGTTAGTTCAGCACACGGCTTTACTACACGTGGGCCAACACTAAATAGGAGTTTCTGAGTATTTTGAAGATTAGCCAAATGATTGCTGAGTATTTGTGTGAACAAGGGTAAGCGGCAGCACTTTCCACTTGGTCCTTTTCGACCTTTTGCTAAGCCCTAATCTCCGCGCTTTAGTATTTGTGTGGATAAATCAAATTCTATGGTGCTTTCGTACATTATTACGCGGATATTTTTGTGGTGTTTTTTTGTGGAATGGTGTGCTGTTCTGCTTTTTCCTCTCGCAGCCGTTCATGAATCATCTGCGTATCCACCCGCACATTATCATCAGTAGTGCCGACGGTGAACGCTCGCAGGAGAAGTATGTCGCTTAGATACTCGTCATGACTATGTTCTAAGCTGTATCACCACTCCTCATAGCTGCATGTCGGCCATGGACACCCCCCCCCCCCCATACACACACACGCATGCACACACACGCATGCACACACACATGCACACACACATGCACACGCACACACACACGCACGCACACACACACACATACACACACACGCACAAGAATGTGCACATAGTCTTTGAATCATGATCACAATGAAGACAATGAAAGCCTCCTTTGTCCACTTTTTGCTTCGGGCTAGTTTTGTGCCGTTATTTCTCGATTGTGAACGGTTAAAGGGGAAGTTAAGGCAAAAATTAAAATTTCACCAGTTGTAGTCTTCGGGGTGCTGAGTCGAATGGTCTTGGTCCGAGAAAGCTGAGACGCTCCCTTCCTACTTGAATCCCAATCGAACTCGCGCACTTCCACCGAAACTGGGTGACTGCGCCCTACTAGATGGAGATTTGTCTGCAAAATGTCACTAAAAGCGCCATTTCGTTCTTATAAAAGCACGGATGACCGCGATTGGCCCATATGTTGTAGTCTTTTGGACGCTGAGTCGACTGGTTTTGGTCCGAAAAGGCTGCGATGCAGCGTTCCTCCTTTATTCCCAATCGAACATGGTTGAAGAAGCGGTCACGTGCTCCTGGGTGCCCAAATCACCTGGTCACCACGCCAGCAGGCGACAACTTTCACACCAAGGTTCAACTCGAGTTCAACTCGAGTGACAGGACTGCACCCAAAAAAGGTCAAACAGGCTAGTAAGTTGTACCCTGCAGGCACGGTGACCAGGTGACTGGTGTACGCAGGAGCACGTGACCGCTTGTTCAACCATGTTCGATTGGGAATAAAGGAGGAACGCTGCATCGCAGCCTTTTCGGACCAAAACCAATCGACTCAGCGTCCAAAAGACTACAACATATGGGCCAATCGCGGTCATCCGTGCTTTTATAAGAACGAAATGGCGCTTTTAATGACATTTTGCATACAAATCCCCATCTAGTAGGGCGCAGTCACCTAGTTTCGGTGGAAGTGCGCGAGTTCGATTGGGATTCAAGTAGGAAGGGAGCGTCTCAGCTTCCTCGGACCACGACCATTCGACTCAGCACCCCGAAGACTACAACTGGTGAAATTTTAATTTTTGCCTTAACTTCCCCTTTAATGTTTTTCCTTTTTCATCCGGGACCCTAATACTGAAGGAAAAATAAGTCACTATGTTTTGCTAGTATGAGTGCAATGTAGCTAAACGTCTTTTTGTTTAAACTCCGTGTTTTGACGTTGACAGTTGGCGCCGTCATGAGCCTCACGATATCCTGGTGAGCTGCGAGAAACTGGCGACGACACCGAAGGAGATCGACGCCTGGGTGACGGACTACCTCGGCTACCTGGGTCACGTGATGACGTTCGGCGCTGGCGACGGCGTGGCAACCTCTGCCGCTGCCACCAGTGCTGTCTCCACCGCCGCCGGTGGTGGTGGTGGTCCCGCCATGAGCGGACGTGGCAGCAGCTCCGCGGAGTACACCCATCCGGCCGCCAGTGTGGCCGCGTCCCGCCGCCTCGCCCTGCACCGCCTCAGCTACCTGTCTCGTCACAACATCACGGAGGCGACGACGACGACAACGAGCACTCAGGTGAACAGTTCGCGGTCAACCGACACGGCCACCGCTGAGCCGCCAGTGCGGCGCCACACGTTCAGCTCCGACGTCCTGGCAGAGTCCACAGAGACCATGGTATGATGACGCTAGCTTTGTTTTTCTTGTTGTTGTAGTTGTTCTTGTTGTAGTTGTTGTTGTGTGTGCGCGTGCGTGTGTGGAGTCGAGAGGATGGTCACGTTTTGGTAGACGGGTTGGCAGAAGTGGTAGGAATGCGAATCGTGATTGTGTTGTGGAGTAATCTACATTGAAGCCCACGCGTTGCAATGGTTGTTGGGGTTGAATTCCAGATCCGTTGCATGGGAACGAAGAGATAACATGCAGGGCCTTCAATTTTATGTTCAGAGAAAGCACTATTTACCTGTTTTGGGGAGGATGTGGAATGGCTTGGTAAGCCACGTCGTGGAATCCAACCAAAGCGGTGTCAAGTACGGCTTTCGTTAGGCATACGGAGTGGACGTCTGGGTGGTCCACCGTGCAGTGTGGCTTTCGTTAGGCATACAGAGTGGACGTCTGGGTGGTCCACCGTGCAGTGTGTTTCCATCTCCGTTTCACAACTGCATAATGGGCAAAGCTGATGTGGATCACTCAGGTCTGAAAGCTTCCCCCGCGCATACGGGCCATTTTCTGGCAGCAGCAACTTTCTTTCGCTGTGCCCACTGGGCAGCACCTTCCGCATTTGCTCCACTCGGTGTTGCCCGCGCGACTCTCAAACGAAAGACGTTGTAACTCGTCATCTGTATCCTCGTCTGGTGACTCATCGTCGCCAGATGAGTCCCTTTCTTCCGCAGTCCTTCTGGGATTGAAGCGATAGGGCTTGATGGTGTCATCGACGGGCAAAGGTAGTGTACTACAGGTTTCGCCACAAGGACTTATGCTGCTCCCCAAAGGAGATGGTCAAGACTATTTACCTTCTGGCTCACGAATATAAATATCCTCACGGAATATGTCAAAAATTGAATCTGTTTACCTGGGCGTGCAGCTACACGTGTTTCTCTCCTTTTCTGGCGTTCTCCTTGTGTACAACGTACACATCAGCGCAGCTCTGCTGTCTGAGTTCACAAGGCACACATGCACCGTATATTTTACAGCACACGGGTGTAACAGAAGGCATACTAGCTCCACTCGACACTACAAATCAAACTCACTCTTTCTGGATTAACAGCTTCATATTTTCAGAATAAAATGTAGGGAGTCGTATTCAACTCCCTGCTGTATTCGGAGTACGGTGTAAGAGGTAGAATAAGGATGTGTAGTTGTGTAGTTGGATGGCAAATGAAGTGTGTTCCTAAAGGTGGATCGTGCGTAGAGTACTGCTCATGATACATGAATAGTAATAATTAATTTGGGGATCACCATACAGAGCATGCGGAAGGAGTGTAAATAATTATGACGAAATGAGAATGGAAAGCCAACGGGAATGTGAGAAGTAGTCTCTAAGACCATTCCCGTCACAACGGGCTTGACTTCGTTCTTGACGACGAATGTTCGCGTAGAGGTCAAGTCCAGCGTGGTGTCATGCTGTACTTCGGGTCAATTTTGAGCACCTTCAATTCCAGCTTTCACCCACTTCCGATCATCGCAGAGAAAAATAAAGTTCACCATCGTGATCAGGAGTCAAAAGACTTCCAGATAAGACGAGGGTAATTTTTGGGTACAGTTCCCGTACTGCAGGGTGCCGAAGAACGATCAGGCTAGGATTTCACCAAGCACAGCATACCAATGTATACACGGTGACTCAACTGTGCATAGACTGTAGTTCATGAAAATTTGAACGACCTAGGCCAGGATGCTGACCCCCCCAGTTTTCGGCACCCGGCAGTGTTGCAGGCTATGACCTTCATGACTCACAATCACACGACAGGTAACTAGCTTTTTTTAGGTTTTCAAATTTTCAATATAAAAGTAAACCTAGCCGGTTTCGTACAAGTAGTACATCTTCAGAGGTCAGAACTGATGAATAACTTAGAGGATATCCTCTCCTTATAAGCTGTGAAAAGGCACAATATTTGCTAAGGGCATGGTAGGTAAACCGTAGCATGTAATGCGTATAAGGGTTCACTGCGTAATTATAAGGATAATTGCATCATGCAACTCAGCGTAGTGAGGAAGTTTTGGTTGGAACAGAAATTTCTGTTTTCCCAAACCGACTTCTCGAGACCTCTGTCTGCCATATCCGCTAGCTTTAATATCCAGTGGCAGGGAGTCTGATGATTAAGAAATAACCACCCGAGCGTTTAATAAGTTGAGACGCTCGATAAACAACTCCTTTAGGCCCTCTTCAGACTAGGTACAAAACAGCCTATAAGTCACATTTATATAGAAGTTTCCAAGACAACAACAAGAATCTGGCGGGAAGCCTAAAAAGCTGCCCAATCCTTTCAGGCGAGGTGCCAACCCTTGTACAAGGCAACTTTCCTGCATTTATCGTACTTTCACCAGGCAGTTGTACGAACTTTGTACCCGGGTACGACTGTCCGCTGCTTTCACACATCCCAGGCCCCTTGCGCAATTATTTCGTAGGGTCAAAGGTTGCCTGTATACATGTAAAATGTGTAGTCTGAATGCAGGCAGGGAAAAATGTTGCCTTTTAGGTTTTATGTGATTTTGTACTGGATTTTCTATGTACGTAGTCTGATGAGGGCCTTAAGACCTCTGCAACCATGATGAGGTCGCCAAGGAGTTGCTGCATACGCCAAAGCAGTTGCGAGTGCTTTTGATCACCCAACTCCTCCTTGGTGAGCAGTTGTTGAAGGCGCCGTTTTGGGAAAGACTGGGTTCATCGAACCAACTTCCTCTTCAAAGTATCACAATGAGTGGTCGACGGTGTTTCTCACAAACACCTCCAAGGAGGGAAGAGAAAAGAAGACAAAGTTAGACCCCCAGGACTGGGCCAAAAGTGGCTAGAAAGCCTACTGAAAATACGCATCACAGAAAAGGTACTTCAGTACAACTACCGTACGGCCGAGCTGTCAGCATGCCAGCTGTGCGCACAAACTAAAATTCCACGAGTCAAAACCGGAAAAGGTGTGTGAAAAGAAAAGAAATGTGTATACAGTAGAATCTAGTAGTATTTTTTAAAGCTTCAGAAAGTTGAAACGGGAAAAGTCTGAAGAAAAATTTGACCGACACCCGCAGCACTCGAACCAGGGACCTTCGCTCATGGCCAGTCATGCTCTACCACTAGTCACGGTGCAGGCCATCATCCAAGTCATCCGGCCGTTCAACTTTTCCTTCAGGGTTCATAATTGAATGGCTCCAATTCAAAATGCGATAAAGACCAAACAGGAGCTTTTGCGTTTTTGTCACGAAAGAATTCGTTTTCACCCCACAGACGTCTGTGTGTCGGTTGTACGGGTCAAAACGCGATATATCCCAGTCAAAATGATGCCTGAAGTTTGCGTTCTTCTGCAAAACGCGATAAAAGTCACTAATGTTGCAGTGCAGACCAAAAATGAAAAAAAAATGAAAAATGCGCTTCCTGAAATTTCCACAAAATGGATTTATCTCGTTTTGAATTGGAGCCCTTCGTATAAGCAGTCGACTCCACTGATAGCGAACTCGTAGATAGCGAATTTCATGATATAGCGAGCCATTGTCCATGTCTCTGTTTGATCCCATACGAAATTGACCCTTTGTGACAAACTGTTTGTGTTTACTGTAAGAACTCAGATGTTGAGCCAAGTAAAAAATTGTAGCGTGGAAAACGCGGGCACAAGTTTACTGTAAGACCAGTTTTATAAACGAACATTCGAAAATCTCTCTCCCTCTCATGCTCTGTGTGTGTGTGTGTGTGTGTGTGTGTGTGTGCGCGCGCACGCGCGCACATGTGTGTGTTCGCAGGGTTCACCCTGCACGCCGCTATTGAATGAGGAAGTACAGTCGTTGTCGGCATCAGTCAGTACGGCTACTGGTCACCATGCTGCACTGGTCTCGTCTGGTGGTACTCTGACTGACTCTATGAATGCAGCCGATGCCAAGAAATCATCCAAGCTGGATTGCTTGTAAGTGTAGGGACTATCCCCAGCGCATCGTTCTTTGCCCACTCGGCTTTGGCGTGTATGGTGAGAGGAAGACGCATAGGTGTGGCACACGTGCCGTGCATGTACACCCACACGCACACACGCGCACATACGCGCGCACACACACACACACACACACACACACGTACCGTAGTTCCGCGCATATAAGCCCATGGGCTAATATATGAAATAATGCATTTTCCGGGAAAATAAATCAGTAATAATGGTTCGTTTTTTAGCCCTGGGCCTATATTCGAATTTTGAAGGCAGCTGGCACGCGAAAAAGTACAAGTCCATGCGCGTTTGTCCGCCTACCATAGGTACCGGTACTGGTAATGTAGTCTGCACTGACATGCTGTACTACGGTGTTTGGGTCTGTTTATTAGCCCATGGGCCTATAAACGGAGGTGGGCTTATATCCGGATATAGGCCCATGGGCTTATATGCGCGGAACTACGGTATACACACGTACACACACACACACACACACTCTCTCTCTCTCTCTCTGTCTCTGTCTTTTTTTCTTTATCTCTCTCTCTGTCTCTGTCTTTCTTTCTTTATCTCTCTCTCTGTCTCTCTCTCTCTATCTATCTATCTATCTCGCCGCGCACGCACACACATACGTCATACACACATATGCACACACATACACACATACACGCACACACACACACACACACACACACACACACACACACACACACACACGTGCACACGTGCACACACACACACACACACACACACACACACACACACACACACACACACACACAGCCACAGTTAAACTACAGCAACTCCAGCTCCTGTAACCACATGCACCGCTTGGGTCTACCCTAGAATGTACAATCTAGACTTGTCTATTTGCTCTGTTCAAGATATTCATTGATATAGATCTTAGATGGCTGTGTATCTTTTCCGATCCTGTTTGCAGGCCTCCACCGGCTAGTGATACTAGTGGTGTGTGGAGTCCGTCTAATGTCGTTGGATTAGCAACTCCACCGTCCTCTTTGCCGTCTGAAGGTTAGACACTGAATGTCTGATGTTTGACTATCTGGGCTGACCTAACTGCAACGTTTTTGTTTGTTTGTTTTTTTTTGTTTTTTTTCGTGTGTTCGTATGTACAGTGAAACCTGGTTAGGAAGAACACTGATAAGACAAATGTTTGCTTAACTAAGAAGAACTAGTATTCGTAACTCCATTGGATAAACCACTGTGTATTCGCTGGGTATAACACGGATAAAAAGAACTCCCGTTATTGCGAACAAATATCATCGGTCCCTTGGTGTTCGTCCTAAAGAGGTTTGACTGTCTTCGTACCTATTCGTACCTGTGTATGTATGCGTATGTGCTTACATATTCGGGTCTTTGTGCGCGTGGTTCAATCTCACCTAGCATGTGTGTGTGTGTATGTGTGTAGCTACTATCCCAACGCTTTAATGAACTGTTGCATGATGACGTCTTGTGACTCTCTTGTTTCGTTCTTCAGGTATTGATCCACGAGCGAGGCAGCGATCAGTTTCAGATGTCAAGGTACGCCCATCGTTTCGCATTCCTTTGCATGTACAGTAAAACATGCCCTAACCGGACGCCCTTGGTGCAGCGGAATCTGTCCTGATATGACAGGACTACGCTTGATCCAGGGATGCACGTTCGATCCACAGCACTTTTGGTGCATGAACATTTGTCTGGTGAATTCTGGATTCCGCTTGTTACAGGTTTTATTGTACAGTGCAATACGCATGGGAGAATAGGGACGATGGTATGCACCAATATGCTGGAGTTATACCCCTATCTGTACAATACTCCCACTAACTTACCACCAGTGAAAGGCAGTGGCAATGTTTGACAAGCAGATCCTTGCTCTCCTTGTCTCGTCATCCTTCCGTAAAACCCTGGTGATAGGAGCTGTGCAGCGCTGCTCGAATCTGTGTATGGTAGAATCTGGTTTAGTGATCAATTGATTCCTCTCAGTCTATCTCTCTCTCTCTCTCTCTCTCTCTCTCTCTCTCTCTCTCTCTCTCTCTCTCTCTCTCTCTCTCTCTCTCTCTCTCTCTCTCTCTGTGCCTATTGATCTGCTTGTCCGTCTGCAGCACGACAAAAAGCGGCACCACGACAGAAGAGGCCTGGAGGACTCGGACAGTCGGGGGAAGGGCCAGAAGAGCTTCTTGTCCTTTGTCGGCAATCTGCTGGGCATGATGAAGACGAGGGATGGCGGCCACTCGCCAGAGCCTAATGAGCAGCAGGAGCAACGCCGGGTCAGGCACGACAGTCTGGACAGTCCATCGGCCGTGCTGGACGATAGCAGAACTAGTCAGCCCGGCCATGCCACCCGGGACGATCTAGCTACACTGTCGCCGTGCAAGGAGGGTGCGTCCGGTACCAGCATTGCCGATTTGCCGCAGTTGCCCGGTGCTGCGAGGAGCGCATTTGCCGCCGCTGGCAAAGCCCAGGACGACATTCAAGGCACTCCTCTCTTGTGTAGATCGGTTTCAGACAGCTTCCAGCGACATGACTCCGTCACGCCTACACCGGCATCACTAGGCGAAGCAGCTGGCGTCGGCGACCGGCAGGAAGGTGACGAGAAGTCGGAAAGCGTGGCTGAAGCAGCTTTCGAGCCGTTCACGCACACAACTGCGATGGCGACGGCATTGTCCACGCAAGCTCAGCGCATCAGTTCGCCCAAGATGAAGTTCTCCACGGGCTCTGAAGTCGGCGAGGTGCCACTCAATCCTAAGGGTCGTCACCACAGTTACCATGCTGGTTGGTCAGCTCTCAGCTTCGTGGACTGTTCATTGATGGAGAAGTTTGACGAAGCTTTGAAAGTATGTGGCAAGTGTGATTTTGTTGCCATTCGTTCTCTTCCATTACGGTTTGTCTTTGCGTAGCGTAGATATTGTAATTTCTGTAGTATCTTCTTTGCCAGTCGGCCTTTTCCGGCCGCTATGCTCCGAGGCATGCTTGGGGCAAACGAACACCTGTTCTGTTGTGTGTGTGCGTGTGTGTGTGTGTGTGTGTGTGTGTGTGTGTGTGTGTGTGTGTGTATATGTGCATGTGTGTGCTGTTTGGTGTTTCCTTGACAACAGGACGAGGGAGAGGAAGGTGACGAGAGTGACATTCTCTGTGGTGGTCCAGTTCGCTGGACTGACAGCATGGATAGTACGGGCAACTCCACCAAGGAGTCGCTCTCCGAGTGGACCAGTGCACGATCATTGCTGCAGGCATCGTCATCGTCTTGCAGCTCCTCGTTCAGCCCAACGTCGAGTTTCCTTTCCTGCTTGACGTCACGCTCTGAGCAGTTTGCAGCTGGTACGGCGGTCAATGTAGCTGTGCCTCTCGACGTGCTGCGATCGAGTACCAGCACTGAGGGTGGGTCCTCCGTTTCACGCTCGTGGCCATCCAAGCGTGGCAACATGACGGCCGCTCTCAGTACAGACACCTACTATCAGCAGGCGAAACCAGCCGTTGTGCCGATGACACAAGTACTGGTGCGCAGCGAGAATGCTAGCTCCTGGCCTAGCTTACCAGCCGGTATGCACCATCCTGGTGAGAAAAAATGCCAGGTGTAGTGGCCGGAGCTGTGTGCGAGCATGTGTGTGTGTGTGCACGTGTGTGTGTGTGTGTGTGTATGTGTGTGTATGTGTGTGTGTGTGTGTGTGTGTGTGTGTGTGTGTGTGTGTGTGTGTGTGTGTGTGTGTGTGTGTGTGTGTGTGTGTGTGTGTGCGTGTGTGTGTGAGCGTGCGCACCCTTGTGCATAGGTGTTGGCAGACCACTCTGCCACTATATGTGGGTTCGTGAATGCTAATGGCTGTCAACTGTTGTTTGCTGGCCATGTGAATGATCAAATCGTATTGATTTGAATGGTGTTAATTTGATGTGAACAGTCAGGGAAGTGAACTGCGAAGGAAGCGAAAAAATGCCAGGACACGAACCTGGAGCCTTGTATTCGTTTTGGATGGATGGTATTGATTTTTCTGCTCTGTTACTCCTGCTCCAGGTCATGACCACCATGTGCTGTCGTCACTGGACGGCTCCAGCGTCACCTCTGATAACACCTGCGTGGCCAGTGCATCGTCTGGCACCTGCTGCTTCACTGCGCTGCCCAGCAGCAGCACGCTGCGCTGTGGCCCGTGCCCCGTGCACTCTGCGGCGGCCGCGATGCGTCGCGACATGAAGGCGGCGCAACTCAGCTCGCAGTCGAGCACCACAGTTGGCGGTGGTGTGTCGCGGTCGACGAGCAACTGCATGCTTCTCTCCACGGGGACTCATCTACCCCGTGCCCTGCCAGCTACCGTTCCGCAGACCATGGCAAGCAGCGCCAGTGGTTCAAGCACCGTGTCACTGTGCCAGGATGAGTCGGCGCACAGACGTCCGGCAAGTGACGCGTCGCCCACTGCTCGCTCGCCGTCGTCGTTGCTGGCAGCGGTGGCGGCGCGAGGTCATCACGACCTGGTGGAGCCGTGCTCGCACGCCAGCTGCTGTCACACGCGCTCTGCGCCTATGGCCATGCTGGACGTGGTGGATGACCACATGGTGCTGGGTGCTGCGCTGCACAACAGCTCTGCCAGCGACCTGCCCGTCTCCTACCAGCCGGGCTGCGATTGGTCGCATTATGGCGGTGAGGGAACTTTATCTAACTGATCTGTCTCTGTCCTGATGGGCATTACTTGACAGTGTACAAACTACAAACCGCTTTTCTCACTCAGTATTGTAGGGGTTTTCACACTCCCCAGCTCTTTGCCTGACCTCATTCACTGCACCAGCAACACGACTCCAAGTTGCCGTAGACATTGGCATGGATTCTCCCATGCAGCCGTTCCAGTCATGCAGGTCTCATTAGTGAAGGTCGTGGGAATACGGAATGTTGTATTTTCTTTGGCATGTGGTTGTTGTAGTGCTGTACAGCAATATAGCTCAGCCCTTCCTTTTTTCAGGAGACTTTTCATTACATTACATTGGAGACTGGGTATGCTTGTAGCAACACTCCTTGGGGAGATAAAAGGAAGAAAAGTCACTTTCGTATCTATAAATAAAATAAAATAAATTCGACGGACCAAGAAACTACAAGTTACGCTATAATGTCCACCGAGTCCACTTTTTTATCGGTCACCAAACTGAATTTTTGGATAGGACTTGCCGCTTGACTGGGGGCAACAGCGATTTGTCGTACAACTCACTCCGTTACGCTGTCCTATCTCCACGGTACATGTATTATTACTGCTGACGCTGGTGCATACAGTGAGCGTGAAGTCTCAGCGAGTGCGTTCGATTATGCCCGCAAATCGATGTTGAATCCGTTCATGAATCGCCCCTGGCTATTCACATCACCCCACGTGCACATCACCCCGTGTGAATAGGGTGAATGGATTCCGAACTGATTCCAGGGCTCATGACATGAAATCGAACGACGAGATTCAATTCATGAATCGATTCGTGGCACTAATCAAACGCAACCCAGTGTGTGTTGTGCAGCTGTGCTTCATCATCATGCATCTCCCGGACAGATGTGAGTAGTCTTCGGCATTTTCATGCATGACTTGTTTATTTTGGCCATTTCTGTGCACCTCAGAATCCCCTCACTCGGACGAAATTGCTATACTCCAGTCCAAGGTTCTGATGCTCCAGAGCCAGCTACTCCTGGAGCGTCATCAGCGTTTGCAGCATGCGCAGCGTCACCGCGAGATGCAGTCCAAGTTGTTCATGGTGCATGCCGTGGAGGAAGAGCTGCATGCCGTGGTAAGCCGGAGGGCGCTGACGTGGGTTCATCTGTGTGTGTGTGTGGGTGGGGGAGGGGTGCGTGGTTGTGTGTATGTGTTATGTGTGTGTGTGTGTGTGCAATGCTGTGCATGCATGTGTGTGTGTTGGGGGGGGGGGGGGGGTGCGTGGTCATATGTGTGTGGACGCACGTTTGTGGGTGGGTGCGCGCGTGCACGTGCGTACATGCGTGGAGTGTGCGCATTGTTGTTTTATTCGTTTGTTTAGGCTGAAACCTCTCTCCTTCTCTTTCACTTGTGCTTATAGAAAGACCAGCTACGGTTACAAGAGGAGGAGGTCCTGAAGTTGATGCAGACAGTGGAGCAGCGCCGAAGGGAAAATCGGTGAGTGTACCAGGGTATGCAAAGCTCCGGGAAACTCATCCAGGCTAGGCGTGAGGAATGGGTGATTTATGTTCGTATCATTTTTTTAAGCAGACATGAACGAGGGCAAGCTGCAGTTTTTTTATATTTTTGTTTTATTTATTCATTTATTTTTTACGAACGACACAATCCCTACGATCAGATAGAGAAAGGAAAAAAAGCACAAAGAAAGAGAAGAAAGGGCAACGACGAACAGCTATCTGTCGGGGCTGCTAAACTAGCAGCAGTGCAGGTGAGCGTAGTGGGCTCCCCCGACCCGTATTCTGCTTGTTTTCTTAGAGGATATTGAGAACTAGGAGCAGTGCTCTCGGTCTTCGTGTCCGTTCACAGCATGCGCCCTCTATGATTGCTCAGTTGGCACACTCTTTCTCACCTAATCTGAACCTGCTGGTCTCTTTCACTGCTATTTAGGGATCTGGTCGCCACTCATCATCGTCGAGAGAAAGTTCTGCACAACAATATCCGGTATGCTGTGTTCTATCGCTCGTGATGTTGTGTGTGTGTGTGTGTGTGTGTTTGTGTGTGTGTGTGTGTGTGTGTGTGTTTGTGTGTGTGTGTGTGTTTGTGTGTGTGTGTGTGTGTGTGTGTGAAAAAAATTTCGCGGAGAGGAAGCAGATTTGTTAGCTCCTGGTTTTCTCTTTGTTGGCCTCCTCCACGGGGCGGCCTTGGCCTTCTGGTCAGGGTCGTCCCTGGGTATTGAGTGGCAGTAGGCTTTTCATGCCTTGCAGCCGGTTTCGCTCGCGCGGAAGGACATTCAGTGAGCTGACGACCAGGGCGGGTAATTATTTGTTGCCGTCACCGTCTTCTTGCGTCCTTTCCGCATCCTCCGCAGTGGCGTGGCGAGCCCTCGGATCGATCCCCAGCCTGAAACAATGCAGTGGCGTTCGGCAAAGCAAGTGGATTCCTGGATGAGAAAGGAAACAGGCCACACTCGCAGCAATTTATTCCTGCGCGGTGTATCGCTGGAATTGTGGATTTGTCGTGTTGTTTGGACCTGAGTGGCCAGTCGTCGTGCGGCGATGGTGTAGTGATGTTAGCTTCCTGTGCACACTCCTCGTCGTTTCGTGAAAGTTCGTCTTGTGGAGCCCTTGTGGGACGTTCGGTGCCCACCCTCCAGTTCAAGATTGTGCTTTCCTGGTTTATGAAGGCCGAAGCAGTACGCGTACAGACGTTGAACAGAACATCATGTTCCTTTTTTCAGTCGTTGCATGTTATACTTATAGTGGACCTACAGCAGACTGTTCATCTGGTTTGTGATATTTCTTTCCTCTGTTTGTGAGTCCTTTTCCATCAATATGGCAGCTTGTTTTGATTTCCTTTTTTTCAATTCATTTTGCTGTACTTCCTGTTTTGTTTTGCGCCACTGCCCCTCACCTTGCGCTCAGTTCTCTGAGTGGAGGGCGGCGTGACCCCACGGGGTAGCTGATTGATAGTAGTAGATAGTAGTGTGTGTGTTTGTGTGTGTGTGTGTGTGTGTGTGTGTGTGTGTGTGTGTGTGTGTGTGTGTGTGTGTGTGTGTGTGTGTGTGTGTGTGTTTACAAGAACCCACATGGCCAATTCGATGCAGCACAGCATGCAAGCAAGCGGTGGCATATCGTGGAGTTTTTAAAACAAATGACATTGGCGTCCGAAAGCTTGATGCCCTTCCGGTCGGGAGAATTGTCGGCAATCGTATGATATGTCGATGTGATTTGAAAACCGATATCCAGTGCTGCCTTGGCACTTTCACCCAATATTTTCCTGACATCCAATAAATGGTCGATTTCTCAAAAAAAAGTAACGTGGATGCACTCGACCATACCACTATCGTGAGCATACGTACAGCAAAACTAATGTTAGCTACTGTTCTGTCGAAATCGGAAAGGTTCTCTCTCATCATTTCAGGCAAAGGGTGAATTTCCGGACACTGCCCACTACTTTAATTTCAGAAGTTTTCGGTGCTCAATATTTTCGGTATGAGGGCAACAGGCCAGGTTAGGTGAACAGAGATTTCCGGTACAGAAAAACAGTTCCTATTGGATTATGTGTGTTGGTGTTTGTTCGGTGTATTGAAATTTTAGGTATGAAACAGATGCACCGAAAGTACCAAAAATAAAAGTACACCGAAAATTTGTGAAATTACGGTATGTCCACTGTTCAATAAATCGGACGATTTTGCAGCACTAGACATCACTTTGTAGAAGATGGCAATCAGCGAAGGATGGGCCATACGTTGAATTCGACCAAACTGTGTGAGTAGTTCTGAAAGATGGCAATCAAAGTGCTGCCAACACTCATGGACTAGACTCACACATGATCCATTACGAATGAAGTTGAAGACACCACTGCAGCTGTACTTATTGTTGATTAATATGGGGTAACACCATTTTTTTACCACCATATTAATCAACCATAAGTACAGCTGCAGTGGTGTCTTCAACTTCATTCTCCCGAGTCAAGCTCAGTATGAAGACATCCAAGAAGAAGATTGCCTGATGAGTCCAGCTGGGATGAAACGTACGTCACAATGGAGCTATGCCGTTGCTGTGTCATCTGCTATGTGCCATGCGCTACCTGATGTAGCAGCCTGCTATGTCGGATACCGCCAACCATGCATCGACTAGGCGCCAGGCGCGAACTGATGGTGGTGGTAAGAAGGAGAGCTCTGTGCCAGAACTTTGCAGCCTGGAGAGCATGTGTGGACAGGCGTGTATTTACCGCCATATTGCCAGGTGTGTCTTTACCACCATATTAATCAACCATGATCCATTACAGCGAGAATTTTTGGCTGTCTCGCCTGGCTCACTCAGCATAGGCTGGAGCTGGATATTTACTCTCTGATGCTCTGAGGTCCCTATGGTAGTAGCACTTTGTCCTTTCCGAGTTTTCGTTCTCAAACTTGTTCAATGTTCCCTTTGTCAGCAACCTTTTGCGATTAATTTCCTTTGTATTGTTTTCAGAACACTGGAGAGTAATTCTCAGTCAGTTCGAGAGCAATGCATGGCTCAGCAAGGTCAAGTGTCGCAGCTGACTGCTGAAGCTGTCAACCTCCAGAATGTGAGTAAGATCTAGGCTGCCAAACCTGTCCATGGGCCCCATTCTGACCCACCTGTTGCTGTTGAATAATCTGCAGTCATCCTTAGTCAAAGTAGGCTGTTACTGGGAGAGGACGTTGATGTAGGAATTTAACTTGTGACATTTCTTCATTGTAATAAGTTCTGTTGAGGCTTGAATACCTCATATATGTTATGTGTGGATAAGCCTGAAGACTACAAGACCGCTAACGTATCTTCTCGTTTACCTATGAATTTTGGAAAATCGTTAAGTTTGCTACTCCTTAGCATGACATGTCTTATTATATGACTGTAGTGAACAGTCTGTAAATTGGCGGTCAACGCACATCAAACAATAGAGGTTTTTCATGGGTACAGAAAGTGAGTACTGGTGAACAGGTGGCTGCACATAGATCATAGACACCACAGAAAACGGTACTACAGTCAACTTCGCTTATAACGACACTCGGCTGGGCATCAAAAAAGTGTCCTTATTCGCGAAGTGTCGTTATACCTGACGTCTCATTATATGCATTACAGTTGGATGGGACTTTGCGCTGGGCATGGAAATCCTGTCGGTATTCGCGAATTGTCGTTATATCCGCGGTCGTTATTAGCTAAGTTGACTGTATATACTGTATAGCAGGAAATTTTGGGACGGAATTTATTTTCGTACGATTTCGTACACGGCCTCTTTTGTACTAAAATTAATTCCGTACTAAAATTTGTTCCTGTGAAGTTATGTACACTATACATGCGCACCGCATGCGAACACGTGCATTTAGCATGTCGCACCGTACGAAAATATAATCCGTACGAAAGGTCGAAATTCGGCTTTGTCCGAAAATATTTCCGTCCGAAAATTTCCTGCTATACAGTAGTATGTGGTGAACAGGTGACAAAAACGCTTTGGAGTACCATGAAAAAGCTTTTTATTATATACATGTATTGCTAGATTGTACCTGTTGACATATTGGCGCCAACGAGTACGTGGTTGTTAGTGTTAACCATGCTCGAAGTGTAACACCTGCAGCCATCCCTTCAGAAAGTAGGAATGTATTGTTGTCTGTGCTGGTGTTGCAGGAGTTGCAAATGCTACGAGCAGAGCACTCTGCCATGCGTCTGGACCTCATGAACAGCGTGCCATTGGTTGACAAGGGCCGTCAGCTTCAACAGCAGGTATGGTAACTGACAGATACAGACATTGCTAAACAAAGCAGTTTTTGACTTTTTGTTTGTGCCGGTTGCTCTGCCCATTCATCCTGTGTCTGTTCTGTGTTCCTAGTCCTCTATCTCAACATGCATCTGCTTGCTCACTCGGGCTATGGCTATCTCTCTCTTTCTACGTGTATGCCTCTACCTGTTTCAAGATATCTCTCTCTTTCTCTCTCTCTCTCTCTCTCTCTCTCTCTCTCTCTCTCTCTCTCTCTTTCTCTGCTTGGCAGGTGAATGACCTACGGCGAGAGCTAATCCATGTTACGATGAGAGCCCAGTCGCTGCAGGACCAGCAGTTTAACACCTACAACAAAGACATTCACATGGCAAGGCTGCAACAACAGCTAGACTTGGTCACTGGAGAGTTCAATGGTAAGTTCCCCCATTAGGTAGCACAGGTTTAGGGTAAGTCCCGGCAGCTAGCACAGGTTTAGGGGTAAGTCCCGGCAGCTAGCACAGGTTTAGGGGTAAGTCCCGGCAGCTAGCACAGGTTTAGGGGTAAGTCCCGGCAGCTAGCACAGGTTTAGGGGTAAGTCCCGGCAGCTAGCACAGGTTTAGGGGTAAGTCCCGGCAGCTAGCACAGGTTTAGGGGTAAGTCCCGGCAGCTAGCACAGGTTTAGGGGTAAGTCCCGGCAGCTAGCACAGGTTTAGGGGTAAGTCCCGGCAGCTAGCACAGGTTTAGGGGTAAGTCCCGGCAGCTAGCACAGGTTTAGGGGTAAGTCCCGGCAGCTAGCACAGGTTTAGGGGTAAGTCCCGGCAGCTAGCACAGGTTTAGGGGTAAGTCCCGGCAGCTAGCACAGGTTAAGGGGTAAGTCCCGGCAGCTAGCGCAGGTTTAGGGGTAAGTCCCGGCAGCTAGCACAGGTTTAGGGGTAAGTCCCGGCAGCTAGCACAGGTTTAGGGGTAAGTCCCGGCAGCTAGCACAGGTTAAGGGGTAAGTCCCGGCAGCTAGCGCAGGTTTAGGGGTAAGTCCCGGCAGCTAGCACAGGTTTAGGGGTAAGTCCCGGCAGCTAGCGCAGGTTTAGGGGTAAGTCCCGGCAGCTAGCACAGGTTTAGGGGTAAGTCCCGGCAGCTAGCGCAGGTTTAGGGGTAAGTCCCGGCAGCTAGGACGGGTTTAGGGGTAAGTCCCGGCAGCTAGCACAGGTTTAGGGGTAAGTCCTGGCAGCTAGCGCAGGTTTAGGGGTAAGTCCTGGCAGCTAGCACAGGTTTAGGGGTAAGTCCCAGCAGCTAGCACAGGTTTAGGGGTAAGTCCCGGCAGCTAGCACAGGTTTAGGGGTAAGTCCCGGCAGCTAGCACAGGTTTAGGGGTAAGTCCCGGCAGCTAGCACAGGTTTAGGGGTAAGTCCCGGCAGCTAGCACAGGTTTAGGGGTAAGTCCCGGCAGCTAGCACGGGTTTAATGGTAATTCCCGGCAGCTAGCGCAGGTCTTATGGTAAGCCCCCAACAGCTGGCACACGCACTTATGTCTCTCTTGTCCGGGCGGTCTGGTTGAGGCAGTGGCCGGAACCGCTTTGGCGGCTTTGCAGTCATCTTTCCTCCTGGTTCCCCGCTTTCCGAGAAGCCTGGAATGAAAATATTGCCTGTAGACCGAGATGACTGGAACTGCGGGGTCGTGTGAGAACTGAGGTATGGGTGCACTAGTATCGCTCCATTCTGTTGAGGGTGGATTGGATAATGGATTGTCATAGCCACCGGTTTAAAGTGGCTGACATGCTGTGGTTGCTCAGTGCACAGAAAGAGTATTATATCACAGACTGAGCCATTCCGTAAATGACCTCTGCTGCTTCACACTACTGTCCTGAAATTGTCCTCTCCGTGGTGGTAGTGGACCTGATTCACCTTCGGTCTGCATGTTCTCAAGACCATGCATAATTTCTATGTGTGTTCGCATGAATGCATGTATGTGTACGTGCGTGTGTACATGCGCATGGGCATGTTTCCTTGTGTAGCTTCTAAGGAGGGAAGCCTGTGGCTGACCAATCAACGCGATGCATTTCACCGAAAGATAGCTGACATGGAGAAGGAGCTTGCGCAGAAGGTGAGAGTTTTTTGGAATTTTCCAGAAGCTTTTCGACCAGTTCTCATCGGAGGACACGTGGGAAGGAAGCTAGCAGTCCAATTCACACGGCATAGAAGAGTGCAGTGATGGTTTACTTCCAGCTCGATGTGTCTTATACCTTTACCTGCACACACTCTCGTGAACACACCATACACTTGCACTCACATCGTCTTTCTTTTAAATTTCTTGCCTTCTCCTTCCTTCTCACTCTTGCTTCCTGACAGGATGTTGCTATTGACCAGATGAAGGCAACACTGCTGCGGCAACAACGGACCGCTGAGGGCAAGGAAAGAGTGAGTTTGGTCAAATCACTGTGCTAGCTATTGTGCACGCTGCTGCTGGCTTAGTACTGACACAGATGTACAGTGTTGCTTAGTGAAATACAATCGAGAGGAGTCAATGCCTCGCCGGGTGCTCTGCAGCCTCATACCTGTGAACATTGGGGTTTTGCACTGGTGCCGGGTGCAAACTTGACTCACACGATCGGATTTGTTGGGCAGCGCTGGACACGTGGATACTCACGAGTCGCAACTTCGACTTCGTATAAAGAAGTAAAGCGCAACTCCTTCGTAGCCTTCTCAGAGCAAATTACAGTGCATACACACACACACACCTCAGACCTCAGACATGCCCATCTCGGGAGCGATGATAGCGAACAGCTATGTTAGACATAGCAACTTGTGCCGGGATTACACCATTCAACAGCTTGCAAGGCTGATGAATTGACCGCCACTATTTTTAGCCTGGTATCCACCACACAGCTGTTTGAAGTGACTTTTTCTGGCCAGTGAATCCCTATTTTTCATTTTTCCATTTTTTTTCTTTTTCTACACACACACACCACACCACATACTCCGGCATACACTGGCTGTTGGTAACCACCCAGGAGAATGAAAGAAAAGTCAGGAAGAGTCTGAGAAAGAGAAGAAAGACGTGTGTGACCATAATCGTCGGGAATCGAACCCGCAACCTATCGATTGGAAATCGCTGCACATACCACTGCACCATATGGGACACACACACACACACACACACACACACACACACACACACACACACACACACGTGTACACACAGAGAGCGGATTGCAAAAGCTTGTGCAGCCACGGACAGAGTGTGGGTGTGCGCTGTAAATTTGAATCCACTGCCTATTTCTGTGCAGATTGCTGAAGAAGCAATACAGTCGCTGACGAAAACCAACGAACGGCTTGACCAGCAAATCTACATTCTGGACGGTCGCCTTCGACTTCACCAGCGTCAGCTCATCACTGTGGATGTCTGCAAGACTGCGGACATGTCAGCGGCAATGGAGATGACAAGCGAGAGTGAGGACGCAGCCTGAGCACCACCGTTCTCAGTAAACCCGACGATGCACGCCGGCGGAGCGCTGAGAGCGGCCTAGGCAATGTTAGCAGAACTCCGTTACTTGGTACATACACCCTGTTTCCTCTAACCATGCCGTGTGCAGGTACACGGACGGTGACAAGCACTGTCAATCCAGCAATGTAGAGCAGTGTAGAACAATGTAGAGCAGTGTAGAGCAATGCAGGGTGCGGTATGTTCACTATGCTGCTGAAGGCTATTTTTTACGCTTTCATTCGCTGCACATTGCGCATAACTGCTTATATACCTTGCTGCGACAACACACGCGTGCATGCATAAACACACACGCACGCACGCGCACCCATACACGCAAGCTGTTCCTTATTTTTATCGATTTTTGAATTTTTTTTAAGAGACGTAGAAGATCTTTGCTGGTCATGGTAACTAGTGTGTGACACTGAATAGAAAGGGAGAAAAGTTTTGAGCTTTACCAATTTTGTTTTAGGTGTGTGCGTAGGGGGGGGGGGGGGGGTGCGCTCGGACGTTTAGGGAGCAGCCCGCAAGTCATAAATCCTGGTATAGCGGATCTAACGATTCAAGGTATTGAAATAACTGCACTGGTCTAACTGGAAACATTCTCTTTCCGATCCTGGAACTAGATCGGGTCAAAACTAGGTCCAAATATTGGAGACTGGGAGACTTGATGTTAGTATAAATTAGAATAATAAAAAATAATTTTAATATCTCTTTTTCTTTTAGTGATTGGTGTAGCCCAGAGACCGTTTGGAGAGTGTTGTGAAGATGTATAGAATAGTATCTTTAAAAAAAGGAACTTTTTAATTCACTTCGGGGAAATCTTTATGTAATTGAAACTTGCTAGTGTATGTTTTAGTGCATGTGTATCAAGAGAGGATTTGCCCTGATTGTATAGCTACACACACACACACACACACACACGTACACACACACACACACACACACACACTTGACAAAAATCACGAAAAGGCGTACAGGCCGCATTCGCTGAAAAGAATAGCCTAGAAACGTTTCACCGCCCTCCTGCTTCCTTTCCGGACAACGGACTCTCATCAGCCTTCATCAGTGTTCTAGAGAAGTGAAATGAAAAATGGAGCCAACACTCTACTCGATTCTATTGCATCAAATCTCCAGCCAATAGCTGCATTGGTCACTGATAAAATGCGTGGTGTGGGAACATGTTCACCTGTTCTTCTGGGCATGCAGTGTTGACTAACACTGTGTGTTTAGAGTTGCTCCAGCATAATCACAGCTGGATCAGGCTTTACAACCATCGACATCATCCACTTTGGCTGGTCCTGGTCAGGAGCTGGCAGGAGACGGAACTTTGCGAGAATCATACTCAGCACGGTCTTCATCTCGTCCATGGCGAAGTGCTTGCCGATGCATGCGCGGGTACCGCAGCTGAACGGGATGAAGGCGTATGGGCTTTGCCGACCCTTGTTCGTCGAGAATCGGTCCGGGTTGAACTTGTGCGGATCAGTCCAGATCTCTTCGTTGTGATGAACACCGATGATGCTTAGTTGGAATGCAGTATCGGCAAAGAATGAGTTTCCGTCGACTGTGGTTTCTTTACCCAACACCCGAAGGACGAAAGGAACAATCGATGCAACACGAAGCGTCTCCTGTATCGTGTATGTCACATACTCCAGCTCAGCAAGGTGCTCATGGGCAAAGTTCTCCATACCACCGCACCTCTCCAGGACATCCTGCACCTCCCGCCGACACCGCTCCTGGACATCTTGGTGCTGGCTCAGGTAGCACACGATCCACTGGAAAGTGGAGGACGTCGTGTCATGGCCAGCGAAGAGAAAGGTCTCGACGTGCTCTCGGATGTCCGTGTCGGAGAGTCCGATGCCATCTTCGTCTCTCGCCGTCAGCATGATGTCGAGCATGTCCCGATGGCGATGACCGCCCTGGTCGTCATCTGCGGCATCGGTCTGCAGGAGAGCACGTCGCTCACGGATCAATTCCTCACTGAACGCATGCGTCTCTGAGAGGAGTCTTTGGAAGCGTCTGCCGGTCGGCGAGTTGAGGAAAATGATGTCCGGGTAGAACCACGGCTGTCGGAAGCGGTTCATAATAATGTCCGTAATCTCTTGCAGTGCTGCACTGTAGCGAATTGCGGGCGAGTTCAGGTCACCGTCCGCTTGGCAGTTTGTCACTGCACCCATTGCACACTGTAGAATGATATCGAATGTCAACAGTTGGAAATGCTGCGACACGTCCAGCCTCCTCCCGACCTGCCCTTCCCACAACCCCAGCAAGGTACTCGCTGCATCCTTGAATGCGCCAATGTACTCCCGTCGCATATCAGGAGTGAAAACGCCGGACAACATTCGATGGTCACGCTCCCAGCGCTTTCCCTTACTGTAAATTAGATTGTTTCCCAGCCAAATTCGAATAAACCTGGCTATGAACTCACTCTTTCCGGGACTGGTCCGCATTACTTCACTGATCGTGTCCGGATGACTGAGGGCAACGAACATGTATGCCGGTCCCATTTGCTGCAAGAACATTCGAGGCAGTTTGCGAGAAAACTCAATGAAGGTTTCTCTGGATGAGGGCAGTTGGTCTTCGGCTAATGCATGTCCACGCAGCCAATGGGGCTTGCTCGGCATTCGCACGCGCTGCATCAAGTAGCGACGGTGCATCCACCAAGTTGCGAGGACATGAAGTACCTTCGCGACCAGCAATGAGAAAACGGCAATGGCCACTATCCTCAGAATGGTCGTAAACAACATTTTGAACGAAGCGGTGCCCACGACAGGTCTGCTGCTCCAAGAACTAGATGATGGTAATCCTAGGACTAATAGGGTGGATGGTCGCAAGCTCTCAAAGACAACGAGACTCGAGAGATAAGCTAGAAGTAGAACTACCACACCCCTGCAAGTATTCTGGATGTGATTCAACTGTCGCTATATGCCTACTTGTAGTACAGATCTCTATCATGTCAGTCTGTGTACGTGTAGTCTCGATCTACCGCCCGTCACGGCGTCAGTCACAGGACAGTCACGGAGTCATATCAGAGTCAGGGCAGCTAAAACCTGACAAGAGCAAGGATGTCCAGCTTGAGAAGTAGGTTTTACATGATTATACAACAACATAATCATGATAATTGTCCGGATTTGAGAAACTCGTTCCGAACTACATGACATGTACATGAGCCTTCCTCTTGCCTTCCTCCTGATCTTAGGAGTAAGCTGCGACGTGTGGATTCTAGATCTACACTACAGCAAGCTCCATCACGTCAGTCCATGTAGTAATGCTACAGACATGAATAGTCCGTATGCGCCACTCTTCTGCCGTGGACGAAGCCGAAGGAGCCTGAGCGTCAACACTCGACAACGCTCAACAGAGTCTGTGCAGTGAAACATTATGCCGCATCGGGACAGAGTTACTTCAGAAGCGCCGCGCGCACCCGTAGATCTACGAAGTGACGGTTCAAGTCGGACTTTTCTTGTCGATACAGTAAACATGGTAAAAGTGCAGCCTAACTACTGTAGAGTAGTAATGGAAGTAATCATGGTCCTGTAGTAGGTCTACATGACCGTGATGACGATGATTGTAATCATGTCTAATGAGCGCTCGAGCGGTGTGGCTTCAGTGCTTGCCGCCCAGATTTCGGACCGCACTCCGAATGCCCAGCACACTGACAAGTGACAATGATTATTGTGACAGTTCCAAAGTAATAAAAACAGTGTTTTCAGAATGCTTCGTAGATCTGTGTGCTCTGCAGCTGCTTCAATACTAACTGTCTTAGTTTTATTTACGGCGCACGAATTGCGTTCATCTCTCCAAATATACTGAGTCTCCGAAATAGTATAACTTTTCCTAAGCCGCGCACCACTCCAGGGTGTCCCTAGGCCAGGGTGGCAACTTGAGCAAGTAATAGTTGAGGTGGTCACGGATCAGTTTGGGCTTGGTGCAGCGACACCGACCAGAAGTGGGAAGATGTTGGGAGAAATTCCAAGTGGCTTACTGAAGATCGCTGCGATAGCTTGTGTGTCGCTAGTGCTGGCGAAAATTATTCATCTCATCGTTTCCTGGTGGCTGCATATTCGCCTCCTCAAACGACTCGTTCCGCAGCCGTGCGAGAGTCATTGGCTGCGTGGTCACCTACCTGCTGATGAGGACGATGCCAAGGCAACATTCGTGGGGTATGTACGCAAGCTACCGCGAATGTTCTTCAACCTGATTGGACCAGTCTATGCCAATGTGGTTGTGTGCCACCCTGAAACGATTGCAGAAGTGTTCCAGACCAATCCTCCAAAGCTGTGGCTGGTGGCTCAGATATTTCGTGCATGGCTCGGAAACAGTATTCTGATCAGCGAGGGGAAGCGTTGGGAACGCGACCATCGCTTGATTTCGACTAGCTTCACACCGGCCATGCGCCGTGAGTATGTTGGCTCGTTCAAGGACGCAGCCTGTACTATGCTAGATTTGTGGGAAGAGCAGTGTGGAAGGAGTGTGAATGTCACGGAGCGGCTTCAAAAAATGACGCTCGACATTATTCTTAAATGCGCAATGGGAGCAGAGACGAACTGCCAGACAGAGAGCAACCCGAGCTCGACCATCGTACGTTACCAAGACGCGCTGTCAGAACTCATCAAGATAACCTTTGAGAGATTCGAGAAGCCTTGGTTGTATCTCGACTTTGTCTTTCTTCGCACGCCAACAGGACACCGCTTCAAGGCGTGTGCCTCTGTAACACAACAATTCAGCGAGCACTTAATCAATGAGCGACGACAGCTTCTCAACGAAGAAGCAGAGGCCAATAGCACAGACAGTGCGCCTGAAAGAGAGTTGTTGTGTTCGACTCGCCGAAAGGACATGTTGGATGCTTTGCTGACTGCCAGAGACGAGGACAATGTTGGCCTGACCAATACGGATATCCGTGAGCAAGTGGAAACTCTTTTGGTAGCTGGCCACGACACTACCTCGGTGGCTATGCAGTGGGTTGTACTGTTACTGAGTCAGCACCAGGATATCCAGGATCGATGCCGGCAGGAGGTGTGTGATGTTCTTCAGGAGTGCGGTGGTCTGGACAATTTCGCCTATCAGCACCTCACCAAGCTCGTGTACGTCACCCAAACTATCCAGGAGGTAATGCGGGTCGCAACCATCGCTGTCAACATTCCACGCACGTGTCCTAAGCCGTGCACAGTGGATGGCATCACGTTTCCCGCAGGCACGACTTTTCACGTGAATGCCCTCCTGGTGCATCACAACCAGCAGGTCTGGTCGGATCCGGACACATTCAATCCGGACCGCTTTGCCCCTGAAAACGATTCTCGGCCCAGATTTGCGTACTTACCATTTGGCCACGGGCCCAGATCTTGCATCGGCAAGCACTTTGCCATGGATGAGATGAAGGTGGTACTGAGCATGATCCTGGCCCGCTTTCGCCTACTGCCCGATCCCAGTGCCGTGAAGCCGGTTTGGAAAGAGGTCATGATAGCCAGACCATACCCGGCTGTTCACATTCTCCTTGATGCAGTGTGAGTGCTTGAATGCAGTGTGCTCTTTTATTACCCTTGCATAGATTAATTAAATTGCTGATATGAACGGCGTTTGTTTGAGGATCGAAGTCCAGATAATAATTATATTATGCTAGCACCCGGATACCAATATCCTAGTGTATCAGTGGGACTGACTCTACAACACCTATATTGTTGTTATTGCCCGCGTTTGTAGTGAAAAAAATAGGCGATTGAATGTTATAATTACTTTATTGATGTGCAATTTTACATTTGCGATTATTATGTGCTAACCTTCTGGTACTTTAAGTAGGAGTTATAGATTGAATCAGTGCTGCTGGACAGGACTTTACAGAGAATAACACCGGTTATCTTGCAGGTATTGCCTACTTGTGTTTCCATGTTGCCAACATAATTGTGCCTCTCTCTCTACTACTAGTTGCGCTGTGCTAATCCTCTTGATTTGTTGTTTAGGAACATGTTAAGTTACAGGTGCATTACCCTCGCCGTGAGGCGCTGCATCTCCCACCGCCGTATAATCAGGCAAGGAGGTGGTTGCCGGGCACGAGCGAAACGTTTTAAGCTGGCTGTGCTTGTCAACACATTTGTATAGCTGGTTGTAACGTGGATGTGTGAACTTTACTTTACTTTTTTTTACAGATATTATACCACACTACATGTAGGGACCAATGACCTATCCTGGATTCTAAATAATTAATTGGAGGAACGCATTGACCCGGAATCGTTTCCATTTGCTCTGTTAGTGTAGTTACGGCGCATGTGGCGAATTCAGTGTAAATAGCCAGCATGTAACAGTACGAAGTCTGGAGAAAATGTTGAACGGTCTCTGCTGGGATGACGGCTACACCATAGCTCAGTGGTTAGAGGATCGAGTGTCGAATACTAGATCTACAGGTAGATCTACCTTCTATGCGATCTACCTCCTCCACTGGCTCCAGCCTTCCAGGAGACCTTGTGGCCCTGCTGAACCGCGGTTACTTGGCAAGTAGCTGACATAGGTCATAGTCGTTTTGACATGATTCAGCGAGCTACAATACACGCTGTCATGGCATTATGGCTTGTTGAAATCACGTCGGCTCTGTAAAAATAACCTCTGATCTTATGCTGCGATCCGGAATGACGCCATTCACAGAAGCAAATTCACTTCGTTCACGGTTCAGTTGTTTATTTTGTGTAGTTGTTTACCTACTTCTAACGTTACTAGTAGAATATGGTAGCACAGTCAGTAGCTTAGCCTTAGGTACATACTAACATAGTCATTGCACTCTTCGAGTAGAAGAGACTAGGCCATAGGACTTAGGAGTGGGATTGGCCGAACGAGTCGCTGCACTCTTCAGACAGTTCATTAGGCTGAAGCATTTTGTTGGCTTGAGCAAGTTGAGGTTCTTGTGTAAAGGTGAAGAGTTCTGAGATGGATCCGTGGCGCTCGTTGCAGTTAGTAGCAGTATGCTGCACTACGTTACTGCTCGCCAAAATCACCATGTTCATGGTGGGCTGGTGGCGTCATCGCCGCCAGCTCCATTCACTCGTGCCCGAGGCTCGCAAGGCCCACTGGCTGCTTGGCCATCTTGCTCCGGACGCCGCGACCGCCAAAGATTTCTACGTCTCCTTTGTACGGAGTTTGCCTAGAATGTATCGCCGGCAGATAGGACCCACACTGACTAATATCGCATTGGCTCATCCAGACACAATTGGTGAGTTGCAGCGGAAAAGTCCGCCGGATAGCGAGTTCTTTGCGACAATATTCCGAACTTGGCTCGGCAATGGGCTCACCACTTGTCCCGTGGGTCCAAAATGGGCTCGCGATCGTCGCCTTCTCTCAGAGCTGTTTACACCCAGCATGCGTCGCCACTATGTGCAGATGTACAAGGACGCATCCACTACTCTGATCGACCTATGGGAAGCACAGCTGGGCGAGAGTGTCGACATCTGCAAACACTTTCCGATGATGGCGTTCGACGTCATATTGCGGTCCGCCATGGGAGCGGCGACCAACTGTCAGACGGAGACCGACGAAAATTCGGCAATTCTGCGCTACAGCAATGGCCTGCAGGAAGTCAAAAAGCTTCTCATGAGTCGCTTGATGCAGCCTTGGTACTACTGGCAATTCCTCTATGATCTGTCACCCACAGGACGTCGCTTCAAGAAAGTGCTGAACGAAACACATCTGTACAGCGAGGAGCTCATCCGAGAGCGCCGTGTGGAGCTGGAAGCGTGGGAAGGTAGCACGAAGCCACGCAGAGACATGCTGGACATGCTGATTACGCTGCGCGATGACGAAGGGGTGGGCATGAACGATGTGGAGATACGCGAGCAGGTCGACACTTTCCTGTTTGCCGGGCACGACACAACATCGGCCGCCCTGCAATGGGCCATCTACTATCTGTGCGAGTATCCGGAAGTGCAGGACAAATGCCGTGAAGAGGTGCAGCGCATTATGGAGAAATGCGGAGGCGTGGACGAGTTTGGCTTTGAACAACTCTCCGACCTGGTGTACATCTCCCAGACAATCAACGAAGTCCTGCGCGTGGGCAATGTTGTGACTGGAGTCTTCCGCTGCCCTGAAGAGCCAGCTGTCGTTGACGGTGTAGCATTTCCGAAGGATACCATCTTCAATGTGAGTTTCATGGCTCTGCATTACAACGAGCAGGTCTGGAGCGACCCTGACAAATTCGACCCAGATCGGTTTTCGGCAGAGCACGGCACGCGCAGCCAGTACTCCTATCTGCCATTCGGCTGTGGTCCTCGCGTGTGCCTCGGCAAGCAGTTTGCACTGGACGAGATGAAGGTGGTACTTGCCATGGTGGTACATAAGTTCCGCTTGCGACTTGACACCGATGCCCCGAAGCCGTATTGGAGCTTCGTTCTGTTCTCCAAGCCTGGTCCGGCCGTTAACGTCATCATGGAGGAAGTGTGAGAGGTGGTAGCTGAATGAAGTTCTTTCGCTTGTTTCTTTGTATTTTTTTAGTTATAAAATCCTGTAGGACGCGTCAAAGTGATTGAGTGTGAGCCAGTGTTGCTCACAACTCACTTTTTTTTTAAATAGTTTTGATGTCACAAACGGAGTGGATGTTTCGTGCTGTTGGGACAGGCTCCAATGCTACCACTCAATGTCTCCTGACGATTGATGGATATCACCATGTGTTGTGATGATAGGGGTTGCTTTGAGCTGAACAGAATCGTGTTGGCATGTGAGACTACCGGTCCATGTCTAGAATACATAGAGTTGAAGAGAGGAATGGAGAAGAAGAGCTCAATTGCATCGAATGTTGACTTTCTAGCTCTAGAGTAGCGTTTCCTGAAAGTGGTGCTGAAGAGTACGAGTGCTCCTTGATTTTGGCTCTTATTCGATTATATTATAATTATTTATAATATATTTTCATCTTAGAGCTGTAACACATATCCAAAATGGCTGAAGATGTCTTCCAATCTAAACGAATGTTGAGCACAGAACTGTAAGCATTTCAGTGTGTGTGTGTATGGGGGGGGGGGGGGCAGTCCACAAGTGACTGTTTAGTTATCATGTAACATTTCAGCTCATGGAGAACAATTTCCCAGTTCGAATTATAGCAATTTTGAACGAAACCTGTGGGAAGGGGATACCCATGCAGTTCTGTGGTGCAACGCAGAAACCTGATGTTCGCTAGACATTACAATGTAAGTGCGGCACAGAACCTTTTGAATACCGCAGAAGCCCCCCCCCCCCCTCGAATCGAAGCCACACTTCTTGGAAGCATCAAGTCTCACGTAAGACTTGTATAGTAGCCACAGCTTCAGAAGGCAACGAGTCATTTCCCACCCATTTGCACCACACACAGCACGACAACGGCTGCGTAGACACCGGTACAGTAGGCTGACCGAGGACCTAAACTGCCCGGCGGATGAGACAACATAATCGTGTGACTTGGTCTATAACCGAATCTGACATACCAGATCATGTAATAGAAAAAGGTAAGGATTCAGATCAGCTAGCAACTGACTCAATAACCAGAGTACAATCGCAATGGCAGAGAGATAGATTTGAATGTATATCTTGAAATAAATATAGGGATAAATTTGAACACCTACAGGAACAACTTGTCTTTGGAGGGCATGCCTTTTCATTCGCAGAGGTTTCACGCATTTGAAAATCAATCAAATAATATCAGTGAAATGAACGAAGCACGTTCCACAATTATTCTTTAATGCACAGGACGTGCATGCGCTGTCAAACCGCGCATTAAACTCAAATCACTTTCATGAGGAATAGCATTTGAGAGGGGGGGGGGGGAGGGGGGGGGGGGATAATAACATTAATAAAGCAATAGTATCACAATATCCCTGCAGCGAGCAAAGATTCAGTCAATTAAAGGAAGGCTCTGCAGAGAAGATACTCAAATCCAGGCAAATGTGAGTGATCTCAACCCAGGCAAACTTGAGTGATACATAAAAATGTATGATTCTTATGAAGGAGTGATCACACTCTTCCACACCTCCCTTTCTTAGAAAAATGTGTGTGTAATATGAAACCATATTCTTCAATGCAGAAAGAACACAAGAATGATTTGAAGTGTATTGTCAATACCAGTTTTTTTGGAACACAAAAAAATTACAAGAACTAAAATTGATCACCTATCAAATTTGAGTATGTCTTTGGCTGCAGAATCTTCAAGTCCAAGTTCACTAAAACGTTCCTAAGGTTATAAGGCAGCAGAGTGGGCCAATAAAAACATGCACCTTTGCTATAGAGTTCAGAATAGAGTCGGAACGAATGAATAAAACAATAATAGAATAAAAATCTGGTACCTGAACGTCGGCCTTCTATTCTATAGGACCTGGCTGTGATCATTGCAGCTGGCATCACCAGAGTAGCACATACGTGACATTGCATGCGTGAGAATGACGGACCGGAAACCGTGACACCTTTGCCGACCCAGGCACTGCAAGTAACAAGAATACAAACAGCAAATGGCAGAACTTCAAGTCAAAAACACATCATCAATCATAATAATAATTATTATCATGAGCGTACACGTACGTACTAGATGGGCGTGTAGGTACACTACTGTTCTAGGAGTACGTGGTCACCATGGTGACCATGGTGACATAACACAAACCTTTACACCACCATTGCCGTCTTAGACGCTGCAATTTTAAACTATAATTATATATCAAAACTTCTCCCTTTGGGCTTCATCAGGGAGTATTAGAACAGCTTCATGGTTGCTACTGATACCAACTGGTAGTGTGTTGTGATGGACTAAACTGGCCGCTCGACCTCTGCCCTGGAGCCGTTACGGGTGGTTAGGGTGGATAAGCGGATGCAGATCAGTTGTACGTTGCCGTACACATCAGTGCTCACGTGTAGGATGTAGAAAAAGGTGACGAGGCTGCCGAGGCAATCCTCCGTAAGTGTGGAAAAGAGCAAATTCCCTGCAAGTACGATAGAAAAGTCACCGACACCACTCTTTTACCGTAAAGTCTTGTATAAAAGCCGCGGCTTCTATGACTTTCTTGGTGAAATTTTGCAGGCTTCTATATGAGACAGGCTTCTATACAAGACAGGTATTTCTATGTATGTCAACACTAAAACCAGGCTTATGTGTGATTTGATGGGCCCAAAACTGCGGCTTCTATTCGAGGGCGGCTTTTATACAAGACTTTACGGTATGTACTATACCGTGATACCACTCTTGGGAAATGCGTGGTAAGTTCGAAGAGTCCTGGGACACTTACATGTATGTGTGATTTGCAACGCATTATTATGTACGGCAGTAGAAGTTCATGATTAATTGATGTCACAGGATGAACCAAGCGGTCACAGGTTCTTTACAAAAGGAAGGAAAGCCGATTCGTGCAGCCATTTTGTTTCTTATATGCATGTGTGGGATCAATTGTCCAATAGATTCCTTTTTAGTTTTTTTTATTGGACGTGTTGTATTCTCTGAAACATATCTTCACTGTGGCAGAGGCCGCCCCTCCCCCTCCCACAACGTCACATTCCAGTTTGTACTCATTTTTCATACAAACTGGAATGTGTTATTATGAACTGTTTCCATTCCCTCGACCAGTGAATATTAGGAACTGTGTAGGTAATTTTGGCCCGGGGTTTGAAAAGAGTGCGTATCTGATCCCGTAACTGCACCCTGGTTCATTCCATTTTTCTTGACCAGCACCCTGCTCATTTGCAGTCACTTAATTGGTTTACGTCGGGTGATACCACCCGAAGCCGCGTTCGTCTCCCCCTAGCTAGGTCTACCCTATTCGCAAGTTCCCCTTTCTTTTCCTCTTACTCCATGCGGCTCCAACAGCCTCCCAGAGTAAGGCAAGCTCCAGCTATGCCCAAATTCCATACTCTCGTCAGACAGCACTTCAGTATCTTCCAGTAAACAAAATCACAGCCACGCCACTTCCGCTGCATAGCTCGCTGGGCATCCCATTGCTTTGTAACTAGCTAATCCCTACCCCTTTTGTGTACGTGCTTTTCTTTTTTTCTTTCTCTTCTTCCGTGGTTGGTCTCACCCTCTCATCAATTCAATTGGCTGTCTTGACATGCTATGAGGTGCGGAAAAAATAAATAATAACATCCGGCACGGATATCAGCGTGTTTGATTTGTCAAAAAAAAGTTTCATTTCTTCATTTTGAACAGACATTGCTCTCACCTCATAGGAAAATGGCTTTTCATTTCCTGTGGAAGACATACAGCGCCAGCTCTGTCTGGTCATCATCCATTAGATCCTGAAGCTCTCCATCATTGTCTGAATCCGGCTCAAACTCTTCAGCATCAGGGTCAGCCAGGCGGTAGAATACAATACGCTTCTTGACACCTCTACCTTCACGAACGGCTTCCTTGACTGTTTCCAAGCAGCTAGATGTTCTTTTGCATGCGAGTGAGGTGGTGACGGTGTTTGCTGACCCTGTCTGCTCAAGAGTTACCTTCACCAGAACATCGTCATTCGGTGGAGCAGGCGGCTCAGGCTCAGGTGGAGGCTGAACTATCACAAGGTTGCAGGGATCAGAGTCAATCAGCTGCGCAGTCACCCGGTTAAGACGCTCAGCTTTCATCCGCACCAGACAGTCTTGCAGTCTTTGAAGAAGCCACTTGTAGTGACAGCCTGCGAGGCTGACACCGGCGTCCACCCGGAGTGCTTCGAGGAACTGACCAAGGGCCGTGTGCTTTAGGTCAGACGAGTGCACAACTATGTCCAGTTGTTTAGTAGGCTCGCTCTGCACATGCTGCAGTAGACCGAGAAGACTGTGGATTGCCAGTGATAGATTGGAAATGCTGTTAGCAAAGTGCCTGGCCATCACCTCCAACACCTGGTCACTTTCACCGCTGTCCGGGGTTTCCCCCAGGATCGGACTGCATTCACCAAGGATGTTGCGTTGATCTTCAGTATCACGATGCCGGCGTACAATGTCCAGGACGTCACCAAGGTGTGCCAGGCGCAGAAAGTCAAAGTAGTGAACAAACTTCGCTATGCCTTCACTGGAGTACGTCACGGCAAGATCGTACAATGATTGGCCTGTGGATAGAGGTTCCGTGCAGCGCAGGTGCATGAGATCACGTGCCAGCTTCTCCAAGCCCATAGTCAAGTTCATCACATCATTCGAGCTGCTCAAATCTGTACTAGCAAAACTCTCCTCTATGCTCTGATGCTGAACGTCTGTAAGAGGGTGGCAAGAACCAATGATCCAGGCGAGGTGATCTTTGAGGAATTTACTCTCCGTGCGACAGAAGAAGAATCTCAGGTCTCTCTCGATCCACTTGACTCTCCTGACAGTACCAGACAGCTTCCAAGCCAACGACCGCTCCAGCTGGTCCAGGTCGATAATGACACGCCAGTGTTCATCCTGCCATTGCACGCTGTAGTGCATCGAGATCAGTGTGTCCACTTCGTGTTCATCCACACGCAGAAGACCAGTGGCACAGTTTTCCTGCTCCAGGACATCATGCATATCTAATGGTTGGTCAGTGACAATACACTCCAGGGACTTGCGCAGCTCGGCTGAAGTGCTCCGCTGGCTCTTTGCACGCTGGCATACGTCATTGAATCGATTTTGCCACCAGAGAGAGCGAGTGATAACGCGATACAAAAGTGGATGCGGGTGTGCGCACCCGCCATAGTTCACCCAGTCCGCAAGCGGTGTGTTCACCCAGTCCGCAAGCTCAGTGTCCAGTGAGAGACCAACTCTGTGAGTATCACCGCAGTCCCAGCCTGGGTCGTGTTTCTGCAGTCTGTCCACAACCAGTTGAATATCCCGTTTCAGCTCATCTAGTTTCTTTGAAAACGCTGCGTGCTGGTTTCCAACTGAGCGGAGCGATTTCTGCAGACTCAATTGCCCTCCAGCAACATCTTGGAAGCTTAGTTTTCCGGACAGGGCTTTGAGAAGGTCACGATACAGCTTTACAATCGGTGGAAGTTTAGCCAAGATGCAGTAGATAGGGAAGTTGGCCAGAAGCTCGGTGATGATAGCGTGGCTCTCTGATGCCATGCAGCAAATGGCGGCTTTACGATCGGAAAATATGGGAAGCTGAAAAGAGGGCATCGTGGGCAGGCTGGTCATTGACATGAACTGGAGTAGACTCTGCTGCTCCTCATGAACATATCGCAGTTGCAATCGGTGGGTCTCGCCAAAGTTGGGGATGGTAGCTGAGGACATGCAGCGATCCAGGAACTTGCCCAAGTCAACACTGAAAACACGCAGTGCCGCTGCACAGACCTCATCTCGGAAAGTGCATTCTGCAGCCCTTCTCTTGTCGGCACTGATGTAAGTGTCATTGAATACGGTGCAGCCACCGTTGACAACCTTGCCAAGGTATTGCAGGGAGACCATTGGCAGAAACCCACAGCCAACTGTGGGCACATTGACGTCAGAGCCAGGTAGCAGAGTTTGAAAGTATTTGATCTTTCTGATACAGTGCTTTACGAACGAAATTCTGGAGTTCGATTCTGCAGTAATGTTAGATGTGCTCAATCTCTGGCGCTCAGCAATGTTAAGCCACTGCTTCTCCTCAGGCAAGAGAATTGCATTCCAGCATAGGGTTGAGTACGTAAGCAGTGCAGCCAGTATGTACCCAATCAGACTCAGCAGGGGCTGGGACTGCTGGTGTAAGCTTGGCTCAAGGGAAAACTCCGGCAAATGCAGGGCAGTCAGCTGGAAGAAGTCATCGATTCCAGACGCACCCCGGAGAATCATATGGCGCGACGACGATGCGCCGAAAATGTACGTGCCTTTGAGCTTGCCAGTGTCAGTCAAACAAGTGTGCCAGTATGTACCCGGTGACATCATTAACAGCACTGCCAACGTCTCGATGAGGTAATCCCTGGTGGCCAAATTCTCAGCTGACTGGTCCGCTAAAATCTCCTTCAGCTTTAACAAGTCTCCACGGTCTCCTACGTTGAACAATACGTCTAGGGCCCGCTTGAAGAGAGGACTGGTGTCCTTCAGACTGCGCAGTTCACGCTGCTCCTGGAATGCAGTGTCTCCTTTCAGGAAGAAGTCGAGTGCCACCTTGGTGAAGATGCATGCCTCGGCAGTGCGTTGCAGGACAGGCGACGACTGTTTGAGTGTTTGCTCGAAGCGACTCCTGATGCGGACTACCGTACTGCCACCAGGTGCTGTGTTGAGTTGCTGCATGCACTCTCGCATTCCATTCAGCTGCTGGTACAGGAGAAAGTCACTAGCAGTCTTCATACGCACCTCAGTCAAGATATTGTTGAGACTACGCAGCTCAGCCATGCCGGAAGGGGGAACACACCATTTAGCGAGTGACTGGTCATGAAGCTTTGCCGCACTGAGCTCCTCAAGGCCACTTGTTGCACACTCCAGCGGTAGAAGGTACAGAATCCACCAGAGCATCATGACCAGCCACTCGGGACTTGAAGCGTGCTCCGCAGCAAGGCCATCTATACAAACCAACATCTCATGGTCGTGGATATCAATGGCAGAACTGGCGCAGTCGTCGGAGCTTGCGCCCTGCTGTTGTCGCTGTCGCTGTTGCTGGTGTTGCCGCTGTTGCTTTAGGAAGTAAGCAGCAAGTGACCTTGCTGAAGCCTCAAACACGATTTGAGTGCTGGCACACTGGCGGACAACCCAACCAATGCCTCTAGACGATGAACCTCCCGACTTCAGGCTGGCAGCAGTCCTAAACTCGTGCAACGACTCAGGACCATGTCGGAACAAGCGACAAGCAAACCTGTAGAATCCATTGACAGAGGGGAGAGAAAATACCGTTTGTATTTTCATACACACATTCTTATCTGCCTGCTTGTGGTCTGCAGATTCTGTGAAACTGCAGGGCAGACTGGACGGCTGATAGTGTGCAATAATGTATGACTTGCTGGCTGCTCCTTCGTAGGTCTTATCCACCCTGTGAACAGAAAGACCTTCAGGTAGCAACCGCATGGCGTATTGATCAACCGCCTCCTGGATAGAGTCCAACTGCTCCGAGCGCAGCATCTCTCTGCCTATCGCCTGCAGTCTGCAACTTTGTTTGTGCTGTGCTTGCTGAAGACATGCGGTGGCACAGGAGTCGGAAAGGCAGGATGGCTGCTGCACGCAGTCATCGTGATCAACATTGCTCAGACTCAAGAAGATCATTTCAAACATCTTGCGGTTGAAAGAATCAACACCTTCCAGCAACGATATGGTCCACAGGCAGCATCCCAGCCGGAGGAGCTGCAAGTCCTCGGTGGTGGCATCGGGATCGAGATTGTTGAGCAAGCTCTCCACCAGCTCCGAATGCCGCACTGGCATAGATCCACTTATCCCAGCTGGATTGCTGCTATCCACATAGCTGATGAAGATCGGATGGGCTGTGTTTTTCCAACGGGTGAGTCGAGTATTCATGCATGACTCCAGGATCATGCATATGAAGTCCATCATGTTGATCTCCCGGCCTTTGCCAGTGATCAGGTGATTGTGGACCTCAGACATAAGCAAAACTCGTGACCCTTTCCGTCCCCAGGTGGCTTGTCGCAACTGCCAGTGCTGCGATAGAGTGTTGAAAAGTCGTGTCCAGCTGACCAGCAGGGCGGACACTTTGCCGCGGTCATCTGCGACTGAGAACTCCAGTGCTCTGGTCAGCATACTCCATAGTGTCTCCACAAGCAGATTGGCAAACTCGGTTGGAACATCATCAGGATGCGCCTCACGCAGGAGTTGTTCAGTGCGTTGAATCACGGCCTGACCATCGGCCTCCATCATCAATAGCTCCTCGTAGCTTGTTAGCAGTGCCACTAGTATTAGCTTCACGTCCTCCTGGAAGACAATTGAATGTACGAACGGTAGTTCCGATTGGCTGGCTCCAGTATCATCAACCATAACGCTAGACTCAAACCACTTGGCCAAATAGTTGCACACAAATGTCACCGCTTTCTTTGAACCCGTCCACGAAAAGCATGTTCTCACCAGGTCCCGAACATAGAGTTGGGTGAACTTTTTCTCGGCAAGAAGCGGAGACGTGATCGGATCAGCAACGAGGAGATCAGTCAAGGAGTCAATGCTGTTGCTGTTGCTGCCACTGCCAAGTCTCAGCACCAACTCCTGTATGTATGTCTTGATGTGGAAAAAGAATGGGGTGGCGAGATGACGTGCGGAAGCCTGGGACCACATAGTTTCAAGTTCCTCTCCAGTTGTAGCAAACTCACTCAGCTTGGGAATGAGCTGTTCGTCCAGACTTGGGTCAGTTAACAGCGACACGTTGCAGCCCATCAGTGTTGACTTCACGCTGCACAGCAAGAGAGAGTGCAGCTCTTCATTCTGCCAGTCTATCATCATGTCAACCAAGCTCAACCGTCCACCGCTGCTGCTTACTTGTGTTCTGATTGCGCCAATCTGTCCATACCCTTTGATCATAATCCGCCGTGCGAATGCTTCTACAGCCCTCTCCAAGATCACGGGCAGCCTATCGAATACACCTGCAATGACACGCGGACGCAGATCTGGTGATGCTTGAGCTTTTATTATGCTTGTGAAAAGCTGTGCAGGCTCTGAATCTTGTGCGTCACTTGCAAAGATCAACAGTGATTTCCATGGAAGAAAGGATGATATCTCTGCGGCAAGGTCAGTGGTTCTCTCCTTCATCCACTGAAGTGTTGCAGTAGAAATACTTCTTAGCTGCTCCTCATTCTGCTGGATAGGGCCACTCTTGTATTGGCTGGTGACAAAAGAGGTAATGTTCTGAGGACATACGTGGCTGGGATTTGGCACAGCCACCAGCTTAGTCTGCCAGCCGTTGAGGAATGTGCACAGTACTTTCTCACCGGAAGAATGTAGCAACGAGTGCAGCAGGACAATAATGGCTCTTGGTGTTTTCCTCTCCGCGTCCGACTGGCACCACATACGAACCTGGGTGTCTACAGCTTGTTTGATAGCGCCGACTGTGTGAAGTTTCGCGGCACCTTTGGACGTGTCCACACACAGAACTAGGCAGACTTTTCCGCTCTTCCTGAACTCTTCTAGTTTTTGTTCGGCGTGCAGCACACTCCTGAGCTCTCGGCTCGCCAATACGGTGATGCTGTCCGCCAGTTTCGGTCCCATGTAATGCGTACCAGTGTTTCCTTCATCACCGCCACCACGTGTACAGGCAAGAAACTGGTCGAGATTTGCCGGCGGTGAGCGGCAGACAACAAGACACTTGACATGGGACTTCGACAGCCTTGCCTGCTCCGTAGTCTCCTCAATCAGATCGCGGATGGTGGAATGCTCGTGAGCCTTCAGATAGAGGTCGGAGTAGATTGATGAAAGACTCTCCATCACGGGAAGGAAACGTTCCAGGGGCAGCAGACCAAGCAGCGAAGACACCATGCTCTTTCGCTCCTCCCGTGTAGCCAAAGACGACACGGAAAATGAGTGATGTGTGTCAGATGTGACATGTCCCACTGCAAGGCATGCAACTGTGTTACGAAATTGAGATGCGCTGCCGCAGCCAAGAAAAGCTCCTTCCATACTGGGCTCAAAGGTGAGAATGTTCAAAACATCATTGTACTGCTGCTGCAGAGTTTCAACTGGTGACATTTGCCTGCTTAGATATTCCACAGCTTGTTCTGGTTGGACAGCAAACTTTGCAAAGCGGCTCAGGAATGGTGTTCTCTCCCTGGACGCATGCTCGCGATTCAACAGCACCACGCAGCGGAACTGCTCGTGAACTTGGCACGGGAACGTGCTGTCCTTCATGGCAATATTGGAGTAGGCGCACTTCTTGTCATCGACTGATATAGTTTGATAGGATTGGTTGAGCAGTTCATACAAGTAGCCGTGGAGTTTCGGCGAGTTGACCAGAACCACTGTGCACGGTTTTTCCAGGCACTGTCTGATCTTTGCCAGCACGGTCGTGCACTCTAACTCTTGCTCGTCACTGCTGGTGTTGGACAGCTGAAAGACGTGCGTTTTCTGCGCATCGTTCTCCAAGAACTTGATATGGTAGAGCATGTCCAGCAGGGCATAGTCGCATCCGTAGTCGTCGACTATCATCAGAAATCGCATCGCCAAGGCATTGGTGTTGCCAATGTCTTCCTCTTCCAGCTGCGCTTTCAGGTCAATTAGAATCTCCAGTGAATTGCGACAGCACACGCTTTCGTACGCAAACGTTGCAAGGTGGTTGGCAACTGCAGAGAAAAATATCTTGACAATATCTGTGATACCAACTGACGGATGCCCATTGAAGTTTTCCTCAATGGCCTTGAGCAGTTCGTCCGGATGGGTGCTGATTGTGCGACGGTTGAGTCTCTTCTGGTGACGACGCAGAGTGCGGAACAGGGAGATAAGGTCACGCTGATGGAACCAGTTGGAGCAATCCTCTCGCACCTTGCTATAGCCTTCACACACTCCACGGATGAACCTGGTGATGTCATCATCGCAGTGGTGGCTCAACTCGTGCTCGATGCAGCCATGAGCAAGTACCACCAGATCCTCATCGGATGCAAGTGATCGGAAGACTGTCAGCATACGGTTAGTGTTGGCGGCATCGAACCAGTGGTTGGACAGGGCTATGAAAGCTACTTTCTGTTCATCAAGGTAGCTGTGCAGGACTTTCATCACCATGCGATTCTGCTTCATGCTGGGTAGACCAGCTTCATCTACAAAGACAGTGACATTTGTCCGAATCCTGTCTTCTGTAGGCCGGTCTGCTGCTTGGTCAGCTGGAGGATTCATGGAACCATTCCCGTCGTCACCTCCGAATAAGCTGAACAAGTATTTATTTTCCTGTTGTATTGTGGTCTGTGGCTGTGATAGCTTGCGCTCAGCATCGTCATGATACTCCTGCCGATCAATTGCACTCTCAAACACCGCATGCAGCTGGTCTGTGGTGGTATCGGGAGAGCACTGGCAGAAGAAGGAGTCTACTGACGCGAAGAGTTTGCAGAATGCCTGCTCTGAGTGCGTTCCTCTCAGATTCTGGCTGACAATCTGGTAACTGAGAGTTTTGGAGGATCCCGGCTCACCAATGATTCCGAGCGGGATTTTCTCGTTGATGCAAGCCACCAAGCAGAAGATATTCTCCTTCAGGCCAGATGTAAGGGCAACACCTGGTGGGATCGTGAAGTGCTCTTCTGTGACGAACGTGTCAACGCACCCCTGCAACACGGTCCCGATGGTTGAGTTTGTGAAGCGACCATGGGTGTCACAACGAACATTGTCAAATATGGTCTTGTCAAAGTGATTCCTGCACACGCCAGGATATGTAATACTTGGCTCTTCTGGCAGGCGAAGGTAGAACACCATGGCAATAGACTGGAGAATGCACTTTACCATAATTAAGTCGGGTTGAGCATTCTGCAACTGCGCCCGATGCCGAAGGTGCCACTTGGTCTCAACATGCCAGAAATAGGGGATGAGCTTGAAGACACGCTGTATGTCGCGCTGACTCACAAACCGTTTAGACACCTTTTCCGTGCAGTAAGTGAACGAGTGATAGAGATACGAGCTGAGAAAATCGAAAACTGCCTCACTGATTTCAGCAGGTGATTCGGCAAGTTCCAGTTGATTTCTGACCGCCATGTGCCAGATCTTCTGAGAAGCATACTCTCTGATATCATCTTTATCTGTCAGTGATTCATACTTCCAGCAGTAGTGTGCCATTGTCCTGGGCAGAGGGTGAACGAGGTACTGCAAGCCGAGCTCCTCCTGCCAGCGTTCACTTTCTTCCGACCTCTCGGACAGCCGCACCGGGAAAGGTCCAGGGTTGCACAGGTCCACAGGACTGCACGGAGGATTGATGGCAGCCACGAAAAACATCTGATCAACACCCTCTGGCTTCTTCCCATCAATAGTGCGATCAACAATGAGCTCCTTGAATATGTTGAGGCAGCTGGCTGTGTTCACTTCATCAAAGAAGCCAACAACACTGACATTAGTTCCACGTACAAGATCAGCAAGTTCACGGACAAACTCTTGAATTATTGCCTTGGTGATACCAGGATGGACGAGCATCTTTCTGAACAGCGTCTTTCGTGGCGTGGCCAGCCAGTCTAGAATGAGCTGACAAGAGTCTTCGTTGCTTAGTCGGTCATTTCTGAGGGCAAGGGACACAGTTGTGGAGACTGGCAAAAGCAATTTAAATTCAGCTTCGCATTCCAGAATCTCTGCCTTCAACTCAAGTTTGGCCTTTTCACAAATGGATGGATTTGAGTGCAGCAGGTTCCTCCAAATCATCTTCAGCTCGAAGGCGTTGCACGCACATCTGGCATTCAAGTTCTCCACCTGGTAATCCTCTCTGTTCACCTTTGATGGCAAGTCATCTGAAGTATCACCAGCATACCAGTTCCGAAACTCTTCACCTATCTCCGGCCACAACACCTGCAATATCAGGTGACGCATCCAGTGGTTCATCTTCTGCAAGTGCTGCGTTGAGTTGATTGTTTCGTAATTGAGAAGCGCTGTGAATGTGTCAAGCAAGAATGATTTCCCAGTGCCTGTCTCACCTTCCAGGATCAGCGGTTTGCCAGATTTCTTACGCTCCTGTACAGCAACCAGTTTGTATGCAAAGTCCTCGGTGATGACAAACTCCTTCTTGGCTCGTAGTTGCTCAAGGTCGCATGGCTTGATAGAAAAATTCCATCTCAGCAACTCCTGCCACTCTCGAGGCATTTGCAAGTTGAATTGCTCTAGCCACATGAAAGTTTGCCCATTCACTCGGGATTTCAGATCTGGAAGCTCTTTCCGTGGTATAGGATGTGGGAAGAGGAACTTAAATGCCATTCTCCCATCGTAGATTAGAACCGGACTGCGAAGCTCCTTGAAGTTGCAGATATGAGCATTTCCACAGAATGCTTTGGCTTGCTCTTTGTACTGGTCAAACACAAGCTGTGCTAAATTTTGCAAGGCCATTAGGACAGCCGCCCGGAATGCTAGTTCTTTGGCTGCAGTGCTCCACTTTTGATAGACGTAGTCGAAAACAAACAGTTGCTGAAGTCTCCCAGTTACGTTGCCACCACACTCACGAAGAAACTCATCAAGTTGGTCATGGGCATCCTTGTCATCGAGGTGCTCTGTCTCGTAGGGGAAGATGTTTTCAGTGGTAAGATGTCTGGCCTCCTCACCGATCACCGTGGGCCTCCCAAGGCCAGTCTTGCTTTCCTTCAGTACGGCAGCCAGGGGTCGAAGCTTTTCATCGTCCAGATGCAAGCCATAGGAGCTTTCTGAGACGAGGATGATGTGTTCGGAATCGAGAATGTCCGTGACAAGGGGAAGTCCCCTCAGCGGATCTGGTGAGGTGTTGTTGCTGTCCGGTCGCATGAATGCGTCCGGCAGCTCAATGTACCATCGCCAACGCTGTGCAGCACCTCCAGGTATGGAAAACACCGACTGGCTGATGCGGCCAGAGTACAACGAGTGGCACCAGAGAAGCTCAAAGAAGATCTGGTTCACTGCATCCAGGTCTGCTGCCGGTGCCACGCGAAAGGCAACACTTTGAATCATGCTGAAATTGGAGGCAGCTGAGGTGTGCAGCAGCTTGCGCAAGCTCTTGCAGATGGCCTCTGTGTCTTCGTGAGATGAGACATTGATGATCTCGGGGGTGCAGCTATCACATTCCGAGCATGTGTGATTGATGTAGTGGGACTTCCCCGCACCAGCCGCTCCATGGATGAGAAACACCTCAGGAAACCGGAACTCAGTGGAGTGTTGATTCCAACAGGAGCTCACTGATCTAAAGCAGAGTTGGAGAGCGCTGCTTGATGCGCAGTGGAGTTCGTCTGCCTGCAGCCAGCGGTACTGCTGGCTCGGCCATAACTTCCAGTAGTCCTGTTGGTCAAACAGGTAGAAAACTTGCACAGCAAGGCTGCTGTTTCGATGTAATAACTGCTGATGGCAAACCACTGCTGCCAAGCAGTGGGTTGCCATGCGGTCTACGCCACACACGGCAAACTTCTTTCCAGGGCTAATAGAGATGGCGCGAAAGAAGTCATGTATCTCATTCTCACTCGTTGTCTCACTGCAGAAGAGGAACTGCGCTCGACACAGTTGAATGTTGCGAAAATGTTCACAAAGCAGCGATGCGAATGACGACGTCCTGGTCACTTGTGACTGCTCACTCACGCACAACACTTGTCCTTGATTGGTCACACCTGACCTGGACTGATGCAGCTCCAGTGAGTTGATCACCTGCTCAAGCATGCTGGAAGCGCTGCTCGAGCCCACAGCCTCCGAGAGTGCTGTGCACACCATCTGAAATGACAATGCAGTTGGCGATGCCACCAAGCCAATAACCGATGTGATTCGAGCCATCAAACTGCACGGCAGCTGATAGAAGTCGCTGCTGCCATCTCCCGTGCTAGCGTAACGACTCATCCAAGCCTTGCCCTCGGCAAGAAGCTGCCCGATGCTTATGCTTGGAAGCAAGTCCAGGAATGTTGAGGTGGAACGAAGTTGTCTAAGCTGGTCATGCCAGATTCCTCTGTGCAGCCGGACCTTTTCTTGGAAGTACTCGATCTCGTACATATTCAAGTCGAAGCCACTCTTGAGGCCTGGAAACAGCTGAAAGAACTCTGTGTTGCCGCTGTTCTGTAGACCAAGGACACTTTCAAACAGCTGTCGCAGGCTGGCGAGAAGGTTGGAGAGATTTATGTAGGCACTAGTCTCGCTGCAGAGATCATCATCACCTGGCTTCGGATCCTCCTCAGTATTTGTTTCAGGTAGATGACAGAAGTATGGCAAGCAGAGCTGCAGCTCCTCAAGACGGCGCATCCGCAGCTCCTTCAGAACCGACCGCTGCTCGGTGCACAGTGCGGGATCGGAGCTCGGGCTAGTGGAGAAGCCACTAGCTGGCTGGTGATAGCTACATTCATACATCAGGTTGCCATTGCTCTGACTAACAAGCCGTGCCTTGACCGGCTCTCCTCGAATGAGACCTATCATATCACGCTTGGCTCGGTCAAACGAGCTCTCCATAGCCGAGTTCAGCATGTCCCTGACAGCTCTCAAATTATCCATCAGGCTCTCCAGGAGCCCGGGACTGACGGTGACCATCTGCAACTGTCCAATAATGGCAGCTACTGTGCGCTCGGGTTGGTAAAATGCCATCATCACCGGCTTGATGTCCAGCAAGGTCTTGATTTGAGCGCTGCTACGTGGGTCTCCTTGAAGGCGAGTGTTAGCAATTTTCAGGCGCTTCTCAAAATCCGCTTCATTATTGAACACCTGCCGGAAGAAGTCGAATAGGTAGAAGCAGTTCTGAGTCGCAATTAGCCGGAAGAACTCCCAGTGGCACGGCTGGAGATCTTTCACCAGCGCGTACAGTTCTTCGCTGTTCTTGTCAATTTTCTCGAGGGTGGTGAATCCATCATCCTTCTCAGCGCGCTCCATATCCGTCTCCAGCAGTCGTATGCCCGCGTCATCTTGCGTAACACGCTTGAGCAGTGCCTGGCGCATGTTCTGTGTACCTTTGCTCTGCCGTACAATCTGAAGACGTAGCAAGCGCATCAGGCGTTCAGCACCGGCAGTCTGATCGGCGTGTGCTGGTGATGCCGAAATCAGCTGAATCTCGCCGTACACCAGGTCCAGCGATTGCGTGCGATCATGAGCGGAGTCCGGCATCTGGGCAATGACGTAGTCGACTATGGACGAGATGCTGTGCAGTGGAGTTTGCGGACGGAACAGATAGGAGACCTGCTTGTAGATCTCCCTCACGTGACCGGTGATAACCTTGGGCCATGTGTGCTTTGCCAAGTGTGCTGTTGCCGATCTCCTGGTCATGGCTTTGGACATGTAGTGCCTGCAAATAATGCTCTTGCATAGCGTGTTGCAAATGTACTCTGCTACAGTTGCCTGGGAGTTGCCAAGGGTAGTGCCAAACTTGCTCAGTAGTCCTGCATCTATCTCACCCAGGACGTTGCAGAAGTCAACGAGAGTCGTATCACCCAGAGTGTAGCTATCGTGCAGCCGTTGTAGCAATGTGCCAGCATCAGGCACGCCCTCTTCCTGGAGCCACTGAAGTACACGCACGTGACTCTTATACTTGGCCAACGCATCACTCCAGGCATTCATGTTGGCCAGATTGGGAAGGTCCATTGCGTGAAGCAGGGTGCCAATGGCAGCAGCGTTGTCCTTGAACTGGTTCCAAATGTGACGTGTACACTTGTCGGTGGCAAACATATCCTGCAAGACATCCAGCTCCTGCCTAAGATTCACAAAGCCTTGCATTGCAGTAGCCGGTATGCAGCATTCAGTAGGAGATTCAATGCTAACAAAGTTCTTCCAGGTGCAGTGACACATGGTTAGCATTGGAGCAAGTATGTTGGAATACTTCAGTACCTGCGGACCAGGCCTGTACCACTCCAGCTCGTCTAGAAGAATAGAGAACAGCAAGCCTTCGGTCACTGTGTGGCTTGCGGTCAACGCGGCATCGCTTCGTGCTGTAGCAAGCCTGGACAGCTGCTCGAGCAGAGGTGAGAGATCTGCGCGGAAGCGTTGTCGGCACTCTCTGGCCCACCATCGACAGTACGACCACCAAGCAATGATGATAGGATTCGTTGGCGATACGGTATGCTTGTGGCTCGCCAGGACATCCAGCACAGCCACGAGCTCATCCAAGTGAGTAGCCAGGGTCCTCTCATCATGCACTAGATGCTTGCTAGCCAGTCCCACCGTGGGAATTTCCGCTGTCGGCTGCACATCTTCAATGCAAAGTGTGCACAGCATCTTGGAGTTTGTCACCACCTTCATTAAACTGGCTGGATTTCCATCGACAATGTCATGGAGGCGCTGCAGAAGCGTTGTTAGTTCTCTGCAGGTGAACTGGGAATCCTTCTGACTCACAATTACGTCACATAGAACTGTGAGTCCCTCTTCCATGTCGGGAAACTGAGCCACGGGTCCTTCACCGAGGAAGAAGGCCAGCAAGATGTTTCCATGCGCCCACTTTTCTACGCTGCTGTCACCCGCACCCAGATCTTGAAGGAGTTCACGGCTGTCTGATTGGTCGCCACAGAAGTAGCTGTCAGCAAGCACCTGACGAATGGTCTTGAGCGCTACTTCTTTGCAAGGATGATTGCCAGTAGTCACTAGGTCACTGGTTTTAAACAGCTGCTGCCACATTCGTTCCTTGGATTTTGCTGCGTAGTCAAAGATCTTGCGGAAGAAGTCTGGATGCATCCAGAAGCACGCAGTGGTGCACAGCCTTCCTGTTCTGATATCAGTAGAGTCAGTGCATGACAGCTGAGAGTTGACATACTCCAGCAGGGACGCAACATCATTTACCGTAGGCATGGCAAAGTGGATGAGAATCCAGATGGCTTCCAAATCGCAATCTGACAGTTTGTGATCCGGCTGACCTGTGGGTGTCGGCGATCTGCCAGTGTAGTCAACTGGTTGGCCGACAAAGCTGCTCATAAGGATGTTAGTGAGTGTCTGTTTCTTCTTGCAAACATTCTTGACCAGCAATGCCACGGTACAATACTGCTGGAAGTCGTCGTAATAGCCCAGCCGCCAGTCCTTAGCGCACACTTGCAGCAGAACGGTCTTCTCCCCTTCAGTGTCATCCCAAGCGATCTTCTCTGCGATCTGTTCCCAGCTCAACTTAGTGCTGCGGCTAGCGTTGACACTGCCTGCCCTGAGAAAGCCATCCAGAACCATCAGGACAAGAAGAAGGTAGACATTATCCATACTACAGGATCCCGCTACTTGTACAGCAGTATCTCCCAAGCACTTATGGGTGTTGGGAAAAGATGCCGACTTGGCAGCATCGAAAATCTCCATGGAAACCAGATCCTTGGCGAACGATGGCTTGAAGAAGGACAATGCGAATCGGTTCAACAGCGCAATGATTGCTGAGTGTTCCTTGAATTGCTTCACGTCACTGTAGAATGTCTGGTGTCCAATGTTAGTGAGGAAAGAGATGCCATGGAGGAACACCACTGCGGCCATGCGATGACACAACTCTGGGCTGATTTCCTCCTGGCTTAGCCGTCTCCAGTGATGTTCCAAGAACCCCAGCATGATGACGCACATCCGCTGCAGAGGTTTAACTTCCACGTATAATGATGGGTACTCAGGCAAATGTTCCAGGCATGTGCCGTCCGGCAGAAAGTTGACTCGTTGCAGACTATGAAACAGCACTTCTTCCTGAGGGTTACGGTCTTCTGTGCTTGGATGCTGCGTTGCGAGACAGCTGCGGACCAGGTTATCCCATGGCGTGCCTCCTCTGCTGTCCTGTAGAAAGCACAAGTCCGGAAAGAAGAGCAGACCGTCACAGTCAGTGCCCATTGAAACATAGTATTCTTCACACTATGTTCTGGCTGCCTGTTCGGACCTGATGATCGTGACAACGTGAAACTCGGAGTCGCCACACAGCTCCCCCCCCCCCCCCCTCTCCCTTTCCATTGTGCTATCATTAGGGAGGTTTCGCTCTACGGAATTACGTATGAAAATAACGTAGGAACTGCACAGAACTTTCATACGTAAAAGTCAGAGCTGTTGGGTTTCGCTCTACGTGATTTCTCCACGACTGCTAAACATGCGTTGTTGCTTTGGAGACGCGTTGGCTGCATGCGCCCGCTGCATGCACCATGAACCGAAACCGCGTTTCCCTTTTTATTTTGCACGTGGTGTACGGTGTGTGTACCTTTTGTTTCGCGCGGCTTGAACGTTGCCATGGATAAATCCGGAAAATGCGAACAAATATTTCAAAACATCCTGCGGAGGACCCAAAGTAGGAAACAGCTTTCCTACGGAAATCCGTAGATTTACGTTTGAAAGTTGCCCTCACTCCCCGGCGCGTACGACATACGGATTTTCATACGTAATTACGTAGAGCGAAACCTTCCTATTACACTATACGATCTCGACCAGTTTTGATGTCTTCATCACACAGCTATGCCAGTGAACACAAGAACGACATAATCATCACCCCCTTGCATTATCTACAGCTGAACACATAACAACCGATCATCCCAGTGGCAATACATAACAACCGATCATCCCAGTGGCAATACATAACAACCGATCATCCCAGTGGCAATACATAACAACCGATCATCCCAGTGGCAATACATAACAACCGATCATCCCAGTGGCAATACATAACAACCGATCATCCCAGTGGCAATACATAACAACCGATCATCCCAGTGGCAGTACATAACAACCGATCATCCCAGTGGCAGTACATAACAACCGATCATCCCAGTGGCAATACATAACAACCGATCATCCCAGTGGCAATACATAACAACCGATCATCCCAGTGGCAGTACATAACAACCGATCATCCCAGTGGCAATACATAACAACCGATCATCCCAGTGGCAATACATAACAACCGATCATCCCAGTGGCAATACATAACAACCGATCATCCCAGTGGCAATACATAACAACCGATCATCCCAGTGGCAGTACATAACAACCGATCATCCCAGTGGCAGTACATAACAACCGATCATCCCAGTGGCAATACATAACAACCGATCATCCCAGTGGCAATACATAACAACCGATCATCCCAGTGGCAATACATAACAACCGATCATCCCAGTGGCAATACATAACAACCGATCATCCCATTTGAAATACATAACAACCGATCATCCCAGTGGCAATACATAACAACCGATCATCCCAGTGGCAATACATAACAACCGATCATCCCATTTGCAATACATAACAACCGATCATCCCAGTGGCAATACATAACAACCGATCATCCCAGTGGCAATACATAACAACCGATCATCCCAGTGGCAATACATAACAACCGATCATCCCATTTGCAATACATAACAACCGGTCATCCCAGTGGCAATACATAACAACCGATCATCCCAGTGGCAATACATAACCGATCATCCCAGTGGCAATACATCGAAGCTGTCCTAGAACGACTACTGTGAACCGGAAACATTCGGTGGAGATTTATTTTCGGTAACTTCCACGGTACAACTTTTCTAATTGTCCGCAAACTCCAACGCAGTCAGTTGCACATTTTAGGAAACTTCACTTCTCAACTCGAAACTCCAAAAACGGTCTTTTCACAGTCTTCAAATTAAAATTTACATTACACCAAATTTTTGGAGTAAAGGTTTTTGGAGTTCGGAGTTGAGAAGTGAAGTTTTCTATATTTTGGTACAGGTAATTTTCACCTAAAATAAAACGCGACCTAAAATTCAACCATGCCACGCAACACAGTGTTCAAAAATGCATTTTCGGATCTGGAAAACTGGTTCACCGAAATTTTCGCGCTACCGAACCGTTGAATTTGGGAAATACCGAAAATATTACAGCACTGAAAATTCCCTGTTTTACAGTGCCTGGAGTTACTACAAAGAGCCATCAGGCAACTCGGACTCAAAGAGTTGGTGGACAAGCCGTTGATTACTCACTCTCATTGTAATATCAAAAAAGTATTCTTTCTAGACTAAAGAGTGGTATATTTGATAAATTTTAATAACGATAGAAATATTTACGATACTTCTCCAGACGTTTCGTTGTTCTGAACAACATCGTCAGTGGATGGGGGGCTTTATCCACTGACGATGTTGTTCAGAACAACGAAACGTCTGGAGAAGTATCGTAAATATTTCTATCGTTATTAAATTTTATCAAATATACCACTCTTTGGTCTAGAAAGAATACTTTTTTGATACAACTCGGACTCTTTGGATTTGGTCTAGGTCCCTGTAAAATAAGGTACTAGAATATCACATGAATGCTACGTGCGCATTCATTGTTGCTCAGTAGATGAAATCATGTCCTCACCTCTTCATAGTTCTTGAAGAAGATCGAGTGGTAGTCTACAGACGCAAGGCAGAACCAATGAAAGAACATGCTTTCAGTGTGGGTGGGTGTTGGGGGGGGGGGGGGGGGGTGTGAGGATGGGGCAGCAAGCCAAACCAGCCATACATGTCTGTATTGTACCCCCATGCACGCCACACACACATGCATACAGATTATAACAGTGAATAGCATTGTGTGCATCCATGGACCGAGTACTAGATCATGCCGTGATACATTGATTGTACATAGAGACAAATGGGCACATGACTACATTGAAGCAAGAGTACATGAAAACCAGAGTGTGCAGCTCGGGTGGGTTCCTGTCACGGCGGACTTCCGTGCTTACATCATTTTAGTGACGTAGTGCGTACAAGCAGGATTCAAGCAGGTCTCTTTCTGCACAACTGCAGCTCAGTTGCACGCACTACGCCATTTCCCGCCTCAGATCTGCACCAAATAATATTTGGTGCAGATCTGAGGCGGGAAATGGCGTAGTGTCACGGCGGAATTCCATGATTACAGCATATTATGATGTAATCACGGAATTCCGCCGTGACAGACACCCATAGCAGAGAAGGCCCCAAGCTGCACACTCTGGGTTTCATGTACTCTAGATTGAAGTATATCTTAACCGGAAGAAAGTGAAAATTATGGTATAGCAAGAGTTACAGCCCCCCCCCCCCCCCCCCCGCCCGCCTACATAAACCAGCTGACGTCACAGTCAGGAACTACCACGGAATGTACAACAAGGTCCTGTTGTTGCTTACCTGATGCTTGTATGCTGGTAGGAATGTGGTGGACATCAATTGCCAGGCCAACGTCGCCCGTCTTGGCCACTCTGACAAGATACCATTTTGCTGATAGAGCATGCAGGACCTGCACTGCGTCACCAGCAAGTCCGCTCACAAGCCGTGGAAATCGCTCATTCGGCCCGCCATGGTCACTTCCAAGACAAGGCTCGGGCTCTACAAGAACACAATCAAACAATGCATGGAGTAAGTGCAAAGCGATGCAATGATGCATTGTGCACCAAGAATGCATGAGTAAGTGAACCGTAAGTAAACCGTTGAATTCCCCCAACAATGAAAACATCAGGATCTGTAGAGTTTATAGGATGCTGTCGAATGGTCTTGGTCCGAAGAGAGTCGATATTCACAATCGCACTCGTACACATCCACAGAAAGCCTCAATCAGCAATAACATCCTGAGCCTTGAAAACCAGAGATACAGTCTTTTATATTTTGAGTGCAATATGTTCGAGCGAATAATGGTGTGTCACAGGACCAAGACCATTCTATCCAGTCCCACCCAATCTCGATGTCTTCTGAACATTAAATTTTCATTGCCGCGAGACTTTTGCATGGTAGTTCCTTTCCAGCATTCAAAGATTGTGCTAAGGTACATGGCACGTATGCCTATGGTTTGCACATACGCTAATAACCGTGAAGACCATTGTACACAAAGTATACCTGAATCCCTAACTCTACAGACCATGACGTTTTAAGTTTTAGACTGAAACTTCCCCTTTTAAAAGTCTTTCACAAGCACCACCAGTCACCAATCACCAGCAATATCATTACCATACACTGCACAAGGTTTTCCGAATTTCGTTTCATCGACAGGTGGTCATGAAGTACAGTAAAACCTGGTGGAAGCGACCTCTGTGTTAAGCGACCGCTTTTCCATGCACCGAAAGTTCTACACAGAAACTGTGGGACCTGGTTCTAAAGATCACCTGGCTTTAACGACCGCTTTTGCTTGCACCGCCGGGTGGTCGTTTAAACCAGGTTTTACTGTAGACACTAATTCAGTGAGGGATTATACATGGGCTGCAGCTTTTTAATACTGGAAATTTACGGACAACCCCTAGAAAGGGAATCGGGTGTCCTGTACTGGCCCAACCAGTATACAGCCGGTGTGGCTGGACCATCAAATTAGGGCCGTCGGACACGGTACGGTCACTACGGTATGGATCATACCACTGTTTGCCCCAGTTACCCCGTGAATAAATAAAATACACTGATTTGGGCAAACAATTCCAAAAAATTTGGCTCGGCCACTTCTCCCCACGAGTAAACGGTATTTCAGGTGGCTGACCGTACCACACTAAAATACCTTCCGACGGCCCTGTGACAATGGTTGGCTCTAGATCCCAGTCATCTAAGTGGGTCTATGCCTGGTTAATGACCAGTTGGGCTAAAGTCCAGGCTACTATGCTCCGAAGTCTTTTATGTAAATGTCTACCAATAAGTAGTTAAAACTGATGGAAGCAAGCAGGCAAAGATCTCTTGGAGTTTAGACATACTCTCATGTTCCAGCTAAAACAACACATTTCAAACTATTCAAACAGTATTCACCACCATCATCAATGAGAAAGTGGTGGACATCACGCAACTGCATTGTAAATAAAAGGGGGTTTGTCAACTGACAACCGCTCTATTTAGTTCGGCTAATAAAATAATTTTCATGTAAAGGGTGAATAGCAACTAAATAGAGCGGTTGTCAATTGAAAAAACCCTTTATCATCAATGAGGACGCATAAAATCCCAGAACCAGTTTTCGGGCTTTCTCTTCAAGTGGAATATAAGCAACTAGAACCAATGAAACGTGGGGAAAAATTATTTCCAGGAATTTCTTTGCTCGGTGCTCGACATGCGGAGTTTGTGCCGTATAACGTATGATCACGTTATTCACAGGTTCTTTGTAGCCTCACAAAACAAAACTGAGTGGCTGTTCTCAACCTGGAATGGTTACTGTAGTACATGACCGAGAAGAGCCGTCAGAGCATAGTGTGCTCTGCTCTTCAAAGAATTACGCATTCAGATTTGGCTTGAATTGACTGGCAGAAGATCGATTCGGCGAAAGGTTTTAATAATAATAATAAAAATTCGACGAGGAGACAATAATTTTAATATGGCAATAAGTAGGACGAGCTGAAGCGACATGTGGACTACTTTATTAAAAATGTAAGCGATGGAGACAATGCAAGAAATAACCTAAAGGGTAAGGAAAAATACATGTAAGAAGAAAAAGGGCAATGGAAAAAAAAGATAATTCGAACAAGTTTTCGTACAACACTCTTCAGGAATCACCGTTGTACTAAAGAACAAAATGAGAACAAAGGAAATAATATAGCAATCAAGGTAGGTTTTTTTTCCATTGCCCTTTTTCTTCTTACATGTAATTTTCCTTACCCTTTAGGTTGTTTCTTGCATCGTCTCCATCGCTTACATTGTTAATAAAGTAGTCCACATGTCGCTTCAGCTCGTCCTACTTATTGACATATTAAAATAATAATAAAAATAATAATTTGTAAGAAAGGGTTTGCTCCCCACACCGGAGCTCGCGCGCTATTCCGCCGACTTTACTTGACACTTGACTGACTCACGACTGCCATCCAGAGCACACGAGAAGTCCATCGAACCTTCGACTCGGCAAACCTGCAAGAAAGCACCACTCCCTGCTCAATACACAGTGTTTCGCGGAATTCACCCCTCATCAGTTGAGCTTGAGTAGGCTGAGGAAGATTGTGCCTGAAGAGCACCACTTATATAGTGCTCTCCAGGCACAAACATCACCAGGGATACAAACTTACAGAGACGCTCCGTTTCCAGCGCGACAAACACCTCGTGAACACCAGATAGCAGCGTGAGTCAGTGTCGCTCCTGGGTTTGCTCCGGTGTGGGGAGCAAACCCTTTCTTACAAATCATCGCCGAAGTCGCAACCACTACTTCGTACTGTTGTGCCCAGCGCGGGCTTGCGACTAGTTGGTTTGGAGGTGACAGCGTTGCGAATGACCGAGGGTCCTCGACGTCTGTCTCACCGTCCAGGAGCGACACTGACTCACGCTGCTATCTGGTGTTCACGAGGTGTTTGTCGCGCTGGAAACGGAGCGTCTCTGTAAGTTTGTATCCCTGGTGATGTTTGTGCCTTGAGAGCACTATATAAGTGGTGCTCTTCAGGCACAATCTTCCTCAGCCTACTCAAGCTCAACTGATGAGGGGTGAATTCCCCGAAACACTGTGTATTGAGCAGGGAGTGGTGCTTTCTTGCAGGTTTGCCGAGTCGAAGGTTCGATGGACTTCTTGTGTGCTCTGGATGGCAGTCGTGAGTCAGTCAAGTGTCAAGTAAAGTCGGCGGAATAGCGCGAGCTTCGGTGTGGGGAGCAAACCCTTTCTAAGGGCCGGGTTCCACTGCGGCTCCGCTGCTCCGCTGCTCGTCTTTCGCGGCTTGAAACGTCGTCATTACCATAGTGACTGCGGCTCGAGCTGGAGCAGCGAGTTCGCGGCTCACCGCGGGCTTTTGCTACGATTCTTGACCAAAAACTGCGAGCCGCATCGCGGCTCGACCTGTTTCCCGTACTTTGCATTGTTTTGTACGCCAGAATTTTAAAATTCAAATTTTAATTCGTTGCGCAGGCCAGAACACGAGGATTTGTTTGATTTCGCGCGCGCAGGCAGGTGAAACGTCATCAAAAAGTGTGGACCACGACTGCGGTACCGCGAATGGCGAGTGACAGTGGAACCGCGCTGCTCCGCTGCATGCAGCCAAGTGCCACGGAGCAGCGGAGCCGCAGTGGAACCCGGCCCTTACAAATCATCGCCGAAGTCGCAACCACTACTTCAAAATAATAATGTAGAAAGGAAAAAGACATTATGGATACGAGTTAAGAGTAACTCTCCATCACTGTAACATGATACTTTATACAGTCAGAAAGTGCAATAACTAGGCACAAAACTGGCTTTCGGCTTGTACAATTCGTTTTCGCAAAGCTTCCCATTTTTTACTTATCTTTGATATTTATGACCCACCCAAGTTGGGTGGTGTGCTGCTTTGCTGCTTCGAATTGTAGTTAGACCGCTTTGTCAGATATCGTACTGGTCTCGTCATCCGGTCCAGTAACAATCGACATTCTTTGTTCCGTTGGGACTGTAGCTTTTGCTCGTTTTCGTTGCGCTTGCCTTCCCCTCTTTGGTCTTTTCCATAACCTTCAACCTTCCAAGTTGGAAGGCTGTCGGTTAGCGCTACGGAGATGTGTTGAAGCTAGGTGTCAGGACGTCGAATGTCTCAGTACTCTGTCAGTTTTGTGCCTAGTTATTGCACTTTCTGACTGTATAAAGTATCATGTTACAGTGATGGAGAGTTACTCTTAACTCGTATCCATAATGTCTTTTTCCTTTCTACATTTATTTATGGCTCAACATCCGAGTTTTACAATAATAATAATAATAATAATCAACGCAATAAATAGAGTAAGCTGCGCACTCAGTACAAACACCATAAGTAAAACTTGTTTTCATGTAAATAAAGAAGCTTGTTCCTAAACGTTTTCGTCGCCATCTTATCAGAGGATTACTGGCACATCAACAAAAGCTCTTAACTCAATATATATACGCACAATGCCAGTAATCCTCTGATGAGATGGCGACGAAAACGTTTAGGAACAAGCTTCTTTATTTACATGAAAACAAGTTTTACTTATGGTGTTTGTACTGAGTGCGCAGCTTACTCTATTTATTGCGTTGATTACATTTTTATCTCCACGGAAGCTTAATAATAATAATAATAATAATAATAATAATTTGGAAAGGATTGGGAGAACTTCAAATTCAAAGGATCGGGGAAGTGAACTGCCTGAAAAGAGAAAAAACGCCAGACCCACCAGGACTCGAACCTGGGACCCTGCTTGTCATGAGCAATGCTCTAACCACTGAGCTATGGGACCAGGCTGAACCTAGAAGGCGCTGACAAGTTTTTCACTCCAAAGGCAGCTCACAACACGTGCCACACATACTGATGGCACTTGGGTCTTTTTCCCTCCCCCAGGGGACCAACCACGGTCAGTTTCTGGAAACTACCAGAGGTGAACACGATGAACAGGGTAACGGCATGCCAGCGAGTAGACCTGAATACTGACAAGAATGTTTGCGCAGCCCTTTCTTGAATACATGGACAGAAGATTCCGAAGTCAATGTGGGTAGGAGACAATTCCATAAAAGGGAGGTTTTGAATAAAAAAAAGTGATTCGGATGTTGTCAAGGCTTTGGAGAGGATAATTTTGTTGGGGCGTCTCTCACTACGGGAAATATTTAAACTGAACTGAGCCAAGGTGTTCCAGTATTTTAATTTATGCACTATTCAAATTTGAGGCAGTCTACCTGTACCTGCAATTCAAACGTGGAAAATAGTATTGCTAAGCTTACCCCTAGCCCTGATGGATAGGTCATCCAGCGGGTTGCTGACCATTACAAAAGAATGTACACTCTCCGTGACAACTGCAGCAGCAGCAGCAGAAGCAGCAGTAGTAGCCACCGGTATGGCAATGCCGGAGCTGACATTGCTTGCAGTAAGGACTCCCTCGTCTGTGAAACAATAACGAAAATAGTGAATCACATAATGATCTCAGTATTGGTATAATTCAGATACCAATCAGTCTCCAAGTTTTCTTCTTCCTCTTTTGCACTCTGTAGTTGCACCGAAGTGAAAATGGGACCTCATTACAACCTACGACTAGTGAGTAATAACAGATCGAGATAAGGAAAAGTAGAGAACAACTTTGAAGGGCAGGCGGTTCGTATGCCAGGAAAGCCAAGAGATTCCCTGCAGGAGATTCTCGTTCATCCACGGGAGATGCTCGTTTGCCTGTCACCGGATAAGGCATCCATATATGTACGAGTCCATAATGGAAGTAAGTTCTCTGTGAAACTACTGATAGGCTAAATTTGACTCATTCACGGTGAATGATGGGATCGAGGCCCCAGTCTCTCTGGAGGTGTGGGTTCGAATTCCAACGCTGCGTCCTGTTCGGCCTGCAACCCACCTAGGAGTCCATTGGGGACAAAACTTGTTCGCATAGAGCAAGCACATCATTATAAAATACAAATGAGAGAGAGGGTACGGAGAGAAACGATGCTGCGACAATCACTTACGTGACTATACACTACAACAATCGCACAGAGAATGTCACTATGCTTTAGTTAATGGCAGACACATGATCATGTGGTATAGGCAACTGAGCCTAGTGCAAGTTCTACTATACTCACCTGATAAAAGTACATCATCACCGACTTCTATGTCCGCCTGCATGGCTGACTTCACCAGAGGAGAAGCTTCAGAAAGCCAATAGCCCGACACCGCTTTTCATCATCATTGTGTAGCACTGACCTTACAGTACAAGCACGCAAACAAAACGAGAGCACATAGCAAACGACTTGAACAGGTATGATGCGATGTTCGGATTCTGCTACGACACAACCTGATGCCTACTTGTAAAGTGTGTGTGTGTGGGGGGGGGGGGGGGGACTTATGAATCGTAATGATAGAACCCCTCTTTACCCAGTGCTGGCTGTAACTTCAATCCCACAGGATCAATAACTGCCATGACGGAGTGCTACGATAAGAAGGCACTTAGTGCTTTTGTCTGCAACCGAGGCATGGATTTCGAACTCAATCACACGTACCCCGGAGAACTTGGCCGTAGAGCCTCGGAGTACTACAAGCCTACTGACTGGGCTCATTTCAGGTAAGTGCTTATCACCATGATGTGAATCCTTGCCGTCATCACAGTCTGTACTGTTCTGTATACAGTGGGTACCTAAAGTCGCATGTTGTCGTCAGGCGAAATAGCACGTCATAGTACATTCGAGATCAGCGGGAAGAAGATGACGACGTCCACTAATTTAGTGTCTGTGCACACGAATCTGCTGTGTGTGTTACTCTGTGTGTCAGCTATGGCATCATCGCCTGTGGTTTCATGCCTAGCATGTACGTCTGAACCATCCTGCAAAGTTTGAATGACGTGGGTTGAGCGATCGCTCCGCGAAATATACTTTTTGAAATTCTCTTCATAGTATATTTTCCATCATTGAAATTTCGAATTTCTTCGAATTTTTTGCTGAGAGGGGTGGCTTGCAACCTTGATATGGCTTGTTCCAGGCATGCTTTGGAGCCATCGCCTGTTGAAACAGTGGCGGGAAGCTGCCCTGCAACTGTTCCAACAGGAAATTAATCGATCCGAGAAAGCGCAAGTCCGCGAATCTCGGTTGAATATTGAGTATTTCAAGCCTTTTCACGACGAAGATGGAGTTCTTTTTGGAGATGGACGTCGCGGCAAAGGACATGGTGTCCGACTTCTGGTGTCTGGTGAAGCCAGGGATCATTTGTCCAGTCAGATCGGCAGCCTAACCGTCGGTAAGCTTGTGTTTGGATCCCGTTCTGCTCGATGTGTTAGGTCACAAACAATTTGATATCGCACAAATTGATCTCAGCATCGTGCGTACGGTATTTTATATTCAGAAAATCCCAAAGTGTCTCTGTGTGGCCGTCCTATGCCACGAGAAACTCCAATCAGGCTCCTATGTCCTCTGCCTTCATCATTCATGATTGAATATCCACTTCGTTTGAACAACGAACACAACAATTGAGGACGGCTTTGCAATGAAAAATACAGCAATACGGAGCTGAAAAAAAGACGAAAAAACGTGCTCAGGATGAGACTCGAGTACATGCATAATCTCCCAGCAGGTGAAACGCAAATTTTTGTGAAAAATGCGTGTCGCCGGCTGACCAGTAATTTCGCCTGACGTGTTGTTGTTGTTTGTTTATTTACGGATTCTCCAGAGGTAAATGGATACCTATCATGGGAGTCTCACCTAACCAATAAAATAATGAAAATAAAATTATGTATGGAGCATGTAAAGTGCAGTGTGCGTGGCTACGTAGTGCAGGCTTCTAAACAAGGTGCAAATGTGTGCATAGCAGATGCATACGTGTTTATTTAGGTGCCATCACATTTTTTAGATATTCATGTGTCTATCACGGCCGGGTTTCAGTACGAGTCACACTTTCTACAGTACCCCTCAATGAAATCCGATCGAGTCACTCAACGCAGCACCGGGCATTGCGCAGCCCTATACCCGGCAAACTTGACTCACACGACTGGATTTCATTGAGCAGTGCTGCACAAGACTCCGGCAACACAACGGTTCAGCCAAGGCTGTGATGTTGGATGAAGTCCGAGCTCATGCCTGAATATGCTAGCGCCCAGTGCACAGCTATACCCATACCTCAGTCTGGCAGTCACGCTCGGCCGTGGCCTAGGGCTGCACAGCACCGGGCACACGCTGACTCACGAGGCCGGATAGCGTTCAACAGCATACTATAGCAGTATATCAACAGAGAACCGGCTTATCAATATGCTTGAGTCGTTCACGCTACTATCTATGGTACATGGTACTCGTGTCCGGTAAGTAAGCTAACAATATGATGAAATCTATTATTGTTTGAAGGTTATTCAGGCCTAACTCAGGCGAGCAAGCAACGGTATGTTTCAAGATTCTATTATAAATTATTGGCCATGAAGAGTGACTTTTACTTTATTATACATGTAATTCTTGGCCCAGACTAGGCCAATTTTTCGGCCGATATGGGATCGTACGACAAAATTCTCGAGATGGGAGCGAAAATTGCCTGGTGTGAACGGTGTTGTCGCATGCGTTTCCAACAAATTTCAGTGTGTGTGTGTATCGGTAGTCCGATTACATGTTGGGGTCAGTGTCGGAGCATCGGCCGAAAGATCGGTCTAGTGTGGCCCAGGCATTAGTCATGCTGTATCATGGAGTACTACTACTAGTAGGGTGTCGGCAACATGCGTAAAACACCCGGGACAGCACTTCAACTGACGTGTTACTTCAAAATTGCAAAGCAGTGATATTATTATGTAGTTATTTTTAAGCACCCACCCTATCCATGGCGGCAATCAAGGTGATAGTGATACCCCACTTACTTGCTCGCGCCCGTTCGTGATGGCGCTGTCCACGTACGTGTTGATGATCGCCCACGCGCACGATCGATCGATCACACACGTAACAGAGTAGTGTGAAGTAACTGAACGCACTAAACGCAGTCGCCGTGCCTAGCCGGCGATGCTTGTAATCAGGTAACAGGGGCAAGTCCCTGCTCTACAAGTTTTAGCTCTCCCTTTTTCTGGACACGGGAGAAGGGAGGCAGCAACACCATGAACCGTGAGTGGAAGGCCAACGAATCTGCACGCGATCTAGCCAAATTTCCTCAACAGCGTTTAGAAATGTTTGCAAATCTGCTAGCGCAATCTCGCGATCCGTTTCCTGGTCCGGAGCGCGACCCCGACTCCGACTCTCTGCTTGGCTCGAGGCCCGAGGTCACGAGGCAAGTGACCTAGTAGTACATGTAGTACTACAAGTCTACATGATCATGATCATTACTACTACAAGTACAAGTGTATTTTATGTGTCATGTAGATCTACAATGTATCTTATACTAAACTAGTGTCAGTAGTGAACCAGCGCAGCGCTAGCAGCGCATGCAGCAGCTGCACGTGCAGATCGATAAGATCCGCTAGCTGCTTTTTTTCTGTAGACGAGCTCGTAGACAAGGATGCACCATGTACCAACGCAACGCCGGTGACTTCACTTGACTCTTGTCAAATCTTGAGCAGGCGAAGTAAAAAAGTGTCAAAGCCCCCGGGCCCGGGAGAGCACCGTGATCATGGTGATGGTGATATGCCAAGAAAAATCTGAGGTTCCCCTTCCTCAACTCAAGTAATAAAGTTCTTGACACATAACAACAGTTACTCCTCCATGTATCCACTCCACTCTCCAGTGGCAGTGCTCAGCAGGGAGTCGTAAAATACCGGTATTTTACGACTCCCTGGTGCTCAGTGCTTGGCGCAAGCTAGCTGGCCAAGCCAGCAAAGCTAAAGGTGAGTCCAAGAGTAGATAAACAGTTTATCTACTCTTGGTGAGTCGTATTAACAATAAATGAGGAGGCCGAGGGTTTATGACCAATAAAAACTATTATAAAAACCTCGGTCCCAAAAAAACCGAGGTCCCCCGAGGTTTTTATAATTAGTTTTTATTGGTCATAAACCCAAGGCCGGAGCATTTATTGTATTTAGAATCAACCAGTAAAAACTCCTACTCAATCTCCAACAACAAAACTAGTGTACAGCTGTTATTTGTGTTGCCATGACAACTCGTGTTGTTGTTGTTGTTGTTTCTTTATTTTACTTCACCATATGAACAGGCAAGACTGCCTTCTCACCGGGGCTATTGGCCCACGGCTCTCACCATGATTATGATGAAAAATGTGTATGAAGAAGAAAGGAATGGAAAAGAAGATGAAATGAAAGGAAAGAAAACAGTAGGTATTAATTTTATGAAGGGGGGGGGGGAGTATGAAATGGGTATTATCATAGTTGATGAGAGAAGTATGGTATCCAATATTCTTGTTTTATAGACTATTTAGTACGGGCATTTCATGAGAGTCATGCATGGGCAAGGCAGGATTGGGACTAGGATAGAGGACAAGAACATAATTGCCATGCGATGAGCATCTGTTCAGGCAGAATCTGTGAAGAAGACATAGTAGGCACAACATCGGAGAGCTAGTTGAGGAGGGAGATAAGGTCATAGCCAGACAGCAATGCTTGAAACGTGTGGCGTACGTCGCAAGCGCGAATATCAGCAGGGAGAGAGTTCCATGTGGTACTGCCAACAAAGGCGATAGAGCTACGGCCTGAGGGACCCGGTAGGAACGGCACTCTGAGCAGCTGGCTGACCTGACCACGCGTGACACAACTTCTGTCCACATCCGTGGCAATGAGGGAGTAGTAGGATTGGAACAGTGAGCTGGCTCTGCCATGAAGGCAGCGGAAGACGAAGAGAAGCAGACGTTGCACGTACAGCTGGTCGGGAGCTGAGGCATTGATAGTCTGGCAAATAGGGGAGCAGTGGGGGGTCCTTCTGGGGAGTTGGAAGATGGCTCGTATGCCAGACTTAGCAATGCGTAGCAGTCGATGTAGTAGCAGTTTGGATAGAGCGGGAAAGAAACAGTTTGAGGCATAGCAGAGAACAGACTGGATCATACTCATGTACCAGGCCCGGCGGGCATTGAGTGAAAGGCACCGTCCATGGCGCCAGAGCTGCCCGATTGTAGTAGCAGTCTTGCTGGCAATAAAGTCCACTTGGGGCTTCCAGGACAGTTGGTCATCATCAGTCAAGCATGACACCGAGATACTTCGTGACTGGAGTAACATCAAGCACTGTGGTACCACACTTCACTTCAGATGGTCCATCCAGACACCCACGGGGTCTCACAAACATAACTTGGGTTTTACTGGCATTTAATAGCAGACCAATGTTGTCCAAGTACTCAGCGAGTCGTGTTACAGCGTTAGAGAGAACAGAGCACACTAAATCGGGCTGATAGTCGGAGTAGTCCAGAGCCACATCATCAGCGAATTCCTGGTGGCATACACTACCTGGTACTGAGAACTGACGACATATCACTGGTGTACAGTACAAAAAGAAGAGGGCCCAGAACGCTGCCTTGAGGCACTCCTCGGGAGCATCCAACATATTGCGAAACTGAGTGGTCCACCCGTACACACTGCTGCCGCTCCGAGAGATAACTGAGGAACCATTCCAGTGGTGTGTCACAAATGCCAAGGTCAAACAGCACTTGCACAAGCCTGGCATGCTGGACTCTATCAAACTGTGCCTTCGATAGATCTACCATTACTACCCCGGTGTGTTTTCGTTCCGATTTGGCCAATTTCCAGCGGTTGGAGGCAAGGATAAGAGCATCTTCTGTTGAGTGATTTCTTCGGTATGCAAATTGACTTGAAGGTAACAAGGAGTGATCATCTAGGAAAGTTGTCAGCTGTTTCTTGACAAAGTGTTCCAGTATGCGAGAAACAATAGGCCGCAGTAGCGAGACGGGCCGATAGTTACGAGCTGACAGTGGGTCGCCATTCTTATACAATGGGCTGATAAGAGAATGTTTGAAAGTTGATGGCACTATACCAGACGCAAGAGATAAGTTGACGATCTTCATCAGGTATGGGGAGAGGGTGTCCGAGCAACGTTTCAACACAATACCTGGGATTCCACGTGTGCTGGACGATGATTTGTTGTCATTGGTTCAATTTCTTTTACTCTTCATAGGCTATCAGATCATTTTCCTTATTCTGTCTATTAATAACCAGTATCTATTGAGAGTGTGGTCTGTCTCCAGGGTTACCGGTGTTCATTTCATAACTATAGCCACTTCTCCTTGTTAGACCTTATCTGGAAGGCCCATTCTTGCATATTCCAACAGCAGCCAAGGGAGCTAGCTCTCTTGGTTATGCGGACTGGGTCCGACCCTAAAAAGCTGTTTTTATGAACTGTTTTTATTGGATAGGATATGATTATGTTGAATAAACGAGGTTTGTGTCAATGGGAGATTGACTTGGAGTCAGGGAGTCGTAAAATACCATATTTCTTGCTTGGAGTTTTTACGAGTTGATTCTAGAAGATTATAAGTTATAACTCCCGATTCGAAGCAAGAAAATGCTCGCTCCAAAAATATTATTTTATTGTTTTGCATTTACATTTACATGTATTTCACATTTAATACTACATGCTAGGGAGTCGTCAAATGAGCCAGCACAAGCGAAAAGGGACCTTATCCGTTTTTTGGGCATTTTGAGTTAGCAACGGATTCTTGTAGCCAGAGAACGTATGAATCAGATAAAAAAAAACGAATGAAAATCCATCAACATATAGCAAAGTTACGGACGCTTAAATCAACACTGTTTTCACCAAAACATCGCACATATTCACGAATAATCTTTGAAATGCGTAAATTGCAATAACTTGGCCATAGAAGCCTTACAGAAGCCTTCGAGTCACCAGCAGAAGGGCTGGAGGATACAGTATACACACACTACTGGGCAGTTGGCATAAGTTTCACTGTGATGGAATTTATAGTGCCAAGCGTGACGTCTGATGGGCCATCACGTCCTTCCGTACCACGCAGGCACGCCGCATTTAGATCTAACAACAAGAATAATAGAATGTTCAGAGGCATGTAGCTTTGACACAGCACCAGACTCTAGCAATTATCAGGCTCAAAACGTGTGTTGCACTACGCAAGTTTGTCATTCCTCCGGCACAGGCGGACACAGCTCATCCCTGTAAGGGTCTGCCACAAACGGCCAGATTTCCTTGAACAGGTACGTCTGGCGTTCTTGTGACAGACCTGCTGGGGGCAACACTTGGGGAAGGCCTGCTGCCCTCACCTGCTCAGGTGTGGTCTTCAACAGCTGAACATGGTCAGTCAGCTGAGTGCATGCGGTCGTCTTCTGCTCCTCACTCCCAGCCGCCATCACGTTGTGCCGCAAGTCCTCGCACACAGGGCAAACATCCATGCGAGCCGTCATGAACTTAATATGCGGCAATGTCTGGTGCCAGATGGAGCGGAACGTCGACAAGGATACAGACTTCTTACCCTCCTTGTGGCAGCAGTCGCAGAAGTCTGCATGCACGGACTTGTACGTTTGTGACGCTGGAAGGAAGATAGGTGGCATGTCGTCTCTGCCACGGAGTGGCGCAGGATGTGGAACTCCAAACACTTCCGCGTGTCCAGTGATGTACTCCACGCAGTACTTCACAACAGCAAACTCCAGGGCATTGTGTGGCCGTTTGCCTGTGTTGCCGTGCACTAGTGGCACAAGCCCATTCTTCTCCAGGTGGCTTCTGTACCGTTTCAGCCTCTTGCTAGACAGTGCGTACACGTGACGGAACGCACCCACACAAACAGTCAGTCCTTGGAATTTGTAGGTAAAACGCTCCCTCTTGCGCTTCTCTCCACTCTCAAAAACTGTTTCAGGATTACTCAAAGCTTCAAGAAGGCCCAGGACCACCAGCTCACTCTCGTGCGACTCCATTTCTCTCATGTTCAGGATCGACGTCTCGATGTCAGCTGGGTCAAATTGCTGCAAGCAATTTTTTGAACATCCGCAGTTCTCTTTTTGACGAACAGTGTCATCCTCCTCTGCCGGCGCAACGGTCGCTGCACAAGCTGCTGCGGAGCTAGCCTGCGGAGGTTTGGGCTCTGCCTTTCCGACATACAGCTCTGCTGCTGCGTCGACATCCACTCGCTGCTGAAGAAAGTGTTCACCATCGTCATCGCCATCATCGTCGCCGTCGTCAGGTTGAACCGAAACGTAACTGGCGTCCGACTCGTCTTCCTCACCAAAAACTTCAGCCTCATCCTCTCTCCAGGAGAGATTTCAGCGCTTCGTTCACGGTGAAACATTTACGATGGCTCATAGTGAACAGCTACGCCGACCCAAGGACTTAGCAGAAAGCGAAGACGGCAAGACAACTGCGCTGAACCTGTGAAAGCAACTCTTTGTCTTTCCGCTCGCGCGTGCGATTTTATTCAGCGGAGGTGTCGACGTGTCACGGTCGATCGATTTTGATCGCCGATCGGTGGTACGTGGGTCGATTTAGCCAGGGTTTTCTTCTACAGGAGCTGTAGGATACTAACTGGCTCTCCAATACAAAGAATGACTGAGCTCCAAAGAAGTCGCGTATCGCCAAAAAACGAACAGTTTCAAGTTAGATCCGAACGTGACAGCTGAGAATCAGCTGATTCACTTCAAGTGCGGTTTTCTCAAAATCACGTGCAGCAGGATAAGGTCCCTTTTCGCTTGCGCCGGCTCAAATATTTGACGACTCCCTGCTACATGCTCAAGCAAGGTTGATCTAATATTAGTGAGGTTTTGCATTCCGAAATTCGGCAAAAAGATTCGGCACGCGGGAGCGAGGTCGAAAATGTACACGAAGATTCGGCATGTTTGTTCGGAAAAAGCTCACTTTGCCGAAAATATTTTTCGGATGAATTTTCTTGTAGAAGAGCGCTAGCGCGTGATTTATTCAAAGAGGTTTCTTATCTCGGCATCGCTTCGCAGGCGTCTTGGGCGCATCAGCATCGCCAGCTACTTCTGATTGCTCCTCTCCACTGCCATGCCTGTCTACTCTCTATTGCCTGGAGTGTCCTCACCGTCATCTGTGTGGCTGAAAAGACTATGGCGATACGCATAAAATTTGACTTGGCCATGGAGTTGGTTTTTCTGAGGCGACTGAGGAGGCAGGTTTGGCCCTCGACTCTTTGGGCGATCAAAGTTCGTTGGAATCAGCAAGAAAGGGAGCACGGGACAGGACGTTGCTGATGCTGGGGCTCACGAAATGAAAACACATCATTTTCGACTTGCAAAACAAACGTTGGTGCGAAAATTCGACATTTTGATGTTCGACACATGACCGAAGAACGCCGAACCGAAATTCGGAATGCAAAACCTCACTAATAATAAAAAAGTAAAATAAAAAAAATTTGATGGAAAATAATTCAAATAATAAAAATTGTTTTTACAAAAGATGAGTTATATTAAAGCTAGTTGCTGTATCACATTTCACAGTACATGTATGTAACCAAGAGTTCCTATCCCCGGCCCCAGGCCAGGGGTTATGAACTCTTGATGTACTAACTAATACTTCTTCACTCAAAATACAATGTCATGTACTCGATCGTTGTTCTCTACCAACTCTACTTTTGCTAGAGACCTCATAACCTGATCCATTTCACTCTATTTTCCTGCACACGATGCAGTTTGGAAGTGCTGGAGCCTGTAACAGTGCCGCGGAGTTGTCGGCCGTCGTCAAAGACCTTGATGGGACTGTTTTGCTTGTCGATTCAATCACCAGTCAGTTGCTGCATTGGTGGATTGGAGAAGGCGTATGGCTGTGTGACGCTGTACGCGTTCTCGATATTGACGATAAGGATGTAGCGAGAAAACTTCAGGTAAGGTTCTCAGCTCTTTTTTTCGTCTACTGGTCAGGTAATTTCGAAATGCAATTATCTGAGCAATGTTTTTTTGGTTATACAATGTTCAATTTTTTTGCATATTTTGTGAAATCAAGATTCCATAGAGTATTCAACTATAATTTTTCTATGGGTCAGGTGCCTTTTTTGACCTTTCCCCATCCTCCCAGGCTGCACAGATTGTTTTCCAGTGACGACACTTTCTTGCATGGCATGTGCTTGTTGTCGGAGCTGCGTTACTACAGTCCATTGAGAAAAAGATGGACTTCTAGCTTTTGGCCATAAATGGGTCAAACTTTTAGTTTTTTTAGAATTTTTTTATGCAATCCCCTATGGAATCCTCTTCCAATTATGTTTCTGAAGTTGTTTGTCCCAAAAGCAAGCCATAACAAGAATAGAATTTCGGCCAGGTTTTGCCCCAAAAGCACTGAGTTGGGAAAACCATAAAAATCCAGGCCGTTTGACCCCGCGTGCAACAGTGCATTGTGCGGTTCGAACCCCAGTTCAGGTACCCTTTTGGACCCTTTTTCAAATTTAAAAAAGCGTGCAGCACTGCACTGTGTACGATGAAATCACGAAGAATCGCCAAATACGGGAGCTCACCAGAGCCAGGGCCCATCTTTTTATGAATGGACTGTACATGGGAGAGTCTTTTACACCACTGGAGGAAGTCCTTGTCCTAGTGGATACTTGCTCTCCCGATAGAAAAGACCACAGCACTGAGCGATGCATCTGAGTTTTGAGGAGTTGCTCAGCGCTGCACTGATACAGGGCTGACATACAGTAGAGCAGTGATAACGAGAAGGCTTTGATACTCAAAGTTGCTGCATGTACATGTTAATGTGTCTTTTGTATTGTTAGTAGAATGATGATGATGATGATAAGCACACGCCCCCCCCCCCCATACACACACATGCACACAGACACAGTACACACACCACTCACCAACACACACACACACACACACACACACCATGTACCATGAAAACACCCGTCGCAGGAGAAGCACGCAAATCTGCAAATGCACTGGATGTGCACCCACAGACTTTCTCTTATAGCAACGATAGCGAACAAGATCTGAATGAGACAGATCAAGACTTGCTCCAGATAACTGTCTAATCCACACAACTGGCGAAGCCATGTGAATCGACCACCAATGCACACCTGGTCTACACCACACGGAGTACATCGGCATAAAACGGCCAAGACAGTTACCTATGCACACCCTACACTTGCTGGGGTAACCAGTATAGACAGCATGCTGCTTTGATAGAAGCAGACACTAGATGCACTGGTACCTTGAAGTGAAATTGGAGTTTCTTTACCAACCAGCCTCGGCTACTGAGTACTGGGAACCCAGAGCCAACAGACATACCAACAACCTCAGCCATGAAAGCTATTATAGTAACGACACACTTGATTGTGGAGCCGAAACTAGTCCTAATTCCAAATGCTTTGGCAAGAAGGTAGCCTTCCGACAGGTTGGACACACACACACACACACACACACACACACACACACACACACACACACACACACGCATGCACACACATGCACGCGCACACCCACCCACACACATGCACACACTCACACACACACACACACACACATGCACACACACCAGGCGCGTACCACACAATGTATTTCGTGTGGCATGTAAAATAACATCCTGTGTTATCAGTGTGAACTATCATCGTTTTTCCCGCTGTTGGCATGTGTGCTCTTTGCGCTAGGTTGTTGGAGCTGCACGCAAGGTGGTGTTCGTGACGGGGCGCCTGCTGTACGGCCAACGCCTGCAGCTGATCCAACGCCTCCTGTCACGGATATGCTCGGTGGCCCCGGCGTGCACACAGTGTTCCGTGTACTGCACTCTGCCGAGCTCCGCGCACGCCAGCACCACGTTGGACGGCGATGAGGATGGCAGTGGCGGAGCTGGCGATCCGTTCGACACGATCGCCAATCAGCTGCGCCTAACCATGCAGAGGACGTCACGTCGAGAGCGAGTAAGAACTGTAAGGGTGGTCAAGGAATAGGACAAGGAGTAATACACGTACATAGATAACCTTAGGTTTAATAATGTATGCTGTGCTTGTGAAAGGAATGAGACAAGTAGTAAACACACACTCACACATGCATGCACACACACACACACACACACACACACACACAGCAGGGGCGGATCCAGGAATTTTTCAGGGGGGGGGGGGGGGGTTCAAATTTTTTCGAGTGCACAGAATTAAATTCGCTTCAAACTGTTTTCGGTTCGTTCACTACACCGGAAGTTGCAAAATATTTATTGTCACGGTAGCCCTTGCATTGCTTGGCCAATAAGACACGGGTAATGCGTTTAGAGCCTTACAAAGTACAAAGCTGCAGCACAGGCAGAAACTAAGGCCGTGACTGCAGCATTTTCCGAACTGACGGAAAGCGAAGTTCTCTGACTGTCCTCCGGCTGGGACTCCGTGTCGTCACATTCGCGCCGTACACGGCGGAACGAAGCCAAGCTCAATGGCAACTGATCGGCCGCTCGCCTCTTTGGCAGACGTCGCGACATGGCAAACTACACGACAAACACAAACATTATCTTCGTACTGCGACGGAGGAAACCTACAGTCCAGCCAGCACGAAATAAAACAAAACGACAAGGAAGGGAAGGAGGACAAGTGGCAGTTTCTCCACCTTTTGCTCCACCGCGACATGGCAAACTACACGACAAACGCAAACATTATCTTCGTACTGCGACGGAGGAAACCTACACTCCAGCTAGCGCGAAATAAAACAAAACGATAAGGAAGGTAAGGAGGACAAGTGGCAGTTTTTCCACCTTTTATTTGTTGCTCCACCACTTGAACTGTCGATCGTTTCAAGTCACATGATACGCGTACAGACACTTCGATTCGAACGGTACGCGTACAACAGTCCCGACCACTGCATGCATGCAGTGACCTAGTACCTGCACTGCCTGTACGTGACTACTGCATGCATGCAGGATGCATGCCAGTGAAGTCTACTAGCTGCTGGCTACGCCGTACGCTACACTTCGCTGGCTGCGCACGTTGATACCACAAAAAAATCGACTGGACCCATGGTCGAAATTATTTTAGGGGGTTCGTCCGAACCCCCTGAACCCCCTGTATCCGCCCCTGCACACACACCATCACACACACACACACACACACACACACACACATACACACACATACACACACACACACACACACACACACACACACGCACACCATAGGACCATTGGACGCCCATCGCCGGAGGCGATGATAGTGATGCTACAGCAGAAGCCATAGCAATTTGTGCTGGGATTGCACCATTCAGCAGCTTGCAAGGCTGAAGAATTGGCCGCCACTATTCAGCCTGGTCTAGACCACACAGCTATGAAGTGGCTTTTTATGGCCAGTGGATCCCTACTTGTGGAGCCGAAATAGTCCAAATTCCAAATGCTTTAGCAAGAAGGTAGCCTTCCGACAGGTTGGACACACACACACACACACACACACACACACACACACACACACACACACACTTGTACTTGTACTTGCTCACTGCCAAAACTGGTCACGTGGGTCTCCCCGGGAGAGGGGAGAGAGACCCAAAAGGAATCTTGGAGAGTTGACTCAATTGGCCATTGAACCACCCAACGGCCGACACCCCCTGAAATCCCCAAACTAGGGTGGACTTGAAATGATCCCACTTATGGGCTCACCACACCTCAGTAAGTGGGTGAGGACAAGGTGCAGAAAAAGGATTGACGGCATCAGGGTATCCGTCCCGGGATCCAACTGCAGGTACCCCTGCCCCCAGTGAAGGTAATACTTGGTACTAGTGTGGGTGGCTAAATCAGAGTGAATCTGATATAAGCTTCACTAGCACCATTGATTACACAAGAGTTAATCTAGCCAGAAGCAGCCCATGGTTAACAGGTATGTATACTTCAAATAGAAAGTATATGAACCCTGAAACCAACAAAGGTGGTAGGTACAGCAATACACCTTCAAGCAGCCGAGCCCGTTGGCAACAGGCCCAACACTATCTGGCATAAGTGTACCCACCAACCGAACTAGCTGGCACACACACACACACACACACACACACACACACGCACACAAACTTGTCAAAGCCCTTTACTTCATCAGGTAGCGCATGTAGCTCACAAGAATACTTCGTGCCTTTGGAAGTTTTGATGTCAGCATGTCTGTACTACAGTACTGTCTCTAGACTTCGGCATGTGAAGGAAGGAATTTTGAAAAGACTAGATTTGTGTCTCTAGTGACTTCTGTTGATGGAAGAACTCTTGTCGAATTTGACGTCATGACTCTGTGACCGTTGCTGCTGCTGCTGCTGCTCGGCTCCTGTGAACCGCTTGCATGTGCCGTGTTGTGTTGCACGCGCCGTTAGGTGGAGGCACGGGTCCTGCACCTTCCTGTCATGCTGGCACCCGTCAGTCCCGAGGTGTTCTTCACGCCGGCGCACGGCCACCTGCAGTCACTGTTGCCGACGGACGTGGCACGAATCAATGCCTTTCTGTCATCTCAGGTGAGAAGAGGAGTGCACACTCCACATGCTACGAAAATTCAGTATGAACTTCCCTATACATGTATATGACTTACTTTGGGATATGAACTGGTGCCTATACGCCTCAGCCCTGAAAATTACATGTACTTTGGCGTGTACTGGCGTACATGTCAATCACTTGGACTGCAGGAATCAAAAAAGTTAGTATTTACTGGCATAACATGACGTAAATACCACTCAAGTAAGCCTGAGGGTGCATCTAGACATGTGCATGAAGCGCAAGCGTATCGTGTACACGTGCCAGTTAGGAACACAGCTGTAGTATTCATATGTGCCTCTGTTTGTATATGCATGACTGCATTTTGTTTGTACTGTATCAACAGCACGATCATCGACAAGCCAGCACTCTGCCTGGTCTGGAAATGAACATGCTGCCAGGAAGTGCACAGCGGCACTTGAAGGTATGTGTGGAGTGAGTCCTTATGTAGATATCATGTGCATAGACTTGTTACTGTTTTGACTACTACTGTCGTGGACATGGAAATCCGGTCGCACGTCTAGCGGCCCCAGGGCTCTGGCCATGCAGCCGTAGCACGTATCACTGCTGCTGGTCGCATGATCCTCGCATCGGATCAACATGATTGTGCACGACATGCAACGACTTATGTTCTGTAGGCGCTGAGGGCGCGGGCCCCGGTCAATCAACCGGGTTTCCATGTCCGCTACAGTAGTATTACTATTATCTGTATCATGACTTGGTTTTGTTGTCTGTTGAGCAAAGATGTACGTTTTTGTGTGTGTGTGTGTGTGTGTGTGTGTGTGTGTGTGTGTGTGTGTACGCGCGCGCGCGCGTGCGTGCGTGTGTGCGGTGGTTGGGGGGGGGGGGGGGGCACTTGTGCATGCATTTGCAGATAACAACTTTGTATGTACTGTACTGCTACACTCGACTATTTTGCTTTTCAAGGGGCATTAATATCTCTTTCACACAACCCTGACTCTACCAAACATAGTTTGACTGAGAAATCTCCTGTGATCCCATTTTCCTGCGTAATTCTGTGGAGATTTGGCTCTGCATGTTCATCATTCCCATTGGCTGCTAAGAATTTAAAGTAAGAATGCATTACCCTATTTTCCGGAGTACAAGTGATTTTTGTAACAAAATACATACTACATCTACCCTTTTTATCACCATTAATTTGACCATCGTAGTACTGTATCTTTCCGGTTGTAAGTCGACCTTTTACGACTAAAAGTAGAAGGAGAAAGGGTGGGGGTCGACTTACAACCGGGATTCGACTTGCAACCGGGATTCGACTTACAACCGGGATTCGACTTATAACGGGGAACTATCAGTATCTTACAAAAAAATGACCTACACTGCATGCACGAGTGCACCATGTGTACACATTTTTGCCAGTTTATTGGCCTTTTTCAAGGATTGGGACGTTATACCCTCCAATAAGGAATGTTGACATGATTTGTTGATGTGTTAGTAGCAGGGAGTAGTTAGTAGTGCTTCATTGGGTGATAACTTAAAAAAAAAGCAGAATTGAGACCTCCGGATATGGGGGTCGACTTACAACCGGTAAAATACAGTATAAGCCGCGGCACCGCCTTTTTCTGGGGTGAATTACTGCTGTTTGAAGTGTGGCTTATACTCCGGAAAATACGGTACATGATTGTTTACTATGCTTGTCTTTGCCTTACCTTCTTGTGCATGTGCAGTGTGTTGCACATGGCTTCTCCGAGCTGTTCCGCACCCTGAACGTGCAGGAGCACTGCTTCTCTTTGGGCCCGACAAGCCGACTCGTAGCCGCCGAGCTGGCATCCATGCCCGACGCGAGAGGCCGCCATAAGGTAAACATAATGCACTCGGTCATAGCTGTTGGGAGCAGGCTGAGCGGAGGTAGATGCTGGTGCGGGTGTGGCTTCTCACCTACGAGCACAGGTCCGATTATTTGAGTTACTAGTACCGTAAAGTACCGCCAGAACGCCCCACCATCTCGTCCTTTCGTGGTCGTATCGTGGAGGTGGTCTCCTGCCTGTAGGTCATACGGCACGAACCTTGTACACATTCTGCAGTCAATCCGTCCTCAATTTACCTTCAAGCAGACACGACGTCCACACAAAAATGTGACCTTAGCATACTAAGGTTCTCACGCTGCACAAAGTTCGTTGCACTCTGCCGTACGAATTTCCTTTCACTGGCTGTAAAATTAAGGTGGGGCGCTCTCGCGAGACGGGGCGCTCTGGCGGTACTTTACAGTACTTTAACACAGTACTGTAAACATACAAAGTTTCGGCTATTCGGCACCGCGTACCGACCCAAAACATGCCGAAGTGTTGAAAATTGTGAAGTGCCGAAATTTGTGTAGTTTTTTGTTCTGCTTCTGCATCTGGTTTTCCTTTCCATCCATTCTGTTGTTTATTTCCTGTTGGTGACCAGGTTGCCACAAGCTCCGCATCCGTGCTCTTTGTTGATCGCTCCCTGGACTTGTCGAGCGCTCTCTCATGCAATGCGGAGTCTCTCGCGGATACTGTCCGTGCCTCCTTGGCACCTCTTCCAGGCCATGATGTGGATGTAGCGGTGGATATGTCCTCCCTACTCAACGTTCACAGGTATGGAGCTTTTGCCCGGTAGTATTCTGCCTGTGTGTATGTGTGTGTGTATGTTGTGTGTATGTTGTGTGTGTGTGTGTGTGCACGTGTGTGTACTGTGTGTACTGTGTGTTTTTATTTGTGTGCCCATAATGATACCCATTATCCTTTTGTACATGTGCATGCGTATGTGCATGTGTCTGCTTATGCTCATGGCAGTTCATGCCGGCACTGTGTTGCATCAGGGTGCCTCGCCCATCCAGCCAATCCTACAGCGCAGAGTCTCGTTTCGTCTTTCGTTGGCCGCAAGTCTAAGGTACGTGCGTCACCATGTTGCCAAATACACCTTTCTATCAATTTCATGAAGGGGTCACTAAGACTCTGGCCTTGTGGTATTGGCCAGGGGCGTCGGAACCGGTGCGGCAGGTCCAGCCAAAGCTGCACCAATAATTTCATCTTGTGACTTTTGAAGCAACGGAATATGGGCTATTTGGGCCCAATTTCCCTAAAATTTTCCGGGGGGGGGGGGGGGGGGCCTGGACCCCCACCTACTCATGCGACCGCACCAATGTCGTATACCTTCCGACGCCCCTGTTGGCCCTGTTGTTTCGACATTTCTGAGCTGTAGCTGCCCTTATACTCGATAAAGCGTGGGCCGTTTTCCTTGTTACGTTTACTTGTTATCAATTCATCCTTTTTTCCCGAGGCATGTTGACACTTGTTATCATGTCAGTCGGCAGGAAGTGTGAGTGCTAATGTTTGGAGCAGTCACCATATTGCTGCACTGCACAGTACTTATACATGTTGACGGAATTCACAAGTTCACAACGGCGGGGAACTTTGTTGTTTTGTTGTTGTCTGATGATTGGCCGTGGTTTAGCCATGAAACTCCGAGTAAAAGCAATACTAAGTTTCCTACCACTGGGAACTTGTGTCGCAGGCTCCTGTTCGCCCGTTGAGCACTTTCGCAAGTCAACCGCAATTCTTTTTTTATGTTTTCGGGATTCTGTCGATTCCGCTGCCGCCGTATTTTCTTCTTCCTTCCTCCTCGCCTGATTTCGTAGGATGCTCTGACGGAGCTGTCTCGTCGCCTTGTGGACGCCATAGCGCAGGAAAAGCTGCCTATGGACGCGAGGCGGATGTCCGCGATCTCCCCAGGCTTACTCCAAAGTCTCATTGGAAAGTTCCGGTGAGTAATCATCCAAGTAATACGTATCGGAAGTATATATTTGCTGTTCACACCCAGGTACAGTATATGGCGTGGAAATGATTACATCGCAAATTGAAATATTTTTGTTTTTTTGGCGAGCGTGACTCCCCTATCCCACTAGGTTTAACTGGAACCCTGTTTGCCCAGTGGTGCAGGATGCCAATGCCTGCTTTACCTGGTGTGGTCGGTGAAACTCTCACAGCGGAGAGTTGGTCAATGGCCCAGCAGTGCTGGGTTGCCCCATGGTGCCCATGCACGGGACAAGCCACTTCAACCATATGTCCATCCATACAAGTTGCAATCCAAGTGGAATCGAACAGTGCACTTTTTAGTAGTTTTACTTCTTTTTCGAGGTTGCGAATGCAGATCATTGATGTACCACGGTCAAGCATTATGTATGCATGATGCGATATGAGCATGTCGCATAGTCACCGTGCTGATAGTTCATCCGGGTGTGTTGTAAAACGTGTTTTTTCATTGCTTTCAAGTTTATCTGTTGGAGGAAAAACTTGTTTTGATTGCTTTCAAGTACATGTGCATGTATGGTAAATTAGAAACTGCAGTCGTGTACCAGGCTCCGAAAAGGTATGTATTATATACTCAGTGTGTGCCCGTGTCTCTGTCTCTGTGACTGGGTGCTCGCTTCCAGACTGCAGCCACGGTCCATTGCTCGGCACAGTGCACTTCTGCAGGTTGCGATGGCGGCTGCTCTCGCCCTGGAAAGCGAGACCACCGCCCAGCTCCAGCGCTGCCTGAGCGTGGAGAAGGTAAGCACGGTGGCAGTCGCACTGTTACCGTATTTTCCGGAGTATAAGCCGCACTGGAGTACAGTCAACTTCGCTACTAACGACTGCGGATATAACGACAATTCGCGAATAACGACAGAATTTCCATGCCCAGAGCAAAGTCCCATCTAACGGTAATAGATATGAGACTTCGGGTATCAGGACGCTTTTCTGATGCCCCGTCAAGTGTCGTTATACGCAAAGTTGACTGTATAGGCCGCACCCCGATTTTTGTCACGAAATACAGACATCTGCCATATTATCACCATTAATTTGGCCATTTTAGTATAAGTCACAACGACTTTCTTGGGGTGAATTTGTGGTGTTTAAAGTGTGGTTTATACTTCGGAAAATACGGTATATCATTATGCTACCCTAATTGTTGGAGCTTATTGGGCTTATTGGTGTGGTTCCCTCTCCCCAGCTCGGAAAAATGTTATCCCTTTCAAGGTGGATATAATACATGCAATCTAGAGGAAATTGATCACCCAGGGTTTTGCGCCTAAAATGGCATGTCCGAGGTGACCACTCTCCTCTGGTGAATACTGTCTGTGCGTTAGAACTTTGGTGAAATATGTTCTTGTGTAAGAAAGTAGTGGTCGACGGTGATTTTGCAACTCCTCGTTTTTGCATTCCCAGTGTTGTCTCTTTTCCGACACAGCGCAGCATTTTTTCTAGTGGATCCTCGCTGCCTTTTCTGTACAATTCATGTTTTGTGATGAATATCTACCACATGCAATGTAGGTGGTGCTCTTGACTTTGGCGGAGGAAGGAGTTGGCGCTGCACTGGACCAGCTTCTAACTCACATGCAAAGTGCACTGGATGGCAGAGAGAGGTAAAATCACTGGGTTCTGAGCTCTTTTTTTCATGTGTTACATCCCCCCCCCCCCCCCCCCCCCCAGAAGTGTTTCAAGTGGACCTGCTCATTTCTAATGTACTGCTTCAAAATAAAAGCACAGTAGTGCAGGTCTGATTCCATGCACACACTCTGATGTTTCGGCACAACTGCCACAGACAATTTCGCATTGACATGCTCGTTGCCTTTATTCTTGTTGGTTTGGGATTGTCGCTGGCCTGGTGTTCCGGGTACTTCTAGTGCAATGTCACGTTCTGCTGACACTCACACACTGTCCCATGTTGGGCGATACAGCTCACTCAATGCTGGGAGCAGCTTGCTGTTTCCGAGCCGGGGTTTCCCCACAGAGCCTTCCAGTCGACTCCTGGTCGGAGAAAGCCATTGGTGACTTGCTAGTATACCGATTTGTCTAGCCACACAAGTCCGATATTCAGGTTCATGTGTGGCACTTAGTCAGTTGAGGGAAGCTGCGGCCAGATATCATGTGAGTGTAGTGTATGTAACAAGGCAGCAGTGCACTGCGGGCACGGTGCTACCTTGTTTTTGTAAGTAATGGGGTTAGGAGTTTCTAGGCTTTGATTGAGGCTAATGATGAGTGTTTGCTCTTTCTGTGTGTGTGTGTATGTGTGTGTGTGTGTGTGTGTGTGTATGTATGTGTGTGTGTGTGTATGTGTGTGTTTGTGTGTGTTTGTGTGTGTATGTGTTTGTGTGTGTTTGTGTGTGTTTGTGTGTGTGTGTGTGTGTTTGTTTGTGTTTCTCTTCGCAGTCTTGGTGTAGAGTATTACCTTCGCCTGGTCATCATACTGTACTCAGCAGCCGGCAGTGCCGTACAATCAATCACCTCGGGCAGTAAAGCCAGCCTTCAGGTTAGCCGTGGACACTGCACTGCTGGGCTGACACATCTTTATGGCTTAGTGCTTGATGCACAATGACTACTGAGCTGCTTTTGGAGAGGTCTTTGCCGCAGCTCACAACCCCCTGTCCCTTATCTTGAACCGGCTCATTCTTGACGTCCACTCATTGGTGTTGTGGCTGCTGGCGCGGGTGACACTGAAGTAGCAAACTCATCTCTGCTATTTGGGATTTGTTTTTGATTTTTCTCTCACAGGAATGCCTGGAAAAGCTTATCCTGCACGCAGTGGAAACGAGCGATGCGAGCATTGTCAAACTAGGTGAGCAGCCAGACGATGCCGCTCTATCATATCAGTGCCACCACCTGTCTGACTTTCGCGAATGCACTCAGCAATGTTAGGAGCTCTGCTCACGGATGAACTTCATAAACTACAAAATTGTGTGTTGTATCGACTTATTACACTTGATATTAAAATTGTTCTTGTAGTGCAAGGTACACTACTAGTACATGGTAACGTTACCAAGTGAAGTCCAACTTCATTTTTGAAGCAGAGTTGTGTTCACTTCACAGCCCCGTGTTTGTAGTGCTGTGTGGTCCCAGTGTAGCTCTACTCATCATGGGCCTGGATTTCACTTGTTTGCACTGGACGTTGGTTGCCATGCGTGTGTGTGTGTGTGTGTGTGTGTGTGTGTGTGTGTGTGTGTGTGTGTGTGTGTGTGTGTGTGTGTGTGTGTGTGTAACACCCTTTTGACTTATTCTTTGCTCACTGTGGTGTGTCCATCCAGTTGGGGAGAAGCAGAATAGTGACAGTATTCGTTTGTTTGTGAGAAGCTTCTTCACACAGCTACAAGGCATCGCCGAGGCAAGAAGTCATCTGAAAATGTTCAGGTGAGTGTTCACTAGGTAGACGAAACTAAACTGGTGCTGCTTTGATGCTGCGAAGCTGGTGCGGTTGTAGAAGCCCGTTTGCCGCCCCACCAGCTGATCATGGCTCCTATGTTGTGTGTGTGTGTGTGTGTGTGTGTGTGTGTGCGTGCGTGGGTGCGTGCGCGCGCGCGTGTGTGTGTGTGTGTGTGTGTGTGTGTGTGTGTGTTTGCCTCTGACAGGAATGTATCTGGTGCTACCACAGGTTCTCTTCTGAAGCAGGTAAGTAATGACCACCGAGTCTACATTCAAGGATCGTTTTCGGCCACCTGAACTCTCGACCCAGTCCCAGAGTCTATTTTCGCTGGCTATTGTGCAATGAAGGCCAGACCCTAGGGTGGTGTGTCGACAATGCTTTATAGCCTTGGGTAGAGGGAACGTGGACATCAAGTATCCACTTGTATGTGTGTGATTCGTAGTGGTCATCCGATCAGTTGTGTTGATTGGACAAGGCAAGTCTTTCAAATGGGCCCTGCATTACTCTTTCACTTGCCTACTTTGGCGAACATTCCTGGTTGCCAGGCACACCTCGAAACTCCATGCGAGCACCCAAAGAAGAAAGCATATGTGTAAAGAAGTGATGTTAGTCCATTCTAGTTCATTAGTTTTTCATTGTGCACTTCCAGATCAGCGCAGGCATTTGTGCAAACTATTTGTTTTTTTGCCGAATTGTTTGGAAGCACATTGGTGACTTATGTAGTCAGTTCATAGAGGAGTAATGTGCTGTCAGCACAAAACTCGCTTCTATACAACAGACAACTCAAGTGTGGACATGCTTTTTTCTTGTCCTGGTGCAATGGATTCATGCCTTCGCAACGGTTCGATTTTTTACGTGAAGAGATCGAGCCATGTTGGTTGTAATGACATGTTGGTACTGTGGGGTTATCATGTACACAACTCCCGTGTTTGTAAGTTGATTTCTTTCCACTTCACCACCTCTTTGTCCACTTTTAATCGTATTTTTGTGCGGAATTTGCTTTTTGTTCCTTTATCAGCTCGCAGAAGCGCTAGCTGCCCCGGATAAGCCTGAACTTCCTGACGTAGAATACCATTCCCAGTACATGCGGAATCTTCTAAAAACTGGCTTCAGGTATGGATGGTAGTCAACAAGGGGATTCCCCGACCTGGACATTAGTTTGTCTTCTGCTCGGACCACACACACACACACACACGCGCGCGCGTGCGCTCTCTCTCTCTCTCCCTCCCTCCTTCCGTCTCTCTATCTCTCTCCCTCTCTCTCTCTCTCTCTCTCTCTCTCTCTCTCTCTCTCTCTCTCTCTCTCTCTCTCTCTCTCTCTCTCTCGCTCGCTCGCTCGCTCTCTCTCTCTCTCTCTCTCTCTCTCTCTCTCTCTCTCTCTCTCTCTCTCTCTCTCTCTCTCTCTCTCTCTCTCTCTCTCTTTCTCTCTCTCTCTCTCTCTCTCTCTCTCTCTCTCTCTCTCTCTCTCTCTCTCTCTCTCTCTCTCTCTCTCTCTCTCTCTCTCTCTCTCTCTCTCTTCTCTGTACTATCCCGACCGGGGCACTTGCCTTTTTCCCCACCCCAACCTAGAACCTGGACACTTGCCCTCTTCCCCTAACCTGGACACTTGCCCTCTTACCGACCTATGTGCTTTCCCTATACTCAGACTACACTCTGTGTGTACTATCCCGACCTGGACACTTGCCCTCAGGTTTGAAGTTCATTCTTATCCATAGATGTAGAGTTTTTTCCTGTATTCTTTCTGTTTTGTTCTTGCTGCTGTTGCTGCTGCGATCGCAAGTGGGATAGTCACCTTTGTCCTCATTGTTGGTGCTGTTCGAGTTTTTAATCCTGCTGCTGCTTCTGCTGCTGCTGTTGCTGCCACTGTCGTTATGTGTGTTGTATATGTTTGTGCGTGCGTGTGTGTGTGTGTGTGTGTGTATGTATGTGTGTATGTATGTGTGCTTTAGTCTGTTCATGGGTGGTTCCAAGCCGCGGCCGTCCGATCACCAGCTACTGATCATCTATGTTGTCGGTGGCCTAACGTGCACGGAAGCCAAAGCCGTCCGAGAGCGCTTCTCCTCAGCCAGATCGGACATACAGGTGAGGAACTATGCACACCTAGTCAGTGGACATTGGAGAGAGTGAGTGAGAGAGAGAGAGAGAGAGATAGAGAGAGAGGGAGGGAGGGAGGGGAGGGGAGGGGAGGGGAGGGGAGGGGAGGGGAGGGGAGGGGAGGGGAGGGGAGGGGAGAGGGAGGGAGGGAGGGAGGGAGGGGAGGGGAGGGGAGGAGAGAGAGAGAGAGAGAGAGAGAGAGAGAGAGAGAGGGGGGGGGGGAGTGCAAGACTTAGTGCTCTTGACTGTCATGTACATGGAAAAAACACTGGCTATTGTTCTGCTTTTGCTTGGCGACTGTTGGACCGTTTCTGGTATGAAGCAACAAGGCCATGGCAATTTAGCTGAACGTGCTCTAAGTCACTGAATATAGCGAGTACATGGTGTGGCTCAAATCCTCTCATGAAGGGCTAGGCCATTGCCCCCCCCCCGCAAGAGAAGGTGGAGCAGTGGATTTGTATGCAGCTTGGAGTTTTCCGCAAAGCTATCCTCAGGCAACAGTAAAAGCAATGACAGCAGCACGGGTAAAATCAGCTGCTTTTTGTGATGGAGGGGTGTTAGTGACACTAGATGATGTAGGCATAGTGAGCGGGATTACCTGACTGGTGAGAGGTTTGTTGTAGGCTTTGCATGCTTCCTGTCACCACCACCGTCTGTGGTGTACTACAGTGTGTTGGAAACTGGAAAGAGACCGCTGTGCACCGGCACTGTGCCAGCGTCCAATGTCACAGTGTGGGGTTTGGGGGATTTTTGCTGAGTCCCAATGTAATCTGGGTTTAACCGCAGAGCACAGAGTTATTTCGTACCACAAGTCAGCAATGGGACTACAGTCCATTCATTGGAAACTGGCACCCTGACTTTTTGGTGCCTCTCTCACATAGTTGTCGATATCGTGAAAACAACAGTACACCCTGCATTGTGTGACCCGTGCAATTACTCCTTGCCACATTTGAGGCCAGAAAAGGCACCTGTTCGGCAGTTGGCCCAGTCCGTGAGGCAATTATGACGGCTCAACCACTATGCCTGGATGCGAGCCAAGAGGCCAAGGATATATACTTGGTCCGACTTATTAAAATGTGCGCTTCGCTTCAAAACTCAAGCCTATGTCCAAAGGAGCACCTGTACTAAAAAATCGACCAAGAGACGATAGATAGATAACTACTGTGTCGTTTCTTGGCCTGACCTTCTAGTTTTCATCTCTGCTGGTGTCTCAGGGCGCTTCTTCAAGTGCGTCAACCTACAAAACGTCGACATTTTTTTCATCTCCTCCAAGCTACACTGCGCTTCCTTGATTTTTTTCACTCCATAGGCACGATTTAGATGATCGACTTCGCCTCCTCCTCGTGCAGTACGACTGCCAGAATGGTGGCTGTAGGTGTTTTCGCCTGACGCTCCCACGACACTTTCAAATGAGGCGAACAAGTAAACCACCACGCATAAAAAAATCACTTCTCATCACCGTGTGCCGCGCGCGTAGAACTACTGAGTCTGATCTGTGTCGACATGACTGTCACACAGTCAGCTGCATCAGACCATGCGTGCTCTTCCCTGCCTGTTTCGCGAATCCACTGGCCCCGGAGACTGGCGATTTTGTGACGCATCGCGATCGCGGCTCCGAGGAGTCGGCGAGGACTCCGCACCATTCACGCACCGTATTCACCCTTTCTGCGCTTCAGTTTTCCAGCGAGGTTGTCGCCTGAAAGTCGACCTCAACTTCAAGGGCGGTTGTTTATATCGATCAACTTCTCGACGATCTCTTCTGTGATCTTGATTCGTCGGCCGCTACATCGTGAACGAATGCGAGAGAGATCAGCACAAACTGGACGGAGCGATGCAGGTGCTTTCTGCACGAGTTTCTGAATGACGCGTTTGCTGAACTTGATTCTTCCAAGGAAACAGCGACTGCAGCGATTTCAATCCGCCAGGAAGCACTCGAGAACGATCGCCCAGGGGTTTCTGGTACTCCGTGACAATTCCCCATCGCAGTGGGGTGTTGATTTCAGCACCAGGCCTTCTCTGTGTTGCGCGAGAAGCAACAGGAGTCCTGACGACAAAATGTGCACACAAAATGCTCGAGTCGACTAGGATCCTGAGGCGCTGCCTACTTTGGGGTTGGAACCTAGCTGGAAAGTTGGTTCCGTCCTGAGATTATTTGAATTTGTTTGGCTGACGTTCGAAGCGAAACGCACATTTTAATAAGTCGGACCAAGTACAAGAGAAGGGACAGGCTGACAGTGGGCCAAGATGGAATCCTTCGCTACATGGAGTTCAAGGACCGGTCTACGGAGGCACTGCCTCTGGGGCGGAAACAAATGAAGGACAGGTATGCCATGGCAAAATGTATGGAGAAGCAGATCCGAACCCCAGGTTTTTGAGATTTAAAGTGGGTTTTTGATCCTCAATTCGGCCCGAATCCGACTTTCAAAAGCCAGCGGGACAGTTTCCGATGAATGGATTGTAGGCTGAATTAAGCTGTAACTCGAGTTCCACGGCTATCTGCCACTCCTCAGACAACAATGATGATACTGGGGGAAAGCCCCTAGGAGCATAGGAGAGAAGCGGTAAGGTCTGTCGCGGCGATTTTAGGTATTTCGTAGAGCGCCTAGTACTAAGCGTGATTTCCCCTGTCTGGTTGTAGGTTGTGGTCGGAGGCACACAGCTGGTGACTGCATCCTCGCTGTTGCATCAACTCTGCTGCTCTGATTCGTTGCACGACGCGCACATCTAACAACGGGGACACCCGGGTAAGACGCGTGTTGCCGAGGACGCAGCAACGTGCATTCGTACGCCCTTGGTAAGGGATTTTCCCGGCGTGTGTGTGTGCGTGTGTGTGTGTGTGTGTGTGTGTGTGTGTGTACTATCGTTATGTCATGCCTCACCCCGGTAGTATGCGTTATTGGTCGGTGGAGCCATGGCAGAGTATTGTGCAACCTTTCTGGACGCACTGGCAGAGGAATGAACTCGTCTTTTGGCATTGCCACTATACTCCTTCTCACTTGCCTTGCTGTGCATACCTTAGAGCAGCTGTATGCATATTCGTTGCGTTTGTCACCACTCCCCCCCCCCCCCACACACACACACCCTTCACTGCATATCCGCCTTTCATTGAATGCAGAACCTCCATATCTTGTTCTCGCAGCATGTCTCGTTCTCGCAGCCTATATTTACCAAGAATACTCAATTTCACGTCCTATTCCTGTTTATATTCGCCTTCCGGTCGTACTGTAGAAATCAAGCGCTTTCTAGGTGTACCATTGTTTACACCAGGTAGTAGTAGTAAAACCTGGTGGATACTTTGCTACTCCCTGCCTTCTGTACTTCCCTGATGCATCTCACACTTCTTGAAGTAATATATTTCTCCGTTGCTTAGCCCATGGGGCACATGCAATTGCCTGTGGAACGTTGCCTTGCCAGAATGGATGTACGTTTGATGAACGTGCCTGCTCTATTCAGTCCTTCACTTCCTCGCCTGTTTGTATTGTTTTATCATGTCCTTGAAAGTGATTGTTTTACTCAACGGGTTAGTGGATTAGTGAGTACTAGCACCCGTACTGTGTGGGGCTGTGGTCCCTGCATGCGTATCTCTCTGTCTTGCTGGCCGTTTCAAGTGTTTGCAGTAAAGGTCGGAAGGGATGAACATTTAAAAATGCCCTTATGAAAATTTGTTGATCTATAGCAAATAGCAAGTTTGATATGATTCCGTCCTGCATTGCAGCATGTTTAGTGCATGCATTGTAATTTTTTGTAAAAAAAAATGTAGTCTAAATGTGCATGTTCGTGTATTGGACTGTCATGCATGCTAGCAGCTAGTATTGCCCATACTGCACTCTTTGTTTCATGCCATGCCTAAAAAGTAAACACTGCAGTACATTATTATGATTGCCTTCCGCTCTGGTACATGTACAATCGCCATGTATTTTGGCTTTTTATTCACTGGTTTGAGGGAAAGACACAAACGGGAAAAGTCTGAAGAAAAATGTGACTGTCACCATCAGGATTCGATCAAGGGACCTTCGCTTGAGCTATGCCGCCAGCGATGCTCTAACCACAGAATAGTTTGGCGTTCTTTTCCGATTGGCACTGTAACTACTGCTCAGTGCTGACAGTGCTGTCAGGGTCACATGCGCAGCCAGCAGGTACTCAGTGAGTGCGTTCGATTACACGCGCGAATCGATTCACGAATCGATTCATGAATCGATTCGCGCTATTCACATCACCCCATGTGAATAGAGGGAATGGATTCCGAATCGATTCCAGGGCTCATGACATGAAATCGAACGACTTGAATGCATGCGAATGGATTCATGAATCGATTCAAGTGTGTAATCGAACGCACTCAGTAAATGCCGGTATGCATAGCCGGGAGGAATCACGGTGATATTCATGAATGGCCTTTCCCTTGTCGACAGGGACGAACTCGCATTCCCCTGTCTACTTTCTGCCAAATTCTGGTCGAAGTACACGAGTCGCGTGATCACAGGTGCAGATGTTGGATCCGGTACCAAGAGTACTTTGACCTCGCGCGATCAGCAGCAGCATTCTTTTTCTGCGCCTGACTGGTTTAGACGTTAGTTTGCTTGCCCAACACAAGCCTGTGCCACTGCACTGCACTCCCAGACTGACATGAGGCCGTGATGGCTTTGTTTGCAACTTTCCTAAAAAAAACAAGCCGCACAAAATTGCTTCAACTATCAAGTAAGTTACTTGATTCTCCAGATCGTTCTGTTTTTGATGTTCATGGTATCATCAGACATGGTACCGATACTACCATTGGCATTGACTACTGTGCTTGTACCAGAAGTCCAGAACATTGTGCTACACGTGAATGTGTGCCGCTAGCGCACAGGGCGCAAGGAATATTGCTGACTATCGCCAGCCCGGTGCGCGGTGATTCACTTGGCCAATCATTTTGAGCTCTGCAGTATTTTCTCCGTTCAGGAAGGTGTCGCCCAGCCCACTCGCATAATAGTGGACTTCACTCCCGCTGTGCACCAACCGATCGCTGCCATTGCCTCTATTCGGCCGTTTCGGTAAGTGGCTGCTGTCCCTGGGTGTCGATACCCATTGCATTCCTAACGTAACTTTTGTCCGTCACGATCCTAATCGAATCCACAAATGCCACTTCACGTGCTGTGCCTAACAGAATGATGTTACCAGTCACACTTGCACGAGTTTCGATTATCGAAATACAGTGAAACCTGTCTAAGACGACCGCTCAAGGGACCTTCAAAACGTGTTCTCTGTTACCAGGTCGTCTCCTTATCCAGGTTCAATTGACTGGAAATAGCATCCCTTGGTCCTGGCTCCGGTGGTCTTCTTTAGCAGGTGGTCGCCTTATCCGAGTGGTCGCCTTGACAGGTTTTACTGTACTAGTAGTTACCTGTCACTGCCTAAGTAATTAGTTAGTACCTAGATTGTTTTCTGCTAGGTAGCCACTTGTACTTACCCAAATTCTATAACTTCTCCAGCTCACAAAACCGGCTGTCTCTCTACTGCGAAGAATTATTAATGTAAACTAGATTGGACCCAAATGGAGAGCCAAGGATAAAATTATAGAAAAGAAAAAGGACCACGGAACTACAAGTTATGCTAAAGTGCCCACTAGCACCACCAGTTACTAAACAATCAGCTCATGTGATAACATTGTTGCAGGACACTGACCGATGGTACTGACGTTCTACAACTAACTGGCTATCAGCTCTAGCAAGTCTTGGAGGGGCACTCCAACAGCCTTCCAACTTCGAAGGTTCTAAGCTATTATGATAAGATAGGAGGGTTTCAGCTCGTGCTTGCCTTGGTTGCGCCCACCTTCCCCTCCTATTTATTATAACTTAGAACCTTCGAATTCGGAAGGCTGTTGGAGTGCCCATCCAAGACTTGCTAGAGCTGGTAGCCAGTTACCTGGTAGTTGTAGACGTCAAAACCGTCGGTCAGTGTCGTGCAATGTTATCGCATGAGCTGATTGTTTAGTAACTGGTGGTGTTAGTGGACACTATAGCGTAACTTGTAGTTCCTTGGTCCTTCTTTTCTGTAAACTAGATTATTCGCAGTAAAGTGACCGTTTGGGACGCGACGAAATAAACAACTAGAAAATCACCCAGTTCCAAAGAAGGCTTCCAAGAAATAGCCCCATTGTGGATGAACATACTGTACATTGTTTATGTTACACCAGGTTCAATGAAATTCGGCTCATGAATAGGCTAGTGGCCTGTACGCACAGCCCCAGGCTTAGGGAGTTCAGTTCCGGTCGCTGAAAAGCGCAAAATGCAGTCACAGCTCGCATGTACAAACTGAATGCGCGTCTCGTGCCAGCAGTTCGGGATGAGTTCGAGGCGCAAGTATCTCCTCCCGTGGCCTGGTCGATGCTATTTTTAGGTAGCTGAGGTCATTACCTTTCCAATGGTGCCACACATGCCATGCTTCCAAAAAAATGCCTCTGCGCTTTGCACGGAGGCACTTCGAAGTACTAATTTCGACCAGATGCGTACTCAGCCCCGAGAGGAACACCCGATTTACATGTTTAAGCGACCTCGAATTAGTCTAAAACAGAGGATTCTAGAGCACTTAGGCTCGCGCTTTATCGCGGTAGGGCCACACCATTTTTTTCAATGTTTCGCGTCACCCGTTTATTATCCAATGAAATCAATGAGGGAGGGTGAAAAAAATAAAAAAGCCGTCCGAAAAAAACATAGTACATGCTAGTGTTTGTGTACAGCCGGTGTCGAACTAAAGACCCGGCACTGTTCATGTATATTTTGAGACATGCATACATGTACATTGTACATGCATACCATACATGAGTGTATTCATTTCAATTCAAAAGAATGTTGCAAAGTTTATTTCACGTCTACTGAGTGGTACCTACTGGCCAAACTGTGTCCATATCAGCTGGATGGGAACGTTTCTGGTCCCGCTTCTGCTCACCCTGTGAACACTAGGCCCAGACAGATCCTGCCGGCAATTCTTTCGGCAAAATATCGAAGAATTGAAAGGGCGGAAATTGCCGGCAAAATCGGAGCAAAATGTCGAGAATCTGGAGAGTAAAGCCAGCAGCACTGTGGTATGAGCTGGAGATGAAGGTCTGCTGGGTGTGAGAGCATTATAATTTGTTGGAAAAGAAAGAACATTTATTTGTCGTGATTGCCACTAGCAACAACCCCACTTGTACATATTGAGAGAGAGAGAGAGAGAGAGAGAGAGAGAGAGAGAGAGAGAGAGAGAGCACACACAGTAGCACAAAGGTCGATCTTTACCTCAGTCAAGTGTGAGAAAACACAACATACACTCATGGCCGCAACACAGTTGATTTGCGTTCAATATCTGCACGACCGTCGCCATACACTTGCTCACATTTTTCTAGCTGGGATGTGAAGTATCGCTGAAAATCGGGCTTCAAGTAGTTGGTAGGATGCTGCTCTCATACAGGCCGGGTGCTGAGCACGAATCCTTCTGGAAAATCTTTTTTTTGCAACAGCTGCTGTGTAATGCACGCGGTGGCATTTTTTTATCGGGGAGGGGGGGGGCTAGCTTGTCGCCTGTAAGGATGACAGCCCTGCTCCTGTGTGGTCCATGTTGATTTCGAAACCATTTCTGTGCCAACATGTCTTCTATCTAAACAGGTGATGAACGGATGATGTGAACGAGGGAGTCGTAATAATACAACCCACTAGTGTGACCCCGTTGAGTTGTTGTTCAGCGGGCACACAATGGAGGCAGCTGGCGATGAGGATCACGCTGATGGCACACCTCTATTGCAAGATGATCAAGACCAGTTCGGCGTAGCACCTAATCACTCAGCTGTTGGTGAGGATGGCGATTGTGCTGAACATGCTGAACATGATGGCGGCAACGCTGTCATTGCTAAACAAGATGTTGGCGTGCACGATGGGCAGGGCAGCGGCGCAGAATGCGCTGTCCACGACTTTGAAATTGTGGGTAAGTTTCTGCGGACTGAACTGAACTGAGAGTGTGCATACCGGTGTGTTCTCTTGCTCGTGTGAGCTACTGCTTGCATTTGATGGCCTTTCTTACCTGGCTAGTCTCTCATCTACATAATACTTCCCTCAAATGCAGTGAAACCCGTCTAAGACGACCGCTCGAGGGACCTTCGAAACGTGCTCTCTGTAACCAGGCCGGTGGTCTCCTTATGCAGGATCATTTGGCTGGAAAGAGCATCCCTTGGTCCTGGCTGCAGTGGTCTTCTGGGACAGGTGGTCGCCTTATCCGAGTGGTTGCCTTGACAGATTTTACTCTACCAGCTTCTGTCAGCAGTGGGGCGGTGTTGTTTTTTTTCGTGAGGTCCCTTGGCTAGTATCTAAGTACTTTAGGTAGCTTCATCGGCCGGCACTATTGGCCAGCACACCGTCTCCTGTTTACTGAGAGGAATGATCTTCAGCCGACGAGTCTGCGATTCGACATTTCGCAATCAAACTGACTCCGACGAAATTGACCATTTTTGGACTAAATGTGATTATTTTACTGCATGTTTACATGCTGTGGGATCACTGGAATGCAGTGCGATGCACATACAGCAGGTTTGAATGGGAGTATTTGGTGAACGGTGCATCACAGTCTCCTCGTACCACAACCATTCGACTCGCCCGCCCAAACTTTGCCGACTCTGATGTTTTCATTTCTCCCCGGGCCATTACACGTCATGTGGCTGATATGGTTCGAAGCACGATCAATTATGCTGGTGCTCCGCTTTACAGTATCGAGACATCTACGCGGACCAAAGCAGCCTAAAGGCCGATTCATACTTCATTTCGCTTACGGGAAAGCCGTCGCGACCGTCGCTCGATGACTTTCCGTACGCGAAATATTGAGCTCAGATCAACTTTTTCGTGACGCGACGCGTTTCCCGTACGCGAAATGAAGTATGAATCGACCTTAATTCTAAAGAACTTTGAAAGAGTTTGGGCGTTTCTTTGTTGATAGCATACGAGAGAAGTAAATACGTTAATTCATTGGTGTGTTTGGCTCCATTGCGCCCTATGCAGATGATCTTGCCACGCTGCTTAAACCTGTCATTGCCTCTCCGCAGCAGCATCCAGGACAAATCGGAGGTGATGTTGGGGATCCGCTCCTACTATTAGATGAGCGCTACCCACCGCACGCCATGGTGCTGAACAGGAGAACGCAGCGAGTTGGCCTTGTTCCGTCTTCATCTATCAGCCGCACTGCGAAAGGTAATGTATGTTTACGTACGATGCATATGTGTATGAGTATACTCGAGTGGTGGCGCTAGATGTTACCAAACTGCACGAATCAGATATCCGAGGCATCGTACTCTTTGAAAGATCAGCCAAACATCGTAGCTTGAACAATCTTTGGTATTGCTTGGTAGCTAATATTTGCGCAACAGCATAACGTGTACGCTCATGGAATAGTGAGAAGCTGAGAACACTAATACATAATTTAAGAAGAAAAAAACTTTGGAACAGTTCGAGTGCAGTAACATCGTCTTCCTGTATGCACAAGTCAGGATTGCTGCGCAAGTGAATGTATGTGACCTCTATACCTGTGTGACCTCTATACCTGTGTGACCTCTATACCTATGTGACCTCTATACCTGTGTGACCTCTATCCCTGACGCTGCACTCACGCTGTTCTAGTATAACTTATTCGTACTTGTTGCAACTTTTGCGGACAATTAGAAAAGTCGTTGCAACTTGTTTTTAAATAGTTTGAAAGTACTCGTGTTCTCGATGTTCTATGTGCAGACACGTCATGTTGTTGCGCTGATATTAGTTACCTAGCAATATGAAATATGAACATGCTATTGGTTACCCCTGCTAACCCTCTAAACATGCCACCTGCTTACCGCCTTTCTAATTCACCTGCTGAATTTCGATCACCCGTCAAGACTTTCTGAGGGTTCCCTGTAAAAAGGCGATGACGCCTGTTGGGAATTCCCTGGTAAAATAAGAATTAAAAAAAATTAAAATAAATGTTGTAGACTCATTATGGTCTCTTCCACATCATGACTTCCGTTGTTTTTGAGAATCAGTTAGTTGCGATAATTATCACTATGAAAGTGTTCGTTATGGAAAAATATCTCTTGTTCGATATCCATTGTGGTGGCTGCTGATATAGCCTCTACTATTGACTGTGCATATCGCACTTTTTATCTCTACACACGTACCGTGTGCTTTTCACTGAACCAAGTTGTATCACCCTATTTCAGAGAGTTCACCTGTGTGTTTGTTTTCGTGTCTGATCTAGTCCTGTGGTGGTGTTTTGCCTCAGTTCTTTGTTGATCATCTACTGAACGGAGTACAGTGAACTTTGTGTATAACGACACTCGGCGGCGGGGCATCAGAAAAGTGTCCTTATTCGCGAAGTGTCGTTATACCCGAAGTCTCATTGTATGTATTACAGTTAGATGTCACATTGCTCTGGGCATGGGAATTCTGTCGTTATTCGTGAATTGTCGTTATATCCGCAGTCATTATTAGCGAAGTTGACTGTATGCTGGTGTAGAAGTGATTTGTAATGCATGTTACCCATGCTGTGCTGGTTGTTGCAGATCCAGTTCATGATCTTGTACATGAAGCCAGTGCCAGTGCAAGTGAGGTGGAGAGCAACGGAGTAAGTCATTCCTCCGTCGCTCCACATGTCTGTATGCCTACCGTTCGCCTGTGTATCCATGTATCCGGCGAACGAACCTCTATCCATCCAACCATCCATTCATCCACCCATTCATGCACCCATCCATCCATCCATCCATCCATCTACGTCAGGCGAAATTACTGGTCAGTCGGCGACACGCATTTTTCACAAAAATTTGCGTTTCACCTACTGGGAGAGTATGCGTGTACTCGAGTCTCATCCTGAGCACGTTTTTTTCTTCTTTTTTTCAGCTCCAGTATAGCTGTATTTTTCATTGCAAAGCCGTCATTGTTGTGTTCGTTGTTCAAACGAAGTGGACATTCAATCATGAAGGCAGAGGACATAGGAGCCTGATTGGAGTTTCTCGTGGCATAGGACGGCCACACAGAGACACTTTGGGATTTTCTGAATATAAAATACCGGACGCACGATGCTGAGATCAATTTGTGCGATATCAAATTGATTGTGATCTACCACATCGAGCAGAACGGGATCCAAACACAAGCTTACCGACGGTTACGCTGCCGACCTGACTGGACAAATGATCCCTGGCTTCACCAGACGCCAGAAGTCGGACACCATGTCCTTTGCCGCGACGTCCATCTCCAAAAAGAACTCCATCTTCGTCGTGAAAAGGCTTGAAATACTCAATATTCAACCGAGATTCGCGGTCTCACCCTTTCTCAGATCGAATCATTTTTTGTTGTAGCAGTTGCAGGGCAGATCCCCGCCACTACTTCAACAGGGGATGGCTCCAAAGCATGCCTGGAACAAGCCATATCGAGGTTGCAAGCCACCTCTCTCAGCAAGAAAATCGAAATTTCAACGGTGGAAGATATACTATGAAGAGAATTTCAAAGAGTATGTTTCGCGGAGCGATCGCTCAACCTAGGTCATTCAAACTTTGCAGGATGGTTCAGACGTACATGCTAGGCATGGAACCACAGGGGTTGATGTCATAGCTGACACACAGAGTCACACACACAGCAGATTCGTGTGCACAGATACTAAATTAGTGGACGTCGTCATCTTCTTCCCGCTGATCTCAAATGTACTGTGATGTGCTATTTCGCCTGACGTATCCATCCATCCGTCCATCCATCCATCCAAACATCCATCCGTCCAATCATCCATCCAATCATCCATCCATCCACCCATCCATCCATTTATCCATCCACCCATCTATCCATCCACCCATCCATCCATCCATCCATCCACCCATTCGCCTGTTCACCGGTCCATCTATTTATCTATCTTTGGATAAATCACTGTTTGTCTTTTGGATTTTGGGTTGCTGTAATTAGTAAGATCCACATTCAATGTGGAGGTACGGAATGTCTCCCTCTCATATGGTCGAGTGTTTATCCATGATTTTGTTTCCCTTGGTGGCTTCAATTGGAGTTGCTCGTTCCTCTTCATGTCTGCTTTGTGATGGATTTGAGGTCATTGTAGGTTTGGTCAGATTTTGAAGCTCTGGGCAGATTGGCACTACATAGGTAGATCTTTCTATGCAGCTTTCCATTATGTCATTGTTCTTGTTCTCTGTGTTGTTGCTTTTTTTTGTACCAATTTGTAGACATTGATGGCTGACCTGAGCAGTGATGTGAAGAAGAAAGCAATGCTGGAAATGACGCAACTTCTGTCCAAGGAAGGCGCCTTGTTCAAATTGATCGAGTGGCTACAGCCGGCTTGGTTCAGCAGTCTTGTAGCATATTTCCACACCCCTGCTGCAGATCGATGCAGGTCGTTTGGTCTCGCCGGTGTCCGCAAGCTGTGCCAGGAGACCAAGAGATTCATGTCTCTCTGTTACGCTCTGATTTCCAACGTAGAAGCCAGAGCGATTGTGCGGATTGACACAAGCACTGCCAGGCTGCACGTGTTTCTCATTGGTGTACACGTGCTGCTGCGCTTGCCCCATCCTGACTGGTTCTCGGGACTGGCCGATGCCGTCGAGTTCAAGGAGCTCGTCACCGACATGAACTGGCATGCACTGTCCACGCTGAGGCCTGACGTTGCGTCCACAATCCTGGCTGATATCCCGCTGTTGCGGTCACTCGCCGAGTGTGTGTACTCGCCAACGCGTACCATGATCACGAACCTACTTGCCGAGAACTGCTCGCATCACAATATGTTCCTTCTCGTCTGCATGATGCTGGTGGAGGGCTGCCTGCGATCTGTCAACAGCAGTCCTTTCGGCGTTGATCTTGGTTGGAATCAAGTGGCATGTCGGCTCAAGCTGCGCAGTCTGTCCATTCCGCCCACCTGCTTCATGCATACCCTGTGCGACTTCTTCCGCAATGATTTCTTCTGTAATTTCACCACTGAACTGCCCGTAGATGAGATCATGAAGAATATCTTCAACTTCAGTCGCAGCACCGTGGAACTGGACGTGGTGGCGATAGCCAAGGCAGTGTGGCCCCTGGTCCACTACAGCAAACCAAAGCCGCGTGTGATCAACAGCGTCGTAGAGATGCTTTCCAAGGCCCTGGGCAGAACAAGTGCTGATGGTGTGCAGGAGGAAGTGGAGCAGTGCGCTTCACTCTACCTGGGGCCCGATGACCTGGCACGGCTACTGCGCCTGAACCACAGGGTTATCAATGTCAGTACGCTGCGCCGGCTGTACACTGGTGTCGATGGCGTGACCCACGAACGCCGGGAAGCGGCCCTGGAGAGCATTCAAAAGATTGTGTTCGACACGTTCTACGAAGCACCGAAGCTGGACTCTGATCCTCTGGACTCCATCATCACAGCTATGTCTTCGGCAGATGCTGACTCTCGATGGCAATCCACCTGCATGGCCATTTCCATTGTTCACGGCCAAGAGATTGGCAGATTCCGGTTGCGCTGGTGCTCAACTGCCAGGATGGTTGACCTCTTAGAGCGGACAGAGCACGCGGAGACGATAAAGAAGTCACTCGCTGCCACCATCAAGAACCTGCACATGGCACTAGGCTGCGAAGCGCTGTTGACTGCTAGTACTATCATGGAATCCGTGTTTCTAAGAGACAGCTGTTTGATAGGCAGCTTAGACGTGCAGCCCAGGTTCTCGCTGCAGTCAGTGCTCACGACTCGAGAGCACATCATTTATGCCATCGACACTCTGAACGACCTTCAGAATCCCGACGTCAGGAAGGACTTCCCGTTGGACATGTTCACCACCGAGACAAACTGTATGGTCATGTTCTGGTCCTTCTACTGTGCTAGCCTGCTGGAGACCTGCAAACGTTTCCCCAGCGCCAGCATCGATGACGTACTGTGCGAGCTACACGACCGTCTGGAGACCATTGTTGAGCAGATGGATGGCGTGCCGTGCATGTCTGGCTTTGCCGGCGCGATGGCATCCACAGTGATGGCGATATTCCAGCTGAGAGAGCCTGCCATCAAGCATGTACCCAATGATGCTGTGCTGCTTCTTCTGAGAATGTGTACTCGAGCAGAGGCAGTGCACAAGAAGGGTGGCGTCAGCATGCCGTTTCAACTGGAAGCATTCCAGGCGTACAAGGCCAGGGTCCAGCGGACAGCTGCTCACTACCGCAGTGGCGAGTACTCTCGCGTCGACTATGATGAGTACGTGCAGCACAATAAGAACCTCAGCGCCATCTGCTGTGCGTTGGACCTGGACACTGTTGATAACCTGGACAGCTTCCGGCAGCTTGACCAGCAGTGTGAGCGACGCATAGCGCTGCTTAGCTGGCAGCATCTCAAGGCTGCTAAAGGATCCCAGCAACTCCTGAAGGAGCTTGAAGGCGTCAAGCAGAATCCTGCCGAACACCTGTGCAACATCAGGCAGCTGCTGCAGAGGGTGGACGCCGAATTCCTGCAGAGACTAGCCTTCCCTGTTGGCTCTGTCGAGTACAATTGTCCTGCGCACGAGTACATCACGGAGACGATCAAGAAGAGCGTGCTATGCAGCCGCCTGTCCGATGTGACGTTCTCCATGTACCCAGCAGAGCTTTACCCGGACTGGACTTCTAGTGTCGGAAGTATTCTCTCCCAGATCTTTGAACAGGTTGAGAATCTACTCTCACCGCTAACCCAGTACCAATGCCTATCACGTATAATCGATGGCATTGTCACAAGCAGCCCCGCCGGATATGACAGCTTCCTGGCATGCCTGGACGATGAAACCGAAGTGTTTCGCCAGTCGCCACCACATTCTGCCAACGTGAGCGGCATAGAGCGCTTGGACCGCCTGCTGTGGTACCGCGCCTGGAGGGCATGTGGCGTGAAGGGTGTCATCAAAGCGCTACGCCTGAGCAGCAAGAAGTCTGACGATGTACTGGAGGCATGGGTGTGGCAAAGCAATCAGCATGATCCACCATCCGACTCTCCTCTGCGCAGTGCCTCGTCCAGCTCGCACAAACTCATGCAGCTGACACAGCAATTCAGCCTTCACCATTTGAAGTTCTTCTATCTTGTGCAAGAAGACCTGCTTGGTGGTCTCTTTGGCTTTTTCAAAGAGCTTCACTTCACCATGAGCAGCTCACTGCGGCAGCGTTTTCAGCTGCTGAATATCAGGCTTGAGGGTGATCCACATGCCGACAAGCTGATGACGTCGCTGTACGCTGTTGAGAACATCGTCAGCCCCTTCTTCTTGGACTTGACACCGTGCGATGTCCTGGAGGAGTTTCGGCACAGCAAATTCGACAGCCGTTCAGTTTACGAAGCGGCCCGCAACTTGGCTGCAGTTCGTCGACTGCTGGACTCCGTGATCAGCAATGCGTTCGATGATGCCAAGAGCGTTCTGTTGGGTCTTGGTGATCCCTCTAAAGCCACAGTCGAAATTCACCTGGATACCTCGGAGCACTATCAGTACGTGTGCAAGTTTGAAAGACTGGACGGTGCGCGGGACCATCACACAATGGCGGAAACCAGGCAGTTCCAACTCTGTTTGCCATACCTAAGAAGTTTGGAAGAGCCAACCAGCCGGATAGCCACGACTTTGTCAGATTCATTCGGCTTGCTGGAGAAATTGATGGCCAAGGTGTTGGAGCTCGAAGGTAACGGACACTTTGCCTTCCTGAAGAAAGTCGAAGATGTCCCGGTGCCAATTTCTCAATCATGTCTAGAAACTCTCTTGTTGCAGTACACCGAGGAGCTGACACAATGGAAAGCGAGGCTTCCACTGGCGAAGGAGAAGTGTCCCGTGCTCAACATGTTTTCCAACTACAGCATAGGCTCCATGGCTAGACTCGTCGCCCGGTGCAGTGATGCTAACGTGTCTGCCAAAGAAGTGCGTTGTCTTGTATCAAGTCTGCTCTGGCACGTCCTGTCTACAGTCCCACTGGCTGTGCCAAACGCCGGCTCACTAACTTGCACCACAATCCGGGACGCTTTGGAGAGCAGCGAGGCCGGAGGGCCGGATCCATTGGAGCAGCTGGGATTATTGCTGTCACAAGTTGTTCAGCTGAAGTCTGCGTCACCTGCTGCTGCTTCATTGCCTGGTGTCCACCATACGAAACAAGTGAGGCAGACTCTCTATACAGTCGAGGGCTGTAATTCAGATCGAGATAGTGCGCTGGCGCTGTCCTCTCTACTGTGCGAAGAGTTCCGTGGCACTACTCTCAGCCGTGCCCAGTTCCTGTTCTGCACCCCGCTGACGTCTCAGGACGATTTACGGAGCTTTTGCAGAGCAGCTGAAAGCACCGGAGCGCGATTCGCCATGTGTGGTATTGACATGCTCAGCGGCAGTTGTCGCTCCACACTCCTGGAACTTCAGCTCGAACTGGGGAAGCGGCTCTCCAACATCACCTTGATCTACCTGTGCTACAGGAAAGTCTTCGCCCAAGCTTGGCCGGAGGTGAGCGGAGTCAAGCGCAAAGCTCTGTCATCTGCACCGTTCTCCAGCCTCCAATCGTGCTTCATATCGTGCGGCAATCTAGCTAATGGTGACAACAGATTCAATCTAAAGATAATCCCCGTGTGTGGACCAGCAGGTGCCGGAAAATCATTTTGGACAAAGGAGAAGTGTGAGGTAGACGACAGCCAGCCGCCTGTTGTCGTCGACCTGGCCCAGCTGGACGGTGCCGACGACGCTTGCCAGTTGCTTGTTGCAGAGTACCAGAAAGGCAACCTGCAGAGAGACCGCAATCTGCATCTACGTATTCCGTCCAATGCTGACGTTGTCCTCATCAACCGCGTCTTCTTTGAGCTGCTCTGGTGCGGTGCGATTCGAGCACAAAACAAAAAGAAGGTTTTTGCAGTGGCAACAAGTAGCAACAAAACGTGGAAATGGTTTGTCGAAGTCCAAGAAGACATCCTGGAAGCTGAAAATGGACACCAACACGACCTCAGGGCCATTTCAGAAGTGTTGCCGTTCCTGAGCGTTGCAACATCCAGCTGTCCAATCAACTTCAAGCTGAGGAAGATCATTCTGCAGGAAGAACAGCGGAAATTGGCACGGCTGCTGGACCGATTCTTCAAGGCCACGGACACCGGCCTTATTGACCTGGATGACGATACCCAACCAAGCGATAGCGAGTGCAGTGCGCTGATACACCAGCTGCTCAGCTTGGACGATGAGAGAGAGAAGACACGGCTGGAAGAGATCTTGTTGCTGCAGTATCTGTACGTGAAGTGGAAGTTTATTGTTACACGAACTGATTTGCCGAGCCTGGCCCGTTCATACCCTCGGCTGACCTCGGCGATCGTGGCGCTTCTCATCAAGGAGGCCATCTTTATGTCTAGTCGTGATCTGCAGTGTGTTTTCCAGCGCTGCCCACAGGGCTTCCTGGTGTGCGATCCCTTTTCCGTGATGGCATCATCTGCTGCTCAGGCAGACGTTTACAAGATGGCTGTCATCAGGAGTACGTATGAGGATGAGCCGGATCGTCAATGGAGCCCTTATCCGATTTCGCAGAGTCGCAACTATCAGCTGGGTCTTCTCAGCTGGATGTTTGGTATTGAAGATGGCGAAGTCGACATGTTGATCAAGCAGCATGAATTTGTCTTGACTGCAGACTTTGCTTTCAAGCTCTTCCTCATTCATGAACGACAGAGGCTCGGTCGACCGCTTGTGCTTGAGAGTGAAACGGGTGCAGGGAAAACATACCTGCTGCAGATGTACTCAAAGTTGTCCGCGCATGCGATTGAGAAGAGGACCGAATTGCAGAGGTTTAAAATGGCCCTTCAGCTTCTCAAGTCTATCATCTTCAACCCACAGCACTGGGACACTCTCGGCGATGAGGGACAGTGCAAGTTTCCCCGGTTAGGTCAGCCAGCAGATGAAGAACCAAGCAGCATCATACTCGGACAAGATGTAAAGCTTCATTCGGTCAATTTTGAGCGCCTGCCGTGGGTTTGGTCAGAATTTCTTGCCTTACTAAAGGATGAGCTACGGCCCACTGCCAAGCATCTCTTACAGCTAGGCCTGCAGTCTTGCATCACGGATATCAGTGTCCTGGATGTCAACACTGATTTCAGGAGACTGCTGGCAGTCGACAGCCTCACAGATGCCGAAAGCGAGAAGCTATTGCGCGAGCTAGTTGCCACGCGGCCAAAGAATCTTTTCAGAAAGATGCTTGTTCACCCAGGCCTTCTGAAGTCCGAAATCAAAAGGTTTCTTGACGAAGTGTTAACACTGGCTAGGAGCACCCCTGGGCATGTTATCATTGTGTTCTTCGATGAGTTCAACACATCCAAGTACATCGATTCGTTCAAGGAGATCATGTTTGACAATACATTCGGCGGCGCCATGTTTCCGGAAAGTTCCAAGCAGCTGTTCTTTGTGGCCGCTGTCAATCCGTTTGGAACGAAAGAAAGACGATGGAATATGAACTACTTCACGTTTGACCCGCACGACTCACCAGACACTATGAAGGAATGGGATGATGAAATGGGACAGGTGTATAATGTTCGTGGCCTACCTAAGATCATGAGCCTCCATCAATGGAAGTACTTCAGTTTGAGAGAGCCTGAGGAGCTAGAGGAGTACACTGCGTGCAAGATAGAATTCTTGAAAGACAGCCCAGAGTTGCAGCATGTCAATGCCCGGAATGAGTTCAACGATGACGTGCTGATGATCCTCAGCAAGTTCCTCTATCACTCGTACTGTTTCTGTCAGGAGAACGTCACCAGGTGCTTTGTCAGTCAGCGTGATGTGCAACGTGTCTTCAAGCTCATCCCGCATCTGTGGAATCTGGCTATCAATGAGCTGATGGAGACGAGAAGAGAAATTGATGTCAACTCACTGCTTCTTCGCTGCATCCCGGTGTCCATTGCACTGGTATTTTATGTTCGACTACCCACCATACCAACAGATAAGTACCCCAATGCCTCCCGGAACTTGCTGGATGAGTATGTTACTAAGAAAGTTCAAAAAGGGTATCCACGAACAGGCTTTGCATCAAACTCCCTGAAGAGAGCACTTGAGACAGAGATCAAGAAGGCAGTGACGCATGAGAACTTCTACATTCCGGATGGAGTCGCTCTGACACCCGCACTGCAGGAGAACATCTTCTGCATGGTAGCGTGTATTCAGCAACGTATTCCACTGGGCATCATCGGTGAGCCTGGCTCTTCCAAGACGCTTGCGTATCAAATTGTTCGACAGAACCTGTGCGGAGAACGTGGGTCCACAAAGAAGTTTTGTCAGCAGTTTGGTGCAGTCGATCCTTTCTTCTGTCAGTGTTCTCCGGAGTCAAGCACAGATCAGATACAGAGGTTGTTCAATGTTGCTATCAAGCGACAACGCTTCTATGATAAGCAGAAGCTACCTGCATACACAGCACTGCTCACAGACAAGCGACCCAAGGTTACTGTGTTTATTGACGAGGCAGGCTTGCTTAATGTAAGGCAAAATCGCATGGTGATGAAAGTGCTTCACCCGTACCTTGACGAGCCTGAGGTCTCATTCGTGACGATGTCCAACCACTGGTTTGATGCTGCCAACACTAACCGCATGCTGACGGTGTTCCGCTCGCGTGCAGACAGCGATGACCTGATCAGTCTGGCCTATGGGTGTCTTGGTTTGCCAGACGATGGTGAAGCCGACAACACTACTCGCTTTCTGCATGGCCTTTGTGAAGGCTACCGTTCTGTTGCGAAGAGGTTTCCACGCTGGTATCATCAACGAGATCTCATTGCCCTTTTGCGATTCTTCCGTCGATATGCAGAAGGAGTGCACAGGGTCAATGTCATAAACATCCAGCAGGATCATGTACTTCAAGGTATTGAGGAAACGTTTGGAGGCCGCTGCGAAAAAGATGTCAGATGGGTCGTCAGCACCTTCTTCGAGAAGATCCATAAGTCACTACCTAGCTTTCCTGAATGTGCTCAGGAATCTCAGTTCAAGAACCCTATTGAAATCCTTCTGCGCATGAGATACCAGCTGCAAATCGCACATGAAGAAGGAAAGCTACACTATCTCAACACGAGTGCAATGGTGCCACGTTTCCTTCTCCTGGTTGACGACTATGGCTGTGACTTCAATACAGTTGACATGCTATTCCGGCTGGGAGTGGTCTCCGCGGAGCCTGGCCAGACACATCTCTTTCAGCACTGCGGCCAAGTGCAGGAGAGTAGCGATGTGCAGTGCGCGAGCATTCTGGCTCAGCTGCGTCAGTTTCTCAACCAGCCGTGCACAGTTGTGATTGTCAACTCCCCCAGGCTGCATGGCTACCTGTATGAGCTCTTCAACCAAGCCTTTCAAACCATCACTCTGGATAACGAGCAGTGTGCTTTTTCAAGCATCGCCATGGGAGACAGTACATTACCATGTCGAGTGCACCCAAAGTTCCGGTGTATCCTCGTGTTGAGCCGGTCTCTGGTGGAGGCTGAGCGCACGCCATTCCTCAGCAGGTTTTCGAAGCTGAGCATTCATCCGTACCATGGCTGGCAGTATGTCTTGAGAAATGCTGCCTCACCAAGTCTCCTGCGAGACATCCAGACTCAGTGTGAGGTGTTCTTGAATCAGATCCACGAGAGATACTTTGTTGGCTGTGGGCAGGATGTGGCTTTCAGCGGTACTATGTTCCTCCACCTTCTGGACCTGGTAATGTGTAATTCTGAGCGCAAGTTTGAGCTCAGTCGACTGATCTCGCAAGGCAACACTGACCCAGCGGTGACCATTACGGCAACGCGTGACGTCATCGCCCGCTACTTCCAGCTGATGCCCATGGAGTCGTACATAACGGTGCATGGCCTGCTATCACCACCAGCCACGTACCATCAATTCTACTTGAGCTGTCGGCAGAACGCCTTCACCCTGCGTGGCGTCTTGGAGCGTTCTCTGCGCAAATGCCAGGCTGAACAGAAAAGGTCCAGAGTGATGCTGCTGACTAAGTCTCTCTCCTCCGACGTAAACCGTCTTTCCTCGGCTGCTGCCAAGGAAGTGTGTCTTGGTCAGGAGCTTGCAGCTTGTACTGAGATTCAGTCGTTCAATGACTTCCAGCACTTCTTTGAGGCTGAGCAGGCTGTGAAAGAGCTCGGCGCAGCCCAGTGCAGATGCCTGGTGGTCACTGTGGATATTTCGCAACCACACGAGATGGCTGCCGTTGGTCCGTTGAAGCGACTCATCGAGAAACAGATCAGTGATGCGGATACACCGAACCCTCGGCATGGCCACGCTGCCCACACCAAGGTTTATGCTATACTGCTGCACTCATTCCTGCAGAGTCCGCATTGCAAAAGCATATCTGCACCTGTCCTGCATGGCTGGCAATCGCACTTTATCTCGATAGATAGCTTGTCGCATTTCTGCCCTATTAGCGCCACTGATTTCTTCTGTTACACAAGCTGGTCGCGGGCAAGATCTCCGCAGGAAAGACTTGACCTTGAAAGGGAGCTTCGACCTCGTCTCCAGCAGCACGCCGCGCTCTTCAGCGAGGAGTTTTGCCGACGTCTCTCGTACATCGGCAGCACCAGCTCTCTCCAACGTGATACTAGTTTTCCGTATCGGTTCCTGCCACTGCTCAGCCCTCTATCCCGCCGACATCCGTCAACACATCCCTCCAGGGTGGAGGTAGTCGTGTTACTGCTGCAAAGGATACCCGGGCTATTTGACTGGCTTTCCAGCGCACTACTCACATGGATGACCAAGGAAGGTACAGGATGGATGGAGAAGACATCAAACACCATAATCCTCCAAGATCTGAACTGCAGCCTGGTCGATTGTCTATTTGCAGAGATTGAGGCTGTGACCAAGGATCTGATGCAAACCATCTTGCTGGCTACTTTGAGCAAATACAACGTGTGCAACCTGCTACCGGTGTTACGGACCAATCCAGACCTTGTCAGGAAGCTGCTGCTGCCCGTGGCATCAACGCGTGTCGCCGGGTCGCAAGATGGTCGTCTGGTTGATCTGGAAAGGCACGAGTATCATACGCCGTTCTTTGATGAGTTCACCACACGCCTGGAGAACATCGGCCTCGACGTCCAACAGCTGAATCCTAATATGGTACATTTAGCACTGGACCGGGATGTTGTCCTCGGTGATTTGCTCAGAGAGAAGGACTTCGTAGACCTCTGCGTACCTGACTACATACAGTTTGCACTTGGCTGGCGGACATCAACGTCGGCGACGGTCCCAATTGCAATGCACTTTGTGCGGCTTTGCTTTGCTGAAGGCACTCAGCTGGACATTGAGACAGACATGTTCTCATTCGTCCACGTGCTGCTCAGAGAAGAGCGTGCTCTCATTTTGTCACTGCTGAATGGTGTGGTCGCGCTGCTTCAGCTCTCCCCCAGCACGCACCACCAATCCGCCCTGAGCATGCTCAAGCTGTGCACAAAGCGGCAAGACCTGGTAGATCAACTGGCGACCAGACTGGTGGAGCAGCTGTGGGAGTCTCTTTGTCAGACCCTGCACTTATCGCCACCTGATTGCGACCCGAAAGAACTAATACAACAGTTGCTATTGTGGAAAGCATCAAGCAATTACATAATGCAATACTGGCCGTTTCAGGAGCCCGAGTCCATTGCCTCCAAGCATGGTTCGGTGCTGTTCAAAACAGTGGCAAATGTTGCCCAGCAGATGTCCAGGAGGTTGAAGTTGATGGCGTCGGTCGAGCTCATTCTGAGTTGCTTGACAAGGACACCTGCTATTCGAGTCTTAGAGATCCTGCGTAAGCTAGTGCCGAAAGGAGACCTGTCGGCGAAGGAGCCATCGGAACACGATTCGCCAGATCTCCAGCTCTCTCAGGTCTTCAACTGCCTGCTGGAAATCGGAACTGCTGAAGGACGCAGTGACTGTCTGGCCAGCGAGGCTGTCCAGCTCAAGCTCTGCTGTGCTGAGTGGCTCGTCAGAAGGCTAGAGTCGAAATCGTACGTGACGATCGACTCGTTCAAAGCTGAGCACGACTTCCAGCTGTTGCTTCTGTGTGTACACGGGCGCTGGCGACAAGATGAATCCAGTGCCTTCTGCATCCCAACTTACTTGTCTGCTGGACTTTTACATGGTCTTGAGCAGAGAGTAACACGTGACTTGGTATCCCCTCCGCAACGGGTGGCCCTGGAAAAGGCTACCTACCAGGTACGCGAGGTCATCGAGAGCACTGTGAATCGAATCCTGGAGCCGCAGCTCATCATGAGAGATTTGAGCGCCGTGCCGCACTACGTTCCATCCGGGAGGGCTGACCGCACACCGTTTCCTCCCTTGGGCAGCGCCTATTATGAGCTGGCGTGCGCTTGGCAGCGAAACCTGACTGCGCCCAACATGGATGCCCTTGAGTACCATATCAACTCTGCTATGGAGAATAAGGCCATCGTTGAGCTGCCCTCGCCACGAGGCGACGAACGGCGCTATATGCAGAGGCTGCATAGAAACGCCAAGACGCACGTGGCAACTGAGCTGGCAGCAAAGCGCATTGCAGAATTGATTCAGAGCAATACACTACCACCAGCATCCCTCGCATGCCTAAACAGCTTCTACTCTAAGCTGAATTCCATCCAGAAGGCTAGCTTTTGTTGGGAGGTACTGTCCAGGGTGAAGTGTTATTGTTTGGCGAGAGGGCTTGCTTCTTGCCCAGAAGTCTGGGCGTCGGAGCTCCGGAAGACAAGTAGCGACCTCGCACCACTGCAGACCAACTTGAATCTGTCCTCAGCGGGCAAATCTGAAGACTCTGTGACCGTGATCGCCAGCCAGCCGACCCTGCGAGCTGTGTTTGGCAATCTTTGTCAGCGTCTCCGCGGTCAAGAGAAGTCCAAGCCAGCTGCAGCCGTTCTCAACTGGTTTCTCTTGACCCCGGCCGATAGGGGAGTCAAAGAAGCGTGTGTGCTGTGGACAGGTTTTTACAGTCACTACATGATAGGCAACGACGGCCTCCGCGGCTTGCTCTCTGCAGGATTATCATCATCAGCCAGCCCTGCACTTGCGCATGCTCTGAAACTTCTTCTCGATGAGCCTGCCTCGATGCCGCCTGCCTTCAGTCATCTGCTTCACACTGAGGAAGACTACCTGCGCGATGTGTTTGTCTCCACACTGGTGGCAATACTTGCCATGGGCCCTGAAAGTCACCTCTACACGTGCCTGTGTGAGCCGGCATCATTCACCGGTACACTGATCATTGGATCGCTATCAGGCCGTGGAAAGCCTCTGCGCTGCAATGATAGCTACAGCAGCATCATTGATCATTTCTTCCAGACCTGTGTCTTAGGTGAGCGGTCAGAAGACCACTGGCCCATGCTGGTGTACGAAGAGTCCACGCAGCCACCCTGTCTCACGTTCCTGGCCAACGTCCTGTGTGCACTCCACGTGTGCATCGCCCTCTGTTGGAATCTGCTGTTGTTCACCGATGCCGCGCTGGCTGATCAGAGTCTTGTTTGTGATGTCAGTGGCATCGGTCAGGAAGACACACGTGATTGGCGTCAGCTTGCACTGACGAAATGCATCGATAAGGTCAAGGTACTGTTCAGAATTCTGGAGCGTGGCGATGTCAACATGTCACACTTTAGCACAAAGGGTATGCTGCTCACATCACTCAAGCTGATGATGAAATCCGCAAGCGATGGCACTGTGGCGTTTAAACGCTCCTACCGAACTATGGCCGAGTTGAACCGAGCAGAAACCCAGTTCCGGACTGGCATTGTAGAACCGACTTTGCGCAAGCACTGTGCCGAGCTCAATGAAGCCTTCGTGGCAGCGGTGGACAAGGACTTTGCCGAGCTGCACTGGAATAGGCTGACAACGCAGTACAATGCGCGGCTGGACGTTTGGTACACAACAAGCTGCGCTCGCCCAGTCCTTGCCCACGTCCTGGCGTACTACCCACGCCTCGCGATGGTCAAACACATCAAGAGTATCATGAAATTGTTTGTGTACATCCACAAGTACCTGTCGCAACTCTTTCCACTCGAAGCCATCATGGCAAACCGGCTGACAGTGAAATCTGCCATCGACCAGTATTCACTTCTGTTCACGAATTGTCCAGACTTTGATGCAACGTTTCGCCAAGCAAAGGAGGACTTTGCTCTGCTGACAAGTAACTTGTGTACTGTGATGTCTGGATGCTTTAAACTGCACAGCAGGTGGACTCTGAACAACGAAACACCGCTGAGCGAGATTGTCGTCCCGAGTCCGAAGCGGCACAGCTCCATTCTGAGTAGTCTGATTGGCGAGGTGCTGTCCTGGCAGATGCAGCTGTACACTCTCTGTGAGCGCCAGTCCTTGGAACTGCAGGCCGGCAACTCTGCATTCATACAGTACCTGCAGCAGAGTTTACATGCCGACAGCGTGGCGCCAGAGGATGTTATCACCCACGGCGGTGCTGAGCTGCTGCAGATTAGCAACAGTGCCATGAACCAGCTACTTGCCGTGCACTGCTGTCCTATTCAAAGCCAGGGCGTCCGCCACTTGAACATCGACGTGGAAGCCATGGAGATCCAGGTGGCAATGCTCTTCATCAGTAAAATGCGCAAGATCGACTGGCCGTTGTACATCGGCACTCTGGAATTCCGGTTCCTTGACGAGGATGCCTTTGTCCGCGCTCCAGCTCCCATGGTGAACGTTCCGATCTCGGCAGTTCAGGATATGCAGATTGAGCAGATCCTTCACAACCTGGACCGGTCGCAGGTGGAGGGTGCTCTCTTCGACCTCCGTCAACTGGTGCGCAACTTGAAACGCAATCATCCGCCGGAGGATAAGGTGTTTGAGGGGCGCCTGCTGGATGCCTACTTGCAGCACAAACTTGACAAAGACGGGCTCCAGTACACTCCGCACCTGAAGCGCTTCGGTGGAGTCGTCTTCCTACAGAATCTCCCCACCTTGATCTTGCACTTGGAGAAACATCTTCTAAGCAGTGACTTCCGGCATGTTCCGCCGATTCTGAAGCAGCCATTGCTCCCGCACGACAAGCAAGTGATTAAGGAGAGCCTGGAACACATTCTGAGTGAATCCGATGACCTGGCATTGTCCGTTTCCAAACTTGAGGCTTTGCTCGACACGCTGCAGAATAGCTTGGTTGAAATTGAGGACAATCCGGATAAGAAAATTTCCGACTTTCTGATTGCAAGCCGGAAACCTCAGAGGGACCAGGATTCTGCGAGTGAACGCGCGCCAGTGAGTGATGTAACACTGCCTGACTCCTTGCTCGGGTTTCATTACCAGCGCTTCATGGGCATGCTCTCGTCGTCGCTTCGGGAGATGCGCAGTAAGCTGATGCGGCAGGAGCTGGCGTCCAAGCATCCTCAGGATCCCTGTTGCTTCAGCACACCGCATTCAATGGCCAGCAGCAGCTTACGTGCCGGGACTGAGCCCAGCGTGACACTGACAATCAAAGTGTTCTGCGAGGACGAAGAGCCAGATGTGGAGTACACGGTCACTTGCGCTCAGTCGGCCTGCATTCTCCCAATTCTAGAGGATCGTGTCCTCAGGCCCATCCTCTTCTATAAAGTTGGCAGGAAGTCGTTCCGCGCCAACCATGACCAGGAGGTATCCAAGCTGAAGGAGTTGTGTGGCGGCCGTGATACTATCACCGTGTGTGTAACTGTTCTGGATGACTGAACAGGTGAGAGTGTGCATCCATACCTTTTATGTTTTTGTAGCGTCTCGCATACTATAGTAGTTGCCATGGTTGGCTATCGCCCTTCGTTTCACATCCGTTTCTTGTTGGCAGTCGTTTGACGAGCCAGGAACTGTTGAATAGATACAAATACAAATTCGGCACGGGCTTCTTGTCTTCTACAAACGGGAACACATTGCTGTGCTTGCTCTGCTCAGTGCCACCATAGCGACCACTGAAGTACAGAGTCAGTGTCGGGTACACTGCCTGCTATATTCTAGCCTGGTATTCCCGTATCCGAGGAAGCTTTCCTGTTTCCTTGGTCAGTTCCGGGTGGCATAGAATGTTTTAATTGCAGCACTAAAGTTTAAAAAAATTAAACTAAAATCAATGCCAGAACTTTGCAGCCTAGAGAGCGTGTGTGGGCAGGCATGTATTTACCGCCATATTGCCAGGTGTGTCTTTACCACCATATTATTCACCTAAAATTAATGCTCACAGTTGCGGCAATGCTAATCGTTATTTCTCCCAACATTGAGCACAAGCGAAATTCTCACACTGCATACAGCACAGTGTATGCTCTACAGTGCATTTCAAAACTATATGTAGGACTCAGTGACCAGTCAAGGCCCCGTGACCAATCACGGTCCCCGTGACCAGTCAAACAGTCACAAACCCCCCATGACCAGTCACAAATTAGTTTACCAGTCACAATGCCCCATGACCAGTCACAAATCACCATACATGTACATGTGAAAAGTACACAGTTCGTGACTGCTCGCAGGGTGCTTCGTACTGCAGGATTTGTTGTGGAAACTATAATTCCCTATGAGTGGTCACAGAATGCAGTTGTGACCACTATAATTCCATGCGAACAGTTACATGCGGAATGTACAGTTGTGACCACTCTTTCTCTGTGAGTAGTCACAGGCAGAATATAGGTATTTCTGTATTACAAGAGAGATTGGAGGCTTTGTCACAACTCTGAGTTTCACGTATTACTACGATCGTCAGGTTACTGATGGCTCCTAAACGGGCAGCCTGAACATAAGAGGGAGCAAGGTGGGAAATTCTGAGGGGTATCATAGGCGACGGGTATCATAGTGCAAGAGTCAGGTGCAGGCGTGAAGTTGCCAAGTCTTCAGACTTGGGGCTATGCAGCAGCAGTTCCAGCGTGAATGACATAGAATAGACCTGGGGACCACACATGCCCAAACCATTACACACACATACACCCACACTCTCTCCCTTTTCTCACATACACTCACACGCGCGCACACACACACACACACAATCATTCTCTAAATCTCTCTCTCTCACACACACACACGCACATATGTCATTCATTCTCTACATCACACACACACACACCTGGCCTGGTGTACAGCTGCCAAATGCTTAGCCACGCCGCCCCCGAGACAGGAGGAGAGTAGAAGAGAGAGAGAGTTTGAGACACACACACACACACACACACACACACACACACACACACATCCACACACACACACACACACACACACACCTGGCCTGGTGTACAGCTGCCAAATGCTTGGCCACGCCGCCCCCGAGACAGGGGGGGGGGGGGGGGAGTAGAAGAGAGAGTTTGAGACACACACACATCCACACACACACATCCACACACACACATCCACACACACACACATCCACACACACACACACACATCCACACACATCCACGCACGCACACACAAACACACACACACACACATTCTCTAAATCTCATACACACACATTCTCTCTCTCTCTCTCTCTCTCTCTCTCTCTCTCTCTCTCTCTCTCTCTCTCACACACACACACACACACACACACACACTCTCTTTCTCACGCACACACACACACACACACACACACACACACACACACACTCACACATGCGCACGCACACTTACTCACACGCACATACACACACACACACACACACACACACACACACACACACACACACACACACACACACACAAATAGGCAGCGGGACTACCAGCTAGATTCACGTGACCTTGCTGACAAAGTTACGGAGGTAGAACTTGTTTTCACGACGACACTTGGACACAAGTACTTCTGCATTATTAATTTATCTCTTTTCAACCAATCCACAAGCCAAGAAGAGATGCGTAGACGGAAGAACCGTACTCTTGGTGATACTGATCGCAAACATGATTAATTCCTCCAGGCCATTGAGCACCCAATTCTAAACCTTATCTAAGCAAAGCAGCATGCTTGTTCAAGAACATCTCGTCAGACATACATATCGATACATGTCTGGTGCACTCTCACTAACAAGCAGGCATCGCAGGCTACATTCGCACCAGCAATCAAAAGAAGTTGAAGTGAGTGAATATTTCTATAAAATTAATAATTGGAAGACAAATGAAGGTGTGGAGGATCGCCCAAAAACACTGACAAGGAGACAGTAAACGGTACACAGTACTCGTATGCATGTACTTATACACGTTATAGCAGCATGTCTGGTGCACTCTCACTAACAAGCAGGCATCGCAGGCTACATTCGCACCAGCAATCAAAAGAAGTTGAAGTGAGTGAATATTTCTATAAAATTAATAATTGGAAGACAAATGAAGGTGTGGAGGATCGCCCAAAAACACTGACAAGGAGACAGTAAACGGTACACAGTACTCGTATGCATGTACTTATACACGTTATAGCAGCACAACGAGAAAGACCATGATGCATAATGTTGCATCAATAAATTTTACAGAGTTATTTTGGGAGTAGAAATGAAGATGTGTTCGAAGCAGTAAACTGCGTAAGCACTACGTTGAGCCACAATATTGAAATACAGTTTCCTGCAGTCAAAACAAGACACTCACACTTCTCTGGTCTAGTTCGCCATTCTTATCGATAAACATGACTTGATTTAATTTCTTACGATGGTCCTTGAGAATGGATCAATGATGTCTTGAATAGATGTCTTCCTGAACGACTTCAACTGAGAGGCAGTTTCAGTTTCAACAAGCTGGACATTGTTTTTCTGTGGAGTCTTCCACAAGAAAGACAGAGCTACACACACGAAGGTGCTTGATGTACTCAGTACCTTCTTGGAAATGAACATATTTTCATTTCCATCTTCATTATATTTTCGTCTCTGCATCGTCGACGATGTCCACTTCTGACTCCGTAATCTTGTCACCCATCCTCTCCAAAAACACAAATCGAGTGCTGCTTGCATGCTGGATCAGTTGAAGTCAGTCTCTGCTCTAGCAAGATCGGCATGCAAAAATTACATGACTGAAAATATTCCGAAATAGCTTTTCTGAACGACTCGACGAAGTTTGTTCTTCAAATATGATGAATAGCACAACCTACTAGCCAGAACGTCCTCTCAAAAGAGATTCTATCTGAAGCCTGCAAGATTTTCGACCACCCTTCGTTTTGGAGAGGAGCCCACACACACCAGACTCGAGCTACAAGTAAACTACGAGGAGATCGAGAGTTGATCGAAATCTTTCTTGCTCACTTCTGTGAAGGAAAAAAGTATGCTGAACGCGTGAATGCCTACAGTTGAGTCGTAATATTTTGACGTGGATCCTGTGACCGTTCACAGAGAAAGTCGCGGCAGTTTGTGACTGGTCATCGGGATTCAAACTGGTGTGTGACTTTATGACTGCTCTTCGGGGATTTGTGACTGTATGATTGGTCACGGGGATCGTGATCGGTCATCGAGACGTGACTGCTCACTGAGTCCTACATATAGACGCATAGGGTTTTTGAAATATTTCAAATCTGGCTGGAACTTTTTGAGAATAGTTTTCGGAATATTGCTCAGGATCGCTCCACAATTACTCTCATATAGTTTCTAAAGGATTGGATAACAGACGCCCAATTTGGAAAAATTTATGCACAAAGTGATCACAGATTTTATGTGGTATAGATGCTGGCATAACGGTTTTTGCCTAGGTACGCGTCTATAGTTTTGAAATGGACTGTAGTGTGTCAGCCTGCATCAATATCCTACATATATCGTTGCCGGAATGCCAGTCACGGCATTACCAAGCAGTGTTTTTTTGTGTGACGATGGTCCCTAATCTCCTGTATGCGCTGCTCAGGTCTTCTACACGTGGTGATGGATTTGCCAGTGTGTGCCGTGAAGCTCCGCTCGTTGACATGGTAGCATGTGACAGGCCAAACTACTTAAATTCGGTATTGTAGGGTCAACGCAAGGCAGGCAATTGAGTTTTTTCTTGGTAGTGGTGAGACGTATTACCCATAAATACCTACTAGTAATTCTTTACCTAGAAAACTTTTTTTATTTGATTATTTGGAGAGTGGCTTCCTATCTTTAGGGGCTTTCCAGTGTACTTGTGCGAGCAGCAATGATAATCACATTACGGATAGTGATCCTCACTGATGTGGCGCTGCACACGCTGGTTGTTGAGCAATTCATCACGTGACCTTTTGTTGCGCACCACGTGGATTCCTCGGACTGCTATTGCACTCTTAATTTACAAGATTTTCTGAGTTTTTTTTCTTCTTCTATAGAGCTACATTGTGGGTATAGATTTTTGTCCTGAAGTTTACCCCAGCATCAATGTAAATTCACATGCCATTGGAAATTGTTTGCTGTGTATTTACCATGGCTCTACCCCCGGCCACTCACAATCTAGGAAATTTATCTGTGCTGATGCATATCTTTTACCGTTTACGGTCTGAGAACAATTGTAGGTAACTGTTTACACAAGTCGGCGATCGAACAACTTGATCTAGGTTATATTTTATTTGCTGTAGTTCCGAGTTTCAACGTTATTCACCAGTATTTAGGCAAGAATGATGATGTTTCATGGTTATTTACCAGTATTTAGGCCAGAATGATGATGTTTCATGGTTATTCACCAGTATTCAGGCAAGAATGATGATGTTTCATGGTTGTTCACCAGTATTAAGGCAAGAATGATGATGTTTCATGGTTATTCACCAGTATTCAATCAAGAATGATGATGTTTCATGGTTATTCACCAGTATTAAGGCAAGAATGATGATGCTCGTGATACGTGCATAGGGTTTTAGAAGCTTCCTTACATCCCTTTTTCGTTTATGCTTTTCATTCCCTTTTTTCCTTTTTGACGCTCATCCTACTTCTTTCTCTCTTTTCTTTCCTCTGGTGACCATGGTGACTCGTCAGGAACATTACAGTTTCTTGCCCGTTCAGGTCGCCCTGTCGAACTTTTGACGATGCCAGAACAATCTCATTGTCCTAGTTTTTTTTTGGTTTGTGAATTTAAAATTTACAGCTAGTCTTTTTGCTAAAATTTGGCTTGTGAGCAACACTGGCTCACACTCAATCACTGCTTTTTCACAAATTCATCTTTTTGCTAGTTTAGTCAAAATCCCATTTACTGACCTGCACCTCTGTGTCTCGGTTACTCTTTCAGTTTGTAGGTGCAAGCGGATGATATTGTGAGTTTGTATACATGTGCGTGCATGTGTGTATGCGATGTGGGCCCGTGCGCGTGACAGCTTGTGCTCTTTTCTGACTCCACTGGATTCATGTAGCCTGTTCGTAATGCCAATTGAATTTCAAAAACATTTTGTTTACTTTGAGCAGGTACTTGTGCAATGCTGAAGGACGCCCATTCATACATACCCGGATAGTGTTCGGAATGGTAAGCCTGGCCCTTTGCTATCAGTACTCCCTAGATGTGATGATGGTTGAAGTGTGATATCTGGCAGGCTGGGGAACTCCAGGATCCAGGTTCCTCACCCACCCACATCCACTTAAGCACGCATGCCAACCATGTCCACAACCTTAGCTTAATCCTGATTGTTCGTGGCACAGCACTCATGTGCAGGATGATTGCTGCACACAGCCCTACTTAATGTATGTGCAGTGAAACCTGTCTAAGACGACTGCTCAAGGGATCTTCAGAACATGGTCTATTACCAGGTGGTCTCTTTATCCAGGGTCAGTTGACTGGAAATAGCATGTCTTGGTCCTGGTTTCGGTGGTCTTCCAGGACAGGTGGTCGAATTATCCGAGTGGTCGCCTTGACAGATTTTACTGTATTAAAAATTAGTCCTTGCCAGGCTATGCCAGCACACATCGGATCCAGGACAGAAATAATGATTTACAACAGAAAATATTTTCAACGTTATTGGCTTTAAAACTCCATTACAGTTCCAATCAGACCGGCAACTAATGGTTAGCACATGGGTATACACTGTTAAACGGTTCTGAAAGAAAATAGATACAACTAGCTACAAATAGTAAACTGGTCTATAAAATGATAAAGTGGTTGAGTTCCTCGTGCACATCTCCCCTGTTCGAACCATTCGAAGTCGGGCCCAAATTGAAGAGGGGAGAACCAAAGATATGAATTGTGCACTCGGGCAATATTTCTCAAGTCAGCACAGAGAACGCCTAAACTAATGATCTGAAACTCAAAACCTTGTCCAGACAGTTGAAGGGAACAATGTGCCATTCGTCACTGGTAAATATTGTTAAATACAGAAAGTATAGCTCTATGATTAGTTCGGGTGACACTCCGGCAATTCCAGTCAACATGCATCTATTGAATTAAAGTCTTGTTGACAAACTGTGCTCCTGTTGTGTGCAGAAGAGCTGCAGACATGTCAGCTTCCCCTGCTGGTCAGCTGCAGCAAGATTTCTCCTTTTTCTTGACCGGTGTCTGGCCCGGTGACAGTGTGAGCAGGTCGGTGATAATCTCTTCTTCAGCGGAGTACAGTACCCTGCAGTCAGAGAGCAGTGGACGTGAAAACTCGTAAGAAGTACAGTCGTTCACACACTTTACACTCTGAACTGCAGCATTGCTCTGAAAATCACAGGTACTCGGACTAGGACAATGCGTACGCAATCAAAACATCCTGTCGCTCTTCGTCTTTCCGTGTATCAATCACTAAACGACCAAATACCGAAGGCATTGAACGCCCAGACATGCATCTCCTACAATCTGACTTTGTCACCAGCAGCATAGCCTGGCTGATTCATGGCATGCCTGGGATGCAGGCGCTGGGGCCAAGTTTTTTGCCCAACCAGTGTTTACTGCTGAAGGCTGACAGCAAGCATATAGAGAGTAGAAGTGGTGGACGGCGCAGTCAACGTGGTTACGTTGGCTGTGCCATGCCCTACGCCTTTGCTGACTGACATATTCCCAACTCACTCATGTGGCCTGATAGAAAGCATGCAGACTCAATATTGCTATGGAGAACCATGTTGACAACACCATGCCTTGCACCTCTGCAAACAGACTCCTAACTCAAACACTCCACGAGCTGGAACATAGCACGGTCATTCAGGTATATTTTGCAACAGTTGACTTACTTTGCCATTTCGATACATGTTTCCAAGACTCCATGGCCACTCTTTGCACTGACTTCTGCAAACAACGCGCCAGCTCTCTGAAGGACAGGATCGAGACAACAATGGAAAAGCTTCCTCATGATAAACCGGGTGTGTAGCTGGATCAAACTCGAAAGAAATGCTGTCAGAAATATTGCGCAACCACAGCTTCCGACCTGTCGCGAACGCGATCGTAATTTCCATAATTATCACTTAGACATAAATTTGTAGTGCTAGAGCCTACTTTTTCTGACCTTGCCGCGCTCCTTCCATATTCTGAATGGCTATAGGCATGCGCAGTATGGTACGCGCGCATATTAGGCATGCGCGATCTTGACCCGTATAAATTAGGCATGCGCGTTCCTAATCAGGCTCTCCTTTTTATGATCACCAAGATTGACCTCGTGTTCTTATGGCTCTTGTGTGAATCCAAGTTTGCAGGCAGCTCGCCTTTTTAGAGCAAGATGTCATGAGTGGATTGTTTGTAGTGCAACTGGCATGAGTATTGTTAGATCAGGGTCACAGTAGTAGTCGCACGGCGACATTTTTGGTGCCGAAACCAATACTGATGCCGGATATGGTGTGAGACCGAGAGCAGATATGGCAGAACCAGACTCCATCAACGCCCAGGCGAAGACGAAACGGAAGGTGCTGCAGGCCCACGTGAAGTTCTTGAACCAGCGCTCCGCTGAGGCCAATACATTGCTGTCTGGCACTCCAACTCCGGACGAGATAAGTAGTCTGATTACTGTATTTGCTTCTACGATAAAGAAAGGCGAGGAATTGTTCGACTTGTTTGCTAATGTGGTATACGACTTTGAGGCTACAAAAAAGGGTGATAAAGAGAAAAAGAAATACGATGAGCAGTATGTCGATGTGGTTGTGGAATTAATTACGGAATGCAATGATCTATTGGCACAGTTACGAGGAAAGTCAGCACAGTGTAAAACAGCATCACCAGTGGAGATCATAGATCTGACGAAGGTCATGGAAGCCAACACGAAAACACAGGCAGAAACAGCGAAGCTATTAAACCAGTTTGTCTCAGAACAAGGTGCCGCCAATGGCACTCCAGTCACAGTATCAAGTTCAACGAAGCTTCCTGTCCTAAAAATACCTGTGTTCAATGGCAATGTGTTGCAGTACCCAGAATTCATTGACATGTTTGAATCCACTATTCACAATAATACCAAGCTGTCCAATGTGGAAAAATTAGTGTACTTGAGAAATCACCTGAGCGATGCAGCACTAGATACCATAACGGGCATTACCTTAACGGGCAAGAATTATGCAGCAGCATTAGGGCTCCTAAAAGAGCGATTTGGAAAGCCACAAGTAATTGCCAACATGACGTATCACAAGCTTGTTGCCATTAAGCCACCAGTGAACACATCAGTAGCGTTGCGTAAGTTCCAAAATGAAGCAGAGGCGCACTTGCGATGTCTGAAATCAGCTGGTTCAGACATCCAGCAAGAGATAATCGTACCGCTACTGATGTCAAAACTGCCAAAACCGATAATCATTGATATGGAGAAAAGAAAAACCGGTGATAATTGGTCTGTGGGCAAACTACTTACGGTCTTGGGTGCATTAATTGACATCCTTGAAGCAAGTGATCACATGGCATCTGTACACTTCACACCTTCTAATGGGCGGGTACACAGGGAAACAAACCAAGAGGGTATGGCCACCAGTTCCTTACTAATGAATCAGACCACGCACAAAGGCCCGAAATGTTGGTATTGTGGAGGGTCACACTACACGGATGAATGCCCAACATATCCAACGTATGAGAAACGGAAAGAGAAAATCACAAATGAATGTTTCGTATGTCTGAGGAAAGGACATAGTGCAGCGGATTGCAGAGCTGGTGCACGTACATGTTACCATTGTGGGAAACGCGGGCATCACCGGTCATTATGCATGAAGAAATTTGATCCACAATCCAGGCTAGATCCAAAGGCACGAGAATTCAAAAGTGCAAAGCCAACCAATGTTCAATCTTGCAATGCAGAGCTAGTGCCGCCTGTGGCTGACGTACATGCAACAAATGAAGTTTACTCCCAGAGCAATGTGGTACTAATGCAAACAGCAATGGCAGAAATCCAGAATGGTGACCACACTTGCAACGCACGCATCTTGTTCGACACTGGGTCGTCCCGTTCATTTGTGCACAGAAATGTCACTACCTCACTACACAGTAAACCAATTGGTCAAGATGTTTTGGCAGTAGCCGGGTTTGGTTCCAAGACCAGAACTACTCGCACTTACCCCAGGGTAGAGTTACAAGTCAAATTGCGTGATGGATCCTTCCAACCGATATCTGCAAATATCACTGACCACATCTCTTGTCCAATGAATATGGCTCCGTTAGATTTGTCGAAACATCCAGCCATTGCAAAATTGCCACTAGCTGAGCCCCTTGGCACCGAAAGCACCCAGGCTCCGATTGACATACTAATTGGGAGCGACCAGTACTTTGAATTTGTGGGTCTGGAGCATTTGAAGTTGGGAAATGGGATTGTAATGCTTGACACGAAACTGGGTTTCATCCCGACGGGTAAAGCAGACCAACATGATTCAAGGCCAGATATCCATGCAATGTGCACGTCTGTTGAAAGCGAAGTACAACATCCAGATTTCGACCTACAGAAATTCTGGAAGCTAGAGCAGATTGGCATAGATGAAGATAATGGAGTCACAGATGACACCCTAGCGTACGACAACTTCAATGCAAATGTTGAGTTCATTAATGGTCGTTATGTAGTGTCATGGCCATGGAAATTAGACCCAGAAACTTGCCTACCAGAGAACTTTGATTTGGCCAAAGGTAGATTGAAATCTCTCATGCACAGAATGGAAAAAACACCAGAAGTACTCACGAAGTATCACGAAACGATACTGGGACAAATGGAAATGGGTGTAATTGAAGAAGTCAACGACTCTAGCAGCGAACTACGCAGTGACAACAACAATGGCAGTCACACTGACAACAACACAGAGAGCAGCGTACATCACTACATACCACACCACTGTGTAGTCAAGCCGAGCAGCACGACGACGAAGATACGCGTAGTGTACGACGCATCTGCCAAGACGAAGGAAGGCAACAAGTCACTTAACGAGTGCATCCACAGAGGCCCAGTGCTGCTGCCGGACCTTTGCGGCATCCTCCTTCGCTTTCGTTTGAATCCCATAGCAATGAGCAGTGACATCGAGAAGGCATTCTTGCAAGTCGGCTTACATGTCCGTGAGCGCAATGTCACACGCTTTCTTTGGGTTCGAGACCCCAGCAAGCCTCCCAGAGGTGACAACATCGTCATCTACAGATTCTGCCGCATCCCCTTTGGCGTAATCGCAAGTCCATTCTTGCTTGGTGCCACCATACGACACCACATCAGTTCTTCAGAGAACATGCAATCGCAGGCTGTAGAGAATAACACTTACGTCGACAATGTCCTCGGCGGAGCGGAAAGCGTAGAAGACGCAGTAGCGTACTATCGAGAAGTCAAGGGCATCTTCGCTGATGCATCAATGAATCTACGGGAGTGGGCGACAAACTCCGAGTCCCTCAAGCAGCAGATCCCCGAGAGCGATCGCGCAATCGCTCAACTCGTCAAGGTCCTTGGTATGGAGTGGGACACAAACTTGGATGAGCTAGGGCTCACTCCAAACCCAGCTGAACTCAAAAACGTTCAGACGAAGCGGCACATGCTGAGCGTGTTATCATCGTTCTACGATCCACTGGGAATCTATTCGCCAATCGTATTCCGCGCGAAGGTTCTACTTCAGGAGATCTGGAAACTGAAGTGCAATTGGGACGATGTCTTGCCAGCAGCTATTCTTACAGAGTGGCATGAGATAGCTCATGACTTATCCACAGCCAGCCAAACCAGAATACCAAGACTTGCGAGTTTCACTTCCAACGTTGAACCAAGGTATGAGCTCCATGTTTTCTGTGACGCATCAAAGGCAGGCTACGGAGCTGTGGCGTATCTACGCACTATCTCGACGAACGTGTCTGTTCGCTTACTCTTTGCCAAGTCTCGTGTGGCACCGTTAAAGGAAACCACAATACCGAGGTTGGAGTTACTCGCAGCCACGCTAGGTGCTCGAATGATCAACTTCTTACGGAAAGAACTCCCTCTTCAGCTCACTACGTACTTGTGGTCAGATTCTCAATGTGTGCTAGGATGGGTGAAAGGGAAGGGCAAGGATCTGCCGACGTTCGTAGCACATAGGGTCGCAGAAATCCGCCGCAATGAAGACGTGCAATTCTGTTATGTGAACACAAGAAGCAATCCTGCGGATCAACTCTCAAGAGGCACCACGACTGCAACCCTCCTCAAGAGTAATCTGTGGTGGACAGGACCCGAGTGGTTGGCGGACATGCAATGGGCACCGGATACTGATTCTTGTCAAGAAGAAGTCGTTCACGCCGCTTTGTCGGGGGAGGGTCCTGCGGAGCAACAGGCGAGCAACCCCCCACCGGCTGGTATTCGTATTGAGAAATCATCATCCTTCGCGAAAGTAATCAGGGTTACAGCATGGGTACAGCGTTTCATAAAGTCAGCAAGAAAGTCTCGTCCAACATCACCATACTTATCGGTTGACGAGCTTCAGACCGCGGAAATGCTTTGGCTGAAACATGCGCAAGCCACTGATTACTCAGCAGAACTGGAAGCCATCAAGAACAACAAGAAAACCAAGAGCGACTTAATGTTCAAGTTGGGTCTCTTTATTGATGAAGAAGATGGCCTAATCAAGTGCAGAGGCAGGATGAAGAATGCAGAACTGCCATCAAATGCTAAATTCCCGATTCTCCTCTGCGGAAAGAGTGCGCTGACGAGATTGATCATTTCCGATGTACACCAGAGAGTTCTCCACGCTGGCGCTAGTCACACGCTTGTGGAATTACGTAAACGCTTCTGGGTGACACGAGGCAGAAAAGAGGTCACGAATGTAGTTAATCAGTGCAAGGTATGCAAACGGTTTGAGGGTGGCCCCTTTGCAATGCCCAAGTTCGCACCTCTCCCCAAAGAACGGGTAACCCGCAGCGCACCATTTGTCAGGACTGGCATTGATTACTTTGGGCCCCTGACTGTTAAAGCCAATGGAGAAAACAAGAAAGTTTGGGTGGTACTGTTCACTTGTCTGGCAACACGGGCGTTGCACTTAGAGCTTGTACTAGATATGACTACTGACAGCTTTCTAATGGCGTTTAAGCGATTCGTCGCTCGCCGCGGTACACCGGCTACAATCGTGTCTGATAATGCTAAACAGTTTAAATTGGCAGACGTCACAATGGAGCAATTGTGGAAATCCATTAATACCAATGCGAATGTATTCTCGACACTTGCCACTATGGGTATTGAATGGCGGTTTATCGTTCAACTATCACCATGGATGGGAGGGGTGTATGAACGCCTCGTCCAGTCCGTAAAGCGAATGCTCAGGAAATCCCTCGGTAAACGAATTCTAAAGGCCGAGGAACTTTGTACACTGCTGACAGAAGTAGAGGGAATTCTGAACAGTAGGCCTCTCACGTATGTGGGTGAGGATTTCAATGGGTTTATCCTCACACCAGCGCACTTCTTGTGCCTCAACAACACTCTAACACTGCCGGGTGAGCAGTTAGATACGAATGATCCAGATTTCTGTGTCAAAGCCTCTGGTGATTTACTTCTCCAGAAGTTCAATGTATGTCAGCAGCAGCTGAATCGCTTCTGGCAATTATGGCAAGACGAGTATCTAGCAACACTGAGAGAGCGTGGCGATTACCAGCTACGACAAGGACGTATTCGTGCCAATGACGAGCCAGCAGTTGACACAGTTGTCATCATCCGCGAGGAAACACTGCCCCGAATTAGCTGGCCAATCGGTCGCATTGTGAAACTGCACGAATCTTCAGATGGTGAGACAAGATCCGCCACCATTCAGCTCCCCACTGGTAGGACAGTCAGACGGTCACTATGTCATCTTTACCCTCTGGAATGTCCATCAACACCAGCACAGGTGAGTAGTGAACCCGAACCAGTACCGGCGACTGAGAGTGCATCCAGTAGTGACGCCACCGGCACGACTCGGCCCAAGCGGCACGCAGCAGCTCGGTTTCAAGAACAGCTAGGTGAGCTTATACGAGACGGAGCAGTTTAGTAACAAGAATGAGTGCACTGGATAGTAAGCTATACTATGATGGTCTGAACATGGTCTGAACACTTGTACATCCAGGCACAAACTCACACATGCATACACACATACACACACACACTTATACACTGTATGTACATACACAGCATGAACACGATTGCCTTCTGATCTTTGTTATGAACATGCTGCTTATGCGAACCTCCTTTGCTACATATACTGCAGCATACATGTTTTATTGGAGTAGTTTAAAAGTAGATTGCCTTATTTCCGAAGGTGAACTTTCAAGATGAGTATTCAGATGCATGAACAGTAAGTGGATCTGAAGATGTAACTAGTGTCAATATATCATGCAGTCAGTCAGTATAGTAACGGTATCATTGAGTCAAGTTTGATACAGCTCTCCCACCAGTACGTCGTTTAGGTACCGTAGATCATTTTCGGCACAGATTTGTATTCATGAATTTCAAGGCTGACAGTATTCGGAGCTATTTACATTGCATGTTCCTTTCTTGACATTCAGTTCATTGTGTAAATATGTTTACTGAATATCATTCTTCATTTCTTCTCGCTGGCCGGAATGTCGCGAACGCGATCGTAATTTCCATAATTATCACTTAGACATAAATTTGTAGTGCTAGAGCCTACTTTTTCTGACCTTGCCGCGCTCCTTCCATATTCTGAATGGCTATAGGCATGCGCAGTATGGTACGCGCGCATATTAGGCATGCGCGATCTTGACCCGTATAAATTAGGCATGCGCGTTCCTAATCAGGCTCTCCTTTTTATGATCACCAAGATTGACCTCGTGTTCTTATGGCTCTTGTGTGAATCCAAGTTTGCAGGCAGCTCGCCTTTTTAGAGCAAGATGTCATGAGTGGATTGTTTGTAGTGCAACTGGCATGAGTATTGTTAGATCAGGGTCACAGTAGTAGTCGCACGGCGACACGACCATGCAAGCCACTGCACCGTAACAATGGACTTGTACGTACAAACAAACACGTACGTGCAAACAAACACGCACGCACGCACAACCACCCCCAACCGAACCCCCCAATCCCCCCGAACCCCCCCCCCCCCCCCAACACACACACACACGTTCCCGCTTTAGCCCGGGACACAACATGTACAAAACAAAGATAACCCTTTATGGACGGATTACTAGCACAGTACGCACCAGAATTACAAAATGTCAGTACAATTTTCAACTTTACCATGTCAAAACCTTGGTGTCCTTCACTTGATTTTCACAATCAAGGGCTCATTGGAAAGCTCTTGACGAGAGCAACGCCAGGGTACCAATCTCCATTATCCAGCCGCCACAAATCAGGCGCGGTAACACAGCAAAGTCGTCTCCAAGCCTGATATGCAAGCAAATTCGTCCCATCACCGCCATTCCACTCTCCTTCATCGCAGAACGCTCAAATCTGTTCGAGACGATTCAAACTTCAGCCGGCTACGTCATTATCATGTGCTCAGTCGCTCAAAGAGCACACGAAAAGGGGTTTTCCCCCAAAATGGCGAAATGATCGATCAAAAATTTGAATTTGCCGAGGTAAGAATACGGCGTGCAATATCTCTGGCGTCCGACATCGTAACTCTTCGGCGATTGTTGCATTGGACAGCTTGGAGTTTCCGCTACCACGTAGACCCTTCGATTGTGGAATTTGCTCAAGAAACGATGGAGTTACGAAGATTTTACCGCCTGCAGACTTTCGATCTTATTAGATCGAAACTCGTACAGTCCGTCCACAAAGGGATAAAACGAAACACTAACCTGTGCCTGCTGCTGGCCTTGCCAGTACGTGACTTGCCGCTTCGGTCGGGTTCCACCATCAGCTGCATCGTACTTGTTGCCCAGGATCATCAGTGCGACATTGCCATCAGCTGCATTCTGCAATGGATATCGAACGAGAAAGAAACAGCTGAGAATCGCATGCTGGTCGCATAGAGCGAAGAGTAGACATGTATCACAAATGTACACAATTCTGTATCCCCCAATTCTGTATCCTATTTCCGAAGAATGGTGAGTTGATGCACAGTCGGGAACTGGCGGAGATCTCGCCGTTTCTCCTGTAATAAGTCCTACATTTACAACTCTCTTGCATGACTACTTCATGGACTTGATAATATGAGCCAGAGCACTAGCGCGCTAAAACATGACCACAGCTTTTTTTTGAAAATGTCGAGAAAATCGAGATTTGAATTCCGCGGCAAAAAATACGAAGTGCAGTGCAACGCGAGTCGCTGTTGTTGTTCTCCTCGGTCGACTGGACTGTTCCGGATGCATTTCTTTGTTGCAAGTAAGTATTAGTTTATTTGTTTGAGTTTGTATTCCATGTTGCGCTGAGTCGCCTAAAACTGATCGTCATCGATGTATCGATGGAACAGCCTAGTAGTAGTAATGTACTGCGGAGCGGAAGAAGACGACATCCTCGCACTCCATGTGCAGGATGAAATATTTTGAGGATTCGGGTCGGAAACAGAAGGAAGACGATGATGGCTACAGCGACGAGTCATTTGAGGGCGACACTTTGATCGAGTGTAAAATAATTGATGCTGGTAGTCCCCCGATCGGCAGTGACGAGGAATTCTACTCTGATGACAACCTGGCAAGCGATTGGCATCGACACTGACTTGGGAGGTGAGTCGGCCGATGATTTGGCCAGAATGGACATCGCTGCACATATCCGGGACAATGCCAGTATTGGTTGCAAGTGCAAAACAATCAATGGACTCTGCTGCTCCCTCAACTTGCTCAAGTTGATAATTTGAGTACCCTTATGCGGAACATCGCTAGCACGAGCAGTAGGCAGCGAAAGCAGTACTCTCTGGCGAGCGGAGAAAACTGTGTGCAGATGGGCTTTGGTGTGGGGAATATGAGTGCGACGTCGAGTATGTTGAGGAAGACTGTGTGCAGCAGTGTATACTGTATATCTGAAAGTACAGGCGGAGTGTGATGGAGAGGACGTGGAGTGCCAACTTCTTCGGCCATCTACAGATGTTGACCGTGTTTTCGCTGGCGCTTCTCCAGTGGTACTCCAAACAGGAGGTATTTCGGACACCCAGCTCAGCTGCCTATAGAAAATTTGGATGTGGCCGAGTACCTGTCAGCTCATGCTATAAGACCCTGGACAGAGGAACTGACCCAGGAAGGATGAACCAAGGGACATATCAACTGTGTGCAAAAATGACAATTCCATTGCTGTACATAGAATTTCACCATTAACAGTGCTGCATATAATACCATTGTAGCAACACTTAGACATGTCAGATCCATCCAAAACTTTCAGACAGCGAACATTAGGTGTGTTTGATCATTTTTGAACAAAAAACTGAAATCGAGTTTTTGGTCTGTGCTCATGTTTTAGCGTGCTCTGGCTCATAATTATGTCCTGGGATGCATGCAAGAGCACACTACACCACACGGTGAAAGCAAGCTAAGACAAACACCTTGCAGCTTACCCCGACTAGGATGCACCGTGCCCAACCTAGGGCACTGTTATCAGAGTCCAACTGCCCGGAAGTACACTTTCTTTAAATGAGTTTTTCGACTTGAAATGTTTCCTAACGGAGGCCATGATTTGTTTTTCTAACAGACCAATGTTTATGGTCCTACGAAAAGCAGTCGTGCCATGTCATGACAGTGGGTTTTCAAATAAGGTGGTCCAAAACTGGTTACATATTCAAAAAGTCCACTTTCGTATGACTAATTACAAGCCTGTCGAGGAGCAGCCCTCCATCAAAGTACTCGGCGTCACGTTTGACCATCAGCTAAAATTCAGCCAGCATATCCGAACTGTTGTAGTCCGAGCAACGCAGAGACTTGGAGCCTTGCGCAAGGCATTTCACTTGCTGACTATTCCTGCCCGGCTTCGAGCCTACAAAGCCTTTGTCCGGCCGGTTATGGAGTACTGCCCAATCGTCTGGATGGGGGCAGCTCCTTCCCACTTGAATCGGCTGGACTGGGTGCAGGAGCGAGCCATCAAGGCAATACATCCGCAATGCTGGCTTCCTAGCCTCATAATTCGCCGCACCATCGCTGCCCTCTGCCTCCTGTATAAAGCCCTTTGCGATAATTCTCCCGCTCTTCTCTCGAGAATGGCTCCACCCCCGACACACCAACCCAGGACCACACGCCTCACCCGCCAGGCTGTACGACTGTCCACCGCGCATCCCCATCAGTTACAGAATGTTCTTCCTGCCAATTCCCGGAACAATGTGAGCCGAGCCTTTCCCCACTCCGTCATCCCAATTTGGAACCAGCTGCCTACCTCTATCATTCCCACCCATTTCACCCAAAGAACATCCAAAAGTTCAAGACAGCAGCTTATCACCATCTCCTCAGAACGAACTGGAACTGGGCCACTCATAGCATACGCGAGTAAGAGGGTACAGTGTCCTACCCTGCTTGGACATACACGTAATCTCTCCTCACGGACAGTCTCCTCTTGAATTTAAAAGTCTAAAAGCGTTCACATCAATATTCAACTTATTCTTTTGCTCACTGAGCAATACAATCTTTCCATTTTCTTTCTTCTGTTTTCTTTTTCAATTTAATCCTCCCCACCCAATATCCCTTTGGTGCGTCCATGGAGCTATGAAGCCGAGACCTCTGGTCGGCGGAGCTTAATGGGCCCCACCACCACACTCCATCATTCACCCCAGTGTCTGGAGATATGTGGATTTTGTAGAGAAAAAAAAAAAAAAAAAGCAGACGCATCGTTGTACAGATCTTCATCAAGTAAAGAAGATCTATAGCCAGCTACGAGGTGAAATATGAGCACGAGCAAGAATTACAATACGCCTCACAGGAAGAAGGAGGGCACGCCTGACATCTGCACCGTCACGTTTCAAGCGGCTAAATGGCAGCTTGCCTTTCACTAACGAGCCACCTTTCTGTTTCATCGTAGAAAACTGGAGGAGGTGCACACCACGCTAATCGTTTCGGTGCTCTTGTCAAGATGAAGCTGCAGCACAGCGGTTGGCAAATGGCAGCAATAAGGATTAATGTTGCAAGGCTCTTAGGGTGCCTCTGCAACACAAGCATTTCGATATGAAGTCAAGGTACTTGAGGGAAACAGAGCAAGCCGCGAGTCAAGTTGAGTCTGCCCTCAACAAAAACGTTGACACAATAGCTTCCTTCTAAAAACGGTTCTTGTCAGTTCCGAAAGGTGATGATCGTCTGTTGATTCACCTTACTGTCAAAATGGTTTCACTTCATACATCTGGGTCCACTCTAGCTAGAACTAAGGTGCAACTAAAGTGATCAGTAGAGTAAGCAGTTAGAGACAAACAACAAGCTGTGGGCGAACAAACAAGTGCATCCCTTCCATCGTGTGATTCCCAGAGCATACATACCTCTACAGATGCAGTTTGATCATTTTCGGTATTCTACGGCAGGTTAACATAATTATTACGTTATCCTTACCTCAATCTCCTGAAGCCACTCTTTCAGCTGGACAAAACTGCTGTGGTTATTGATGTCGTAAACACAGATCACACCGTCTGCTTTGCGGAAGTACTGCTTGGTGAATGTCCGGTACCTGTACATGATAACGAGCCATTGGTTTTCTTCACGTGTCCATTTTCGACTGTGTATGCAAATTAAATCTTCCACATCTGAAAGCTGTAACAATAACCACATGGCGTTGAGCCGCAAGCATGCAATATCCACAAAGCAGTGCACCGTTGGCCTGGCCCCCACTTGTCCAATTTGACTCACCTCTCCTGGCCAGCTGTGTCCCACAGCTGCAGCACGGTCACATGGCCGTCCACTTCCAGAACTTTCATCTTATAATCCACACCTGGTGCATGTATGCACACACATCACATCACACAGAGCAACAACAGCCGATAAATTTACTATCAGTTTAGCAAGGTTAGAATCGGATGGGGATTCACATTTTAGCAAGGGAACAACTAAACTCTGAACTGGCTAAAAGCACTGGCAGCAGCCCACAAATTTACAGTTCGCGTGATATTCAGTCTGACAGAGGTTTCTGAATCCGTTGGAACGCCACCTCCCTTAAGATCAAGGCGCAGATGCAGCTCCTAAAGCGGTGGGTGGCGAGTAGATCAAAACAATCACCAAAGTGGTCAAAGACTGAAAATCCCATTGCTGCATCCATGTGTTTGCCGTGTGATAGCAGCCAATAGCTAAGTCAATGTTCACCTGACATATGATGAGCACATACATTTTGTAGCACAGCTAGCAAAGGAAATGTGTTACCATTATACGTCTGAAAGGAGTTGATCAGAGCCAACCTTTTTGCGCAAGATCATGAATTTCCAAACTATGGCCTACACATGTTTCTAGGGAAGAATACTGTGGCTATTGAGAAGTCACACAGAATTCCTGATGTGGTTGAAAACTCAACCATAGCTGTGTGTACAGAACTGTCAGGCACCAAAGTATGGGTTATTTGAGCAACTCGGGCCATGACTCTGGATGTGTTACATGCAGACGTTAACTAAGCGGTAAGGCCAGTTCAGATTTTGGTGCTCTCCACTAATTTGCATCCATAAATCCCAATATGTCGTTCCTCGCAAACACACTTACCCACAGTTGACTTGAACTCGCCGGCATAGTCAGCCGAGGTGTTACACAGCCTCCATATATAGCTGGTCTTTCCAACGCCAGCATCTCCGCACAGGATTACCTTGAAGACTCTCTCTGGCATGATACCAACACGCCGTGCGATCGACGGAGACACTGGACGCTGGCGAGTTTGATACTGCGGTGTTGTGGCCTGCACCGTGATGAAAGGACGTATACAGTCATGTACATGTGCACACGCACGCATGCGTGAACACAGACACACACACACGTAAACACACATACACACACACACACATAACCACACATGTACACACACATATACACCCACACACAAAACACCCACACACACACAAAACACCCACACACACACACACACACACACACACACACACACACACACACACACACACACACACACACACACACACACACACACACACAAAACACACACACACACACACACACAACACATGTCCCTGTTTGCCTGTCAGTTACAAGAAGATGTGCCAGTGCCCCGCCTATATACCATGTGCAGCAACCCAGGAAGAGCCGTACAGCATAACACGTACACATGAAACGGGCAAATCAAGTCATGCAGTCTTCCTGTTGTGTCTCAAGTCACTAATCCCGCAGCAGCAAGAGCAACCGCTCACGGAATATCCTGCCGCCACGGTTGATTCCTTTCATCTGCATGGGTCCTGAAACCATGGCCAGGTTTTGGCTGCCCAAAACAGACTTCATTGAGCAAAAAACTAGAGTGTTTGCTTGATCATGCACGCATTAGCTGATGATCAGCTCACATGTTCATAACACAGTATCTTACCTGGATTGGGTGCACAACCACTGGCATTGCCTCTGGCTTTCCTGGAGCTGCTTGCTCCTCTGCTGTCAGTTCCATCAGGGATAAGTTGCCGACTGATTCTCGCCTTGGCCCGTCTCTGGTGAGTTTGCTTTGTACGACCGCTTCTCCCTGGCTGTCGCGCCGGCCTAGATTCTGCTCATCGCTGGACGACGATCGCAGGTGACTGCGCGGAGCAGGCATTGACACGGCACCGACGGGAAAGTTCTTCTCCTGCCGAGAGAATGCATCGTTCAGGCTCTCCAAAGCTGAGAGCTGCTTGGCAGGCTGCTGCTGCTGCTGCTGCTGAGGCTCCACCGAGGCCAACGGGTGCACTCGCACTTCTTCGAGTTTCCGCCGCTTTTTCTTCCCGCGCATATGTGCACCTCCTCCGTGCGGTTGCAGAGAGCGGGTGCGCTTGAACGGCTGTGTGCTTTCATTACTAGCAGGTTGGTGCACAGCCATGTTGGTCATTTCTCGTTCCAAAGCAGTCGGCCCTGGAGTGGATGTTAAGCTGTTATCAGTGCTGCTGCTTTCATGGTGCTCCTCGATCAGACTTTTGAAGCTGCGCAAGCTCACTCTGTCATCACCGCCACCGTCCGCTTCCCAACCGATCGACTGCGACGGTGTGGTGTGCGCCGTGCTCGGCGTGGCCGGGGAATACCGGCGTCGCATGCTGGGGCTAAGACCGTATGGGGACACGGGAAGCGACGAATGGAATCTGACAGGGCGGCCACTGGTCGGAGCGTCCGATGACCACACAGGCTGAGCTGCTCTTGAGCCATCTGAGTAGTGTGCTGGTGAAGAGTAGTCCAGCGAGTATGTCTGTGGTAGCACAGGAGAGGCAAACTGACTGGTTTCCTCTTGATAGGAATGTGACTGTGTTGACGCTGGTGCGGAGTGCTGAAAGCGCCGTGCCCAGCTCGCACGTGCATGGTCACCATCCGACAGCAGCATCTTGTCCTGCTTCTGAACCCTCTGCTGGATGCTGGAGTGTCTCGTCATACGCTTAGAAGCGCTCTCGGGCTCAGACTGGTGCGCAGTGGGCTGCCCTGAGAACGTGAACTGAGATGACATTGAGCAGCTCAAAGCTTGGGATTTCACTCCTGCAGAGGAGCTATTGTCGTGTGTTGCCGCGGTAGGAGTAGTTCCCATCTGGAGGTGTCGCTTCTCTGTTGTTCTCTCTGGCGAGTTCCCTTTGGAACGATCTGCTGAGCGTTGGCTTCGAACAGTCTTGACTGGAGGCCCATGTGTCTGCACTGACGTAAGTTCCACAGTAGATGCACCCTCTTCCTTGAACACAGACTCGGGGGACACTCTCGATGCACTTGCGGTATCGTCGGTGTCCCGTCCATCGACGCAGTCCGTCACCTGTGACTGTGATTGCGACACGGTGGATGACGTCAGCTGAACACGTGAGGTAGCATCGGACTCGCTAGCCTCCTCAACCTGCGACACAATAGAAAAAAAGGTTCCGACATCTATCTCAATTATTGCTGCATCTGCCGCTAGGGTTTACCGGGTGTTAGCGGCCGTCGTGAGTTCCCTTCGGGAACGGGCACGATAATTTACTTTTACGATACTTCTCCATTATTCACCTATGTCTGAAGAAAATGTTGAAAGATCGGACTCTGCTGGGATGACAGCTACACCATAGGCTTAGCTCAGTGGTTAGAGCATCGCTGGCCTCAAGCGAAAGTCCCCGGTTCGAGTCCTGACGGCGACAGTCCATTTTTTCTTCACACTTTTCCCTTTTCCATTCCCTCAACAAGTTAATATTCACCTATGCTAAACAAATTATTTCTTGTGGGACAGAACTGCAAAACGTGACAAGCGAAATGGTCCCTACATCAACTGCAATACTGGTGTCTTGGCAACTCATGACCATTTCAATACAAAATGGCAGTCACATCACAAAAAATACGCCAAAGCTCCATTCTCTGCAGTGGAAGGTTGTTGCAAAGAGGACTCTAGGCACGTCTGACAACCATGCAGACCATGCTAGCTACACACCTTACCAACGCATGCGTCAGCCTACTACGTGTGTACTGCACTCCCAGAGGTCTGCCGCCATCATCGCTGTCTGCATCGCTGTCGGCCGTGGTGGACTTGCGTCGCAGGAAGCGGTCCATGGCCAGCGGCACTGGGCTCTGTAGCTGTCTTGCTTGCATGTACGCCGCATTCTGCCGGCTGCCAATCTCAATGCCCCGCGCTCTGTGGCGCCTGCCCGGCACCAGTCGCATCGGCGAGGCATCTGTATCGTCGTCAGATGTGTACAGGGGAAGAGCACCGCGCAACCCTCGCTTCGTCTTGTGGATGGCCTTGCCCTTGAACGGTGTCGACCAGTCTTCTTCTGATTCATACCACCTACAGCAGCAACAGAACACAACCAGCAATGGCTTTGATTTCGATATCATTACCATTCTATAGTAAAGAAAAGGACCAAGGAACTACAAGTTACGCTGTAATGTCCACTAACACCACCAGTTACTTGACAATCAGCTCATGCGATAACATTGGCTGATTGCACAACATTGACCGACAGTATTGACGTTCTACAACTAACATGCTGCTCAATGAAATCCAATCAGGCGAGTGAATGCCACACCGGACAGCGCTGTGCAGCTCTAGACCTGCGGACACTGAGTACGCCAGCACTGCCTACGTCCACTGCCTCGCTGACAAAGTGAAAGATCAGCTGCTACGCATAAGTAAGAGAGCACTTAGATGCATATTTGAGCATGACACATTCACGTGGACATCATACTTGCTTGAGCGATACCACATAATTAGCTTAGACAAAAGATATCATACTAAGTCCATATTCTTCGTGTTCCGTTGCATCCACAATATCTGCAGTTCTCTCCTCTCTGACATGTTCTCCCTTCGCCGTGACTGCGCTCACACAGATAGAGTAACCCGCGGCCAAGTCAATTACTCCCTTTCCTTACCCATTGTGCAAGCTCAAGCTGGATACAGATCTATTGTTGTAGTACGTTATTTTGTGTACGTCGTGTGTACGTCATGTTGGTGCATGCGCATGTTGCTGTGGTATGAAAAGCTGTCTTCGTCTTGCGAGTTCATGATGTCTTCGTCTTGAGTTCGTCATGTCTAGTTGTGTTTCGTCGTCGTGTCAATAAACAGTCTTCTAAATGTAGTTATCGTCGTCCCTTTGTATAAGTGTGGAGATGGCACGGGACTGGGGGCAGGTAGAGAAAAACGAGTTACAACATTGGTGGCAGCGGTAATGGAAATTTGTAAATCTCAACTTCTGGATTCGTCCTGCGTGGCCTTCGCTCCCAGTTTCCGATGTCATCTCCAGTCGTCCTATCGTCACAGTTTCGTCAGTCTTCAAGAAGTTCGTCCGTCGTCCTCGTCCTTCATCATTCGTCTCTCCCGTCTCTTGTCAGTCGTCGTCACTGGTGGTCCCGGACACGACGTAAAACTGTGCCCAGAAGAAAAGCAAAAAAAAAAAGAAGAAGAAAAAGGACGGATGGTCCCGGACACGACGTAAAACTGTGCCCAGAAGAAAAACTGAAACAGAAAAAAAAGAAGGATGGAAGGTGAAGGCTGCAGTGTGAGGATGTGGACGCTGAGCAGCGCTCCTGGAGATGGTGGACGACATGGCAGACGGCGTGAGGAGTTTCGTTGGTGAGAGGGTACGTGTGTTGTTGTGAACGTGATGAGAATGTGAGTTTTGTATTTTCTGTTCTCCCAACATTTTGTTCTTTATTATTTGCTCTCCTCGAGGGTAAAGAGGCGCCCGCACAGCGCGTGTGTTCTGTTTGTTTTTTTATTTGCTCTTCTATGAGGATAACTAGAGGCCCCCACAGAGCCAGTGGATTTTGTTCTTTTTGTTATTCCTATGATTTGTGCTCTCACATTTTTAGAATTTTTGCGTGATCGTGAGGTGGTGTGTTGAGTGAAGCATAAGTTAGAGTTTTGAGGTTATCAGTTCCCACACATGTGACAGCGATCGTGGCTGGTGTTCTGGGTGGGCGGACAGAGTTTTTTTTTTGAATGATCTGCAGTGCAGGCAGAGGTATTTTATTTCTGGGTGTGACTGGTGTGGTATGATTAAGTGATTTGTGTGATCTTTTCCTCTTTTTACTCTGTTTTATTATTAGAATCGAGGACGATTCTACTCTTGGGAGGGAGTTATGTTGTAGTACGTTATTTTGTGTACGTCGTGTGTACGTCATGTTGGTGCATGCGCATGTTGCTGTGGTATGAAAAGCTGTCTTCGTCTTGCGAGTTCATGATGTCTCCGTCTTGAGTTCGTCATGTCTAGTTGTGTTTCGTCGTCGTGTCAATAAACAGTCTTCTAAATGTAGTTATCGTCGTCCCTTTGTATAAGTGTGGAGATGGCACGGGACTGGGGGCAGGTAGAGAAAATCGAGTTACAACACTATTTCATTCCTTGGTGCTGACCGCTTTAATGCGCTTTCCGAATCCCTTCGCACAAATCATATCCCCAATTCATTTCGCCAGGAACTTAACAATTTCATTCATCTTGGGCACCCTGTAAGAAGACCTACAAAAAAAATACACTGGGATGTGAATTGGTGCACGGCGCAAACTTGATTCACGTGATCGGATTTCATTGAGCAGCATCGTATCATCAATCAATGTAGCTAAGCAGGATAGATTTCTCTTCTTGCTTTCCTCTGCAGTTTCTTGTACGTGATCTTGTTCAGATGAAGGCCCTTGAGTGCCTCCAACAATGGTAGATTCGGGTTGTAATGTTAGATAGTGGCAAGGACAGAGCATCACCTGCACATCCATACAAGGTTGTACCGTAATTCCGCGCATATAAGCCCACAGGCCTATATCCGGATATAAGCCCACCTCCGTTTATAAGCCCATGGGCTAATAAACAGACACAAATGCAACTCACGTGTCAAGTAGAATTTTTCACAAAATGGACTCTTCCTACCATGGTACAGCAGGTCAGTGCAGTTTACCAGTAGAGTATGGTAGACTCACCATGAGCCCGGACTTGTACTTTTTCGTGAACCTTCAAAATTCGAATATTGGCCCATGGGCTAAAAAACGAACGTGTTGTACTGGATATTATATCCCCAAACTGCATTATTTCACATATAAGCCCATGGGCTTATATGCGCGGAACTACGGTATGTTGTAACATAGCTCGCGGTATGGAACTCCCAAGCTCCGCACTGTAGCTCAAGGACGTTTTCTCTTGTTCTGGTTCAGTATGGGTGTTAGCGAAGGCAGAATAACCAGTATTAAACACTCTTGATAGCTCAACACGTACTGAGCCAGGGGATGCACCTGAGCTTGAAGTTCAACCTTCTGTGGACCATACTCACCCTGCTACCAATGTGGAACCAACGACTATGTTAAAACAGTGTTACACCTGATCACCAATAGGGCTTGAAAGTGATGACGTCAAAAACGGCAAGGGAGTAGTAAGTTGACATCAGATTTCTATTTTGGATCCACTAAGGTGAGACTTTGCTATTGCCTCAGTGTGTGGGTGCATAGCAACCCACGCAAGTCGTATGCAGGTGTGACCTTTTCTTCGCCACCGATTGTCACCCCACCCTGATTAGCCAACCCAGTCAATTTCACTGGCTAGATCACCATGCTGTGAGTAAGACCGCTTGAAATGTGCTTGGATCCATACAAACACTGGATCCAAGTGGATCCAGTTATTGAATTTTTGAAATTGTTGCTATAGCACTTTCAAGCCCTATATAACCATACAGTAGCAATGGGTCTACTTACTTTTCAGTGGAGGCCTGCTTGCCATCTGCAACTTTGTCATGCCGCTGCAAGTAGAGGACATACAGCGCACCATAAATTCTTACAATATTAACACACTAACCTCCAACAAAAATCTTGCATATTTATAAGCGGAGGACATGCAATAGTAGCTGTTTTTCCTAACTGAAGATAAGCATCTGATGACGCAACCACTCCCAGTAAGAGGATAACATTCATGACAAATCATGGTATGTTGTCTACTTGTACTTATGTGGAGTGACTACATCATGGCTTGAAGAACAGCACACAATAATTATAATATCAGTTCTTGTAGCAGTTGAGCACTCTTGCGTGGGGTAGTGCCTTTGCTGTTTGCGTTATGCAGAGCTCACTGACTTGTCCGTTTGAGCACTCTGGCAAGGTACGTTCGGGCCTGATTGGAAATTTTTATTTCCATTGCTATCAGGTTCGGCCTCATTTCCTCTGTGCTGCGCTGACGAGTCCACAAAGGACGAAACAGTTCTGTCCGCAGATTGAGTAATATCAGTTCATATAGTTCATTTTTGGACAGTGTGCCACAAAAAAAGAGAAGCTGCTGGCTACTCCAGAGAGCCTCAATGGCTATAGCCGCAAAAAAAAAGATTTATGAACCCACTACTGTTCGCTACAGCCAGCAAGTGGAGGATGCCATCATCAGTGCAAAGTTCTATGCATAATGAACACCTGTCTGTTCCCGTTACCTTGGACTGCTCGGTAGCGACAAGTTCATCTACCCTGTCCTGGAGCTGGCGCTTGAGGTCATTGTTCATTCGCCTGTGAGGCAGATGAGTGAGTGAGTGAGTGAGTGAGAGGAAAGGGAACAGAATTACCAAGACAGGAAGCAAACGTATGTAGAACACCCATTTTATATGTATCTCATTATCAGACACAGGCATGAAGAGCAGTGTTTTTTAGGCGCATGACCAGTTTATCAGAAAGCGCGAGCAACATTACGGACGCCACATGTCAACCTAATGTTAGGCTTTATGTCCGTGTCTCATGCAACCGGGATCCTCTACAGCCGTGTGACATGAAATTGTGTATCATTATTTCACATTCATTCATATTGTACCACTACCAAGTACCAGGACAGCGAACCTATACATACCTTAGATGATCAAGTTGCTTCTGCAGCACCTCGTTGTCACTCTCCGACAACCTGAGCACAACAACACAACATATTGACTAACAAGTAGAAAGAGCAAAGTCTGGAATTAGCATTGCTGTTTATTGTTTAATGTTTTTTTCTAATTTTACAACAAACTCTCCTCCTCCATCCGTTCACAGTTTTATTGATATTTTTCTTTTCGTTTTTTAATCTTAAACAGTTTCCTCTGAGACAAAAATGCGATAATACTCATAAAAAGGACACACTTCAGGCTCATTACAAACATCTTGAAAGTTTTCGTCTTCACAAGTATACTTTCAAGCCTTCTCATCAGGTGAAATACAGGCAAGGGAAAAGGAACAGGAACAGTGGATTAAATACAGTAAGAAGGTGGTAAAACAGCGCAAAAAGAAAGAAAGAAAGAAAGAAGATAGCTAAAGTAAACAGCGAAAATTGCAATAATGACACAAAGGTGCAAATGCGAGAAAACTCAATAAGCGCGACATTTTTAATCTTACTGTTTTAATATGTTCACATACCCAGCTCCGAAACAATAATGAAATACTATGGTACTGAGACTAGGTTTCTTCATTGCACCGTGGAGGAAGAAGTTGAAGTGAATAAGAAACAAATACAGTTGTCTAATACCAACAAAAATCTTGCATCTGAGTGTGTGCTTCACGTTTCTCACCTTGATAGGGATCTAGAAGGTGAATCGTGGCCGCTGCTCTCGATCTGGGCTTTCAGCTCATCCTGGCGGATTTGCTGAAACTGCAGCTCCGTCTCAAGTGTACTTCTCACCTGGGAAAATTGAATCGCACACGTGTCAGCACTCGTAAGTTGAGATACATTGTAGTGTCACGTCCTGGACGTGACCCTCGCGGTTTGACAGATCTTGTGACAGCAGGATCTGTGTAGTGTGCAGCTCTGTGATTGAGCTGTCACAATCTATACTATCACGTGGTTTGGCCAGTGTCTTGTCCCACGTGTTGAGCATGTAGGTTGAGCGGCACGCGCTGTTCCGCGTAGGTGTCATGCTTTTAGGTGTGATATCCCACGTTGGTGTCATGTCTCTTGGACATGACACATCGTATGATTCACCGCCGGAACCTGGGCAGGTAGGTTCTCGCGTGGAATGTTCTAGGTATGTTCCAGGAAGTTCTTGACTTCCTGGAAATGTACGCTCTAGGCTTCATGCAAGATCATGTGACTGAGAAGTCCTATTGATTTCCATGATCCCTTTCGCGCTTCGTGCAAGACACGAAGGGCCGTGCGCAAAAGAATGAGAGCTGAGTGCAGAAGAATGAGAGCTGAGTGCAGAAGAACGAGAGGCGTGCGCAAAAGAGCGGGGAACCGCGCGCAAAATGCAGGCGCAAAAGGAAGGCGTGGCAAGCGCGGTACAGCGACGCCGCGGTGACCCGCGAAGGGCCCGCCGGTGAAGTTCCCGGAAAAGGGACGCGGATATGAAACAACATCCCGCCGGAGTTACGCTGTTCTATCACGTCGGGTGAGCGGGCTCCCCGACGTGATCCATATAATTCCAAGATTTCCGCGGAGACGTAGGTGAGCGGGCTCCCTACGTCCCGATCCGGCTTTTTGCTCCGTTTGTGCTAATTATTCATTGTCGTTTTCGTTATTGAACTATTGATCTTTTGCTGTTTCCTTGCCATGCATGCGTTGTCAAACCTGTATTGTTTGCCGATTTCTAAGAACTATCACGCACCGTGCTTTGCACGAACTTCTCCATCTCGTCTCTTTGGTGCATAAAAGAACATTTGTCACCTCATAACAATCACAATTAACTCTCTTCCGAACTTGAGAATTACACTGAGTCTCTCAGACCCTCTACTGGTTGTCTTCTCTTCGTGTGTTAACCAAGGTGAGCAGAACACTAAGTTGGGTCGTCGACTATATTGGTCGACCGCCTGGCGGTTGGATTTGGTTGGGTTATGAGCGATCATGACAGGCAACGAACCTCGCAGGGATGCGACATTAGCGTTTACCCCCGAGCCATTTCAACAGTGGCGCTGGAGTGTGTGATTTTCATGAATTCCTAAGGCCACTGAGGACTACATAAAGCATAGCAAAGTAGAAGCAACGAGAAGAGGGAGTATAGGATATAGTGACGCCGAGTTTCCCACACTGGGTGATCATTAGACAACAGATGATCGGCTAATGGGTGAAACTCAGAGTCACAACGTGTTATCCCCCTCTTCTTGCTGTAAATAGCTCTGTCCTTGGGCATCGACTACTCTATTGAACAGCCTGCAACATTTCTGTTTTCAAATTAGAAGCCCCTCTTTGGATCGTGAATTGCACACAATCCGGTTTGTATGGAGGCTTCTGCGTGCACATTCAGACACGCAATGGCACAGCCAGTGTTGTGCAGTCTTCTTAGGGGCCGTCCAAGGTTACCAATAATATTTTGAAAACGAAAAGTTTTCGTTTGGGGGTGGGTGGGTTTGATGGAGTTTCGTTTTGGAAATAATTATTGAATGCAGATGGAGAATACCCAGTTTCTTCTGGGTTTCGAAAATTGATATCAATATTTTATTGGAATTCGTTTTACTTGCAGAAAGGGTGGGTGGGTGTGTGGGGGCTGAAAAATACAAAAACGTTTCGTTTTGTAAAAACAATCGGTAGCCCCAGACGGCCCTTCACCTGTTGTAGCTCCTCGCAACGAGTCTCCATCTGCTTTTCCTTCTGACTGAGCTGTTCGACTTTACTTTGCAGCTGCATGAAGGGCAGAAGAATGCAGTCATCAGGCAGTGACAGTCAATCCTGAAGTCCAGTAAATAACGGTGTTCTTCTACAGTGTCCAGGAAATGCAGGAGAACCGACCGTATTCGGACACTTCGGAACTGAACGGTGCTCATGTCAGACTTATCCGCACTGTACTCGGAGACACACTACAATCTTACCCTCTACAGCATTCTCTTTAAATGGGCTCACTGCACCAAGAGCAATGATGCTATTCACAAGCATACACAATGGGATCTGACGGTTAAGACCTTTCGTGCGGTGAAATAGTTCAATGTACCACCATGGACGGAAAGGAAAGTTCAAGATTGAACAGCAGGTACCTGCCTACAGAGCCAGAGTGCCTGCTTGAGGGAGGCGAACATAATAGAGACGGCCAAACATGGGAAGTTCCGGTAAGAGAGGCTCTCCTGTACTTCGGTCATACAAGAAATTGATATCCCAAAAGGAATAGCCTGCAACCCTCTTACAGCAGATGAGTAAATCACCCCTTTGTCGCTCTGGTCACATTCTATCCCACGTCGCTGCACTGAATGCAAACTCATACAAGATTCTTACCCCGTTCACATGCCGTAGTGCCACGTCAAGCTTGCTCTCACGCTCCTCAATTTCGCGGATCATTTCGTCTCTCAGGCGCCGAAGCCGGTCCTCTTCCTGTGGGAAATGAAAGGTGGAGGAAAGACAGATACGGAGCGTATCATGCATGCACGTATATGTGCAACGCCAGAGAGAATACCGGCACTCACAGCCACCCTGCTTGACACGGTGCAGCCCACATATACACAGGGTACTATTCATCACAGTTACAGTCGGTGTCTACAACTTGGTGTCATGTTGCCGGTGTGTGAGGTCGGCCAGAGCGCGCGTTCGGTGTGGGTGGAATTAGTTACAGTCTACTCCTGATATAACGAACACCGTTGCGCACGAGAATTAGTTCTTTTTAGCCGAAGATTGTTATAACAGAAATGCATTCACTCCATACAAACAGCATGTTCCGACTGGAAAGGGGCCCATTACTGTATGAGCACACTTGGTTTTCATGCGGCCCTACAAGAAACGGCTTGTTACAAACGAAAAAAGTTCGTAGTAAAGGATCAACTTTGTTTGGGTTCAAACAGGGACATGAAAGTGGTTCGCTATATCACGAAATTCGCTGTGTACGAGTTCGTTATAAGTGGAGTCGACTGAATCAACATGGCATTCTCATGATAACCTGGGAAGTGGCTGGCACTGTTTAAGCCGGTAAACATGCATTTGGCTGTGATTGATATTGGTTGGTTGGGAACCCAGGAACATAACACATAAACATGACAGGTGCAGGGGCGTCGCACACGGTACGGTCACTACGGTATTGACCGTACCACTATTTGCCCCAAGTACCCCGTGAATCAAAAAAATGCACTGATTTGGGCTCTAAATTGCCAAAATGTTCGGCTCAGCCATCCCTCCCCCACGGGTAAATTGCACTTCAGTTGGCTGACCATATCACACTAAAATACCTTCCGACGCCCCTGAGGTGTCTATGCAACCTTAGACGTTGTAGAGTGCCCAATGTCCAGTGGACAGGGCTGGTAATGGGTGCCTGTTTATGAGAAATATTGCAGGCTGTGCCTGGCTGATGAATCGGCTGAGCAAAAACTTGGCTAGTCCCCTCAGTAAATTCACGATGCAGAGCATAGATTGCATACATGGAACCACTGAGTTGGCTTGTACTAGCGTACTGCTGTGCAGCAGATTGCAATACAGTACCATGTGGAGCCAGCAGTTAACAATTCTGTCATTAGGAGACTAGTAATAGTTGCTGACCTGCATTCGCAGCCGGTGCCTCTCTGTCTCAATTTGATTCGTGGCCTCTTCGTCAAGCTCCTGAGCTCTCCGGTCTAGGTCCCGGGTTTCCCTAAATAGCCAGAAAAAAAGGATAGTCGAGGGACATGAACAAGCTTCAAACTCCACTTTAGCAACATTCCAAATTTTCACAAGTAATTTTCATGTTATCTCATTGGGTGGGACACAGGCAAAAAAAGAAACTGGACACTACAAGTTAATACAGCAAATACACTGGTTAGGAGAGACTAAAGAACTCAGTCAAAACCAATAACATTATTACCTTCATCTCTATGGGATTAGCCTATCAATAATCGACCCACTACATGTATTGCAGTCTCCTATAGCACTGAAGCATCACACGCGTGCACGGTGATGATAGCGATACTACAGCAGAAGCCATAGCAGCTTGTGCTGGGTTAGCACCATTCGGCAGCTTGCAAGGCTGAAGAGCCACTATTCAGCCTGGTCTACACCTCACAGCTCTGAAGTGGCTTTTTCTGGCCAGTGAATCCCTTCTTTTTGGTCTTTTTTCTCTTTTTTTTTCACGCACACACATCACACCACATACTCGGAATGCACTGGCTGTTGGTAACCACCCAGGAGAATGAAAGAAAAGTCAGGAGGAGTCTGAGAATGAGAAGAAAGACGTGTGTGCCCATAATCGTCGGGAATCACACACACATAGACACACACACATACATACACACATACACACAAACACACACGCATGCATACACACACACACACACACACACACACACACCCACACACACACATACATACACATGCACGAATGCACACACACATACACACACACACACACACCCACACACCCACACGCACACACACACCCACACACACACACGCACACACACACCACACACAACACACACACACACACACACACACACACACACACACACACACACACACACACACACACACACACACACACACACATACACACACACACACAAATACATACATACATACACACAAACACCCTACCTACCGTTGTAAGTCGGTGCTCATGCGCTCACGCTGCAGCTCGGCGTCTTGCAGTTGCTGTGATACAGTGTCAAGGAATGATGAGAACGGGTCCAGTAGCTCTGGTCGCGTCAGCCTCAGTTTATCCCACAGTAACAGCAGATCGCCATGTCTACACATAATAGAGTAGCAAGACGGGAACACAACAGTTATCTAGCTAATATCTCGCCGTCTGCTTCTTTTCGTTTTCTTGCATTCCCCCTTCAGCTTTCTTCCTCTGATGGCCAACTAACTTCCACCAGGTTTGGCTTTTGTACTTGTACGAATACCTCTTTGCCTCTGTGCCTTTGTGTGGTCTTGGTAAGAAAATAAACAAAATAAAAACACCTGTCTTGCTTTGTTCAATGGGCACTGGATGGCATTCACTTTAAAACTAGAAACTGGCCAACTTTAGAAGTATTCATTAGTTGAGGGAATGGAAAAGAGAGAAACGCACAAACATTATCTTCGATACGGTCCATTTCAGTTCGGGCTCATATCACAAATGCCACTTCACGTAAAAAAAATGCAGAGAAATCGCATACAGAACACGATTGCATCTCTGTGGAGCAGTGTCTGTGGCGGTGTTGTGTTTAGATCAATTTAGTAGTGCTATGCGTTGATGAGAATCTTCGCGCACGCACTTATAAGATGTAGAGGCATCCAAACACTTACAGTACTGAGTACTACAGACAGCTAACATACCTTCCCTTCACCATATTTATCTGAAATTGTCTTCATTCATGTCACATGAAAATCGATTTTGGAAAACTTTCATGACTTCGTTCTTGTGTGGCAATGACAGCTGAGTTTGTTCTCTTTATTGCTATTTTAGAATTGTTGTCTCCGTGTCGATTATATTCATGTATTTGTGCATACCTTCATATTATCCACTTGTACATATCTTCATGCATTCACTTGTGAATATCTTCACACATATCCTCAACCTATGCGACTAGATACAATCTCGCAGGTACCAAATCAAACAGTGCCAGTTTCTCCAGCTGTCTGAACAACAAAATGGTGCACAGCACAAAGGAGGAGTTTGCCTAAGGCAGCTCGCCTCAATGCATTCCCTAAGATACGGTTAGTTTACCCTTTCAGTGCTGGAAAGTAGGTATCCAGCTCGGATTCAGTTCCACTGTGCATGTCACTGGCCCGCCGCTGGACATGGGATTTCACTTTGAACGATTCGGCCTTGGCTGCAGAGCGGTGGGTAGCATCGGCCGAGTGCCGACGATGCTCCTCCCCTGCTGGCACGCCGTGGAAAGGAGACAGGCGCCGTGCCGATGCACTAGCACCCAGAACAGGCTTGCCGTCGAGGCTTCCCCGCGCCACGACCTCGCGTGACTCTTCCTCAACGGCCGTCAGGAAAAGCGCCTCGAGCTCTTCCTCAGCATGGCGCTGCTGAGGGCTGAGCAGCTGGAGCAGCGACCGTACACGTGCCTTCGGCCAATGCCAGTCCTCTCTGAGCAATTTCTCGAGAAGCTCACAGCTGGGGTCAACATTATAGTGATCTAGCATGGCTTTGACTCGACCAGAATAAGCACCTGTACACGGCGGCACAAAAGACAATACAATGCAATGAGATTCGAATAGGCCTCGCCAACACAAGATCTTTACTACAGCGATGAGTTCTATCTGTGAGACAAACACTAGTGGATCTGAAAATTTCCTACTCGATTTTCCTGAGACATTCATCAGGGAAATCTGCAGTAACAATAGTACTATCTAGGCAAGGAAATCTGCCTTTTAACAATAGTACTAGCTAGGCAGGGAAATCTGCCTTTTAACAATAGTACTATCTAGGCAAGGAAATCTGCCTTTTAACAATAGTACTAGCTAGGCAGGGAAATCTGCCTTTTAACAATAGTACTAGCTAGGCAGGGAAAGCCGCAGTATAAGTGCAGGGGGAGTGAGAAGTATAGAGGTGAGGTGTAATTAAAGATACTAACAGTGCATGTTTGAAGTAGGTGTGAACTGATAACAGGGATGGTTGAAAAGTAGAAAAGTGGCAACAAAAGGTGAGTGTAAGAGATGCCAGGCTGAGATGATGCAAGAGAGCTTGAGGTGCAGGTGTATGTGTATGCATGTGTGTGTGTGTGCAGTGTGTGTGTGTGTGTGTGTGTGTGTGTGTGTGTGCGTGCGTGCGTGCGTGCGTGCGTGCGTGCGTGTGTGTGAATGCGTTAAGAGTAAGTTTGGTGACGTTTGAGTCTTTTTCATTTCGGTTTTTCTTCTATTTCCCTTCACCTATCCCTGTTATCAGCTTCACACCTACACGTGTACCAGAAGCACTTACAGATTGTCTTTTTAATCACACATCACCTTTTTACTTCTCACTGCCCACACATTTTATTGCACGTATATTACATCTCCCTTACATTTCCTCTCACATCCTTTCCCCAGCTGGCCTGCACCCATCAGTTTCCCCGTGTTACTGTATAACTCCTTTCATTCCATTGGCCTAGGTGACCGCTTGCGTGGCCATATTTGCCGTAGCTACTCAGGCCCTTCATCTAGCTCCCTCTCTCTTTCTTACTCTCTCTCTCTCTCTCCCTCTCTCCCTCTCTCTCTCTGTCTCTCTGTCCCTCTGTCCTCTGTCCCTCTGTCTCTCTGTCTCTCTGTCTCTCTGTCTCTCTGTCTCCGTCTCCGTCTCCGTCTCTCCTCCTCCCTCCTCCTCCCTCCCTCCCTCTCTCTGTCTCTGTCTCTCTCTGTCTCTCTCTCTGTCTCTCTCTCTCTGTCTCTCTCTCTGTCTCTCTCTCTCTCTCTCTCTCTCTCTCTCTCTCTCTCTCTCTCTCTCTCTCTCTCTCTCTCTCTCTCTCTCTCTCTCTCTCTCTCTCTCTCTCTCTCTCTCTCTTCTCTGTCTCTCTGTCTCTCTGTCTCTGTCTCTCTCTGTCTCTGTCTCTCTCTGTCTCTCTGTCTCTCTGTCTCTCTGTCTGTCTCTCTCTCTCTCTCTCTCTCTCTCTCTCTCTCTCTCTCTCTCTCTCTCTCTCTCTCTCTCTCTCTCTCTCCATCCATCCATCATGTAGTAGTTCATCTTACTTGCAATCCTTGATGAGAATGAGACTGCAACGCAACGCTAGCAAGATTGCGTCCTTGGATTTTAACAACATTTTTCAAGGAAATTATCTGTGTCTTCGCAAAAATCTCCACCCCTCCTCCCCACTTTCAAGCCCTATTCAAGCTGTGACACTCGAGAAGCCTGAAGGAAGAATTGTGTTGTTGTTTTCATGAATCAGTTGTTGGAGCTGCTCAATAATAAAGGCGTGCGCCGTTGATTTGTTTTGGTTACTATTTTCTTCTCGTCGGCATATCTTCTAACATTAGCCCATAACTGTAGCCCATCTGTTCACGTCATGATCAGGAGCGGACCCTGAAAAACAAACAGAAGAAAAGGTTCAAACGGCATTGATCCTTTTCCCTGGGCTCAACTGAAGAAAAGGCTGATGGAAAGGCTGACGATCCACAGCACATGAACAGGTGAGGTTGAAAACAGACGCTCGCATGATTGTATCTTTGAACTTGCGTATGATGTTTTCTTGCGTTTCCGGTAAAGAAAATGACGCAATTTGCTGCTCTGAATAGTGAGCTTTTTGGGTTTTCTGCTGCTTTTTGCCACTGCTTTCATGATAGTCATGACACCAGTGAAACATGCTAGTGTTTTTTCTTACTAAAATAGAGAGGTTCCAGGCTGTTCCAGGCAGTGTTTTTTATTATATGCTCCTCGCAATCTGAGAATTCCCAGATCGCTTGCGCGTTCTGAGAATTTTCAGATTGCGAAGACAATGACTGCTTGCGCATTCCGGGAATATTCAGATTATGCAGGGAACAATTGCTTGCACATTCTAAGAATTTTCAGATTGCGCAGCACAATCTGAGGATTCCCAACAGATTCGTGCAGGGTGGTGCAATCTGGGAATTTCCAGATAGACTATTTGATTTGAAGATTGCGCCCTACATGGATTCGCTGTGCTCTTCATGCTTTTTCAGCGAAATTCACGGATTGCGCCCACAGATTGCAATCCACATGAAATCCACAGATTGCATGGCCCACACACATGAATTTTGCGCCACACGTACGGTGTACTTGGGTCTGTCCCTAGAAGTCTCACGGAAGCTCAGGCACGCGGATTCACCGTGCCCGGTCTCGTGCCACAAATATTTTCGTGTCAACCCAGAATGCGCGTGCAATCTGCGGGCAATCTGGAATGTTCAGATTGCACAAATTTTCAAAATGCGCGGAGCATAGTACACTCATACCTCGGCTATCCGGGCACCGAAGTTAAGGGCACTTCGGTCTACCGGGCACCCTTTGGGCAAGTTTCAGTGGAAATGTTACTTTTCACTTACAGAGCAACTGTTCAGTACATGTGGTAGTGGTCTACCAGAGCAATCACACTCCGTGAAAAAAACAAAACTACTCTTTTGTCACTTTTTGTGGAAATAGTGACGGCAAATGCCATCATACCTATGACCTTTCCCCGTCAAAATGTATGTGTAGACTCAGAGTTACATACATTTCAAAGTTCTGGGCAGCGCCTGGTCCCAAGGACCGCCCGGATAAACGAGGTATCAATTCAGTGTATACATAATTACAATTACTTGTGTCTCAGTGTGACCACTGACTCGGGGGGGGGGGGGGGGGGGGAATTACAAAGCATGCCATCAGTAGGCATCACTGGCACAGCCACTAATGAACGGGCATAGACATCAACATTAGATTCCCCTTCCCCCGTGCACAAGCCAGTTAATTCAAAAGTCAACATGTCAAAACTGAAAATTATGATTTTCTTCTCGATAACCTCATCAAAGCCCCGCAGATACGATTTCCTCGCAACAGCCCACATACTATCAATTCTCATGTCACCACCCAAGTATATTATGTACCTTTCGATTTGGCTATTTTAATATTGTTGCTGAATACGCTTTTTCAATATCATTGAATGTGCATTCTGCTTCGGGCTATTTTTTTTAGTCTATTTAGAGTTCTGTTCTTTCCACCACCAAATTCACATACAAGTGCGAGCAATATGTGCCGATGCCGACAATAATTTCGAGCCCTAGCTGTGCGGATGTGGGGAAGAACAGAGTGGGGGCAACATTCCGCATTTCCAGCGAACCGCGGCTTCATCATTCTCCACATTCTGCATTCCACGACAGTTTCCGTGACTTACTTTGTGAGACCACATCAGTTGCCACTTCTTCATTGGCTTTTGCGTGCTGGTCTTCATCACCTTCCCCATTATTGTCTTCACCTTGCTGCGACTGTTGCGAAGTCTGCTGACTCCAGGCGATAAAACGCTCGGCGAAGGCGTCGAATGACACGTGCCCGCCACCGTCCACATCCAGCTCAGCGAATAGGGCGTCCGCGTCGCTTTCCGTCAGGTCATTCAGTTCCAAACGCCTGCACCCATCCAGTAGGTTCTCCTTGGTGATTGCACCGGTGTTGTTCGGGTCGCAGGCGTTGAACAGTAGTCGGAGTGCTCCTCGATCATACGGCTCCACGGAGGAACTGCCGTATCGACAGGGCTTTTCCGCCGACACCGTCAGAACGTCCGCCATGGGCCGTGTAGCGAGAGAAGGCTGCGCTCTATGCCTTCCAACAACAGACGACACTTCGGATACACTCTTGCGAAGCTATCGGAGAGGCTAAGTTTGTCGTGGACATATCAGGACGACAGGCGGACATTCAACAAATCTGACACAAGTCGAAATACCGGTTTCCTCCTTTGCCTGCAGTCAAGTCTGTATGCGCGGAAAGAAAAATAATGACTATGACTGACAGAGTGTCAAGAATGTGGGCTATCTACTAAGTAACTAAGTACTAGGGTTGTTTCCGTACATCGCTTGAACCGAAGCGGAAGAGCGCCGGCGTGTCACGCCGTGCACAGGACCTAGGAACAAAGCCGGACACCGAATTCGCGAACTCACTGACTCGTACCGATCGTGCGTGATGTGCCTGTCGACGTCCACAACTAGGTGTAGTAACTTTGGCATTGATGATTTTTTGCTTTTATTTTGACTGAGTTTTGCCACAGTCAGTGTTCAACGCCAACGGTAACGGATGCTGTGTCCAAGTATAAAGCTACAACAGTTACTCATGATTGACTGGCAACGACGCAAGTCATCACTGACATCAGCTCTCCTCCCAGTGTCGTTTACTAGGTCTTCGCTTGCTGTCCAGCTGGTTTCGGAAATTCTCCATCCACGGCACCACTACAACAGACTACAGACTCAGTCAGTTCATGACTGGAGACTCTCGACCCATTACAAGTGCAACATAATGGGTGGTGTTTTGTTTGACCTGGTCACCGAGCCTGGTGCAGTTGTTGAAGTGCCAAGAGTTGGCAAGACTCCCCAAGAGGCGGTCAGTGTGTCGTTTGGACATACAGTAGTTAGCGGTGAGTACATGTAATCATACACCTGCAGTGCTAGCATGCTATGCGTTCAATCATGTTCATTTACATTGTGATAATGCCACCCACGGCCCAGTGTCAGATTTCGCAGATGGTCCAAAATCTATGGGTATAAAAAAAAGATAAATCAGATAGGTAGACAAGGTACTGGATTTCCTAGATGGACCGTTGTGGAAAATGATCGTATAAAAGGAGCCCGCCCGGGCTTGCTTGGAAGCCCATGAAAAAATTGTAACCTGCCGAATCACACAGATATAATTCCACAATGGATCTTGGATATCACGACACCCCAGTGAGAGAGGGAAAATAATGTTATTCCTGAAGTGCTACCGTATGGATTACATGTAGTACACCCGTGCTCCAGACAATTTCCGTACTATGCCAGAGTATGTCTTATCATGGTAAAAAAGGAGAAGGACAAAATGTTACGAGTTATGACTAACTGTCCATCAACGTAACCAGATTATTATAGTCAGCGAGTGTGACAAAATGGCACAAAACTGACAGGGAGACATTCGGCGACCTGACACCTGACACCTAGCTCCTCCTTGACTATATAAAATCTGGTTACGTTGGTGGACAGTTTATAGTCATAACTCGTAACATTTTGTCCTTCTCCTTTTTCACCATAATTTAATTGGCTCAACATCCGAGTTGAATTATGTCTTATCAGTGTATTTACGTACTAACTGCTATGTCATAGTGATGCATGCTGAAAAGTTGCCAACATCGCAACTTCTAATGAGAGTGTTCTTGTGCATACAGTGATGCCAAAACAACCAAAAGAGGAGCGGAAATGCAGACGTGCAGAGACAGCAAACCCTTCACCCTTTCCTGCTATGAACTACAACTTTGCACAGTGCAAGTAGCCTGTTGCACGCATCCTCCATCGTTTCAGTGCACGCAAAAGGGAATGCACATTCCGCAACTACCGTAGATGATACTGTTTCTCTGAAATGAGTCTGTGAAGGCACACGAGAAAATTAACGAGTATGCATTTGTCCGACATGCAGTCTGTGACTTGACCTTTTGACGCCCATGCCATTGGGCCAAGTTGCGGAAAGGTTGCAAAGTAGTTTGCGAAAATGAATGAAGTTGCGAAAGTTGCGATTTCTTCCAAAACAATGAAAAGTTGCGGAAAAAGTGTCGAACATCTTTGGGAAAGGGCTGATCATTACATGAAGCCGAAAATATTCGTGTTGCGCCCTAAATATTGTTTGATGGTCTGACATGACTTTTTGTATTATTGCCCAAAGCCGAAATCGATATCACCTCATAGTAGTCTACAGCCCATTACACCCATTGTTGCGGCAGATCAGACCTTGTAGCAGCTACGACTAGCCTACGAGTACGAAGTGGGGAGTCATCAAAGGAACTCCCTGGATCTTTAAAATCCTTTCCATGACTGTTGTCTTCCTGGTGCTTTCTGCGCTGGTCGCGGCTGTGTAGGTCTGGAATGAGAATACACTGCATCAAGGCTGAGAGTGGCCTGTGCACATCCAATTCTTACTTCACACTGTTCAGTGTAAGTCATATACGCTGCATTCTTCCATGCGGGGTTTAACTATCGGGTTATCATGTCTACTTTTCTTCATTTTCTCTTCCAGCTAATTAGCTTGCACGACCATGGACTACAGTACAATGTACGGCTCTGTAGTCAGATATCTCATCTTTCACTTCAAAGAGTCCTGAGCAAGGCGTGAAAGTGGGGGATGGATATGACTACGGTACACTTTCTTCACATCACACTGTTCTACTTCAAATGGGTTCAAAGCCTCGCATCTCTCCTCCAAGGCAAAATTTGCAAAGGTAAGCTGACTGTGCTGAATTGTTATCCAATGTGATGAGATACAATATAAATTGCATGTCGTTTTCAACCAACATGCTGTCAAGCAGACCATTGGGAGTAGTTATGGTGGAAGTGGACGGGGAAGGGTTTGTAAATATATATGTTGGACTCAGTAGAGCGTCCAGCCCCTATATGATGTCCAACCCCTATATAGAGTCCATTGGTCCAAAATCCACTGTATTGAGTCCAAACTTGGAATCAACTGTGAGCTCAAAGTTTCGATGGACATCACTCCCTGTATAGAGTCCAGCCAATTGGCTTCACCCTAGAGTCCATTGGTCCAAAATCAACTGTACGGAGTCCAAACTTTGAAATCAACTATAAAGAGTCTTTATGTGGACAACCAAAAAAGTCCAGCCAATTACGCATCCCCTATCGAGTTCGAAAATAGACATAGGATCTGCTGTAAGCAGTGAATATTAACCAGAAAACGGCCTCTCCCTTTAATCCTATACATCATTCACTTCTCAAGATTAAAAAATATGTATCGAGGCGCCACTGCAGCCACTTCATTACATGAAAAACCCTACAAACACCATCCTCAAATCAAGTGGTCTCTTCGCAGACGCTGCAAATTACAATATCTCAATCATGTAGTGTTGCCAAATTATTGTGCACGCACACATACATGCACACACCCACACAACGCCAAGAAAATACCTAGAAAAAAACCAAGAATCGAAAGAGAATAATGGAGAGCCCAGGATTAATTATTTGTTTTCAAATTATTGTGCGCGCGCGCGCGCGCACACACACACACACACACACACAAACTTATACAACGCCAAGAAAACACCAAGAAAAGAGTAGAGACACAATACACACGCAACTCCAACAGCCATGCAAACGCCCACCCATTTACATGTAAAGTCAAGATGGGTAACAAATAATTATACGAAACGAATGCATACGGGGACGGGTACACGCACGTTTACATACACGTAGTAGTGTAAGAGAGTAACATAGTGCAGTGGTCAGCATAATACTAGCACATGCTGAGAGTGCAATAGCAAGCTTCACCATTGCTCATGGCCATGCAAATGTTCAGCAGCACTCAGTTCCGCAAGCTTCTGAAGATCAGCACACCTGCAACCAATAGATAGCACAAGGATATGCTTATTACCGTAATGATGCATTGGAGCACACAACTACCAAGTTCTCAACGAATGTGATGCTCAATGAAAGTCAACCCACTCAAAGACCTGTGAACAGGTGACGGTGGGGACAATAATCTATTAGTAATATGAGGAATAAGATCGTTTGTGCACACTCAAGACGCACAGACACACCAACATACATGTAGTGTACACAGTGTTTCACTTCACTGCAACTAAATTCAAATGAGATGATTTGAACAATCTGTACAGCGTTGCTGTCAGCCACGGTCTTCCCCAAGATGGAAATGCAATGATTTGTTGTCACGAGACAGTTTCACTGACACAATGTCATGTTCGTGACATCAAAACGGTTACTTCAGGGAATATGAGTATTAGCTTGAGAAGCTTTTTCTTGTCATTGGCATACAAGCAATCCTCCTAGTCCTACTACTACTACTAGTACACTGGCACTGCGTTTGTGGATCCCATTGTATTTGACATCATACTACAAGAAGAGTGTCGTGGAGTTCACATAATTATCACAGGGATAAAAATACATTTCTCATGAAATAAAAATTGATGATAGCTAGACGATCATAATACGATTGATGCAAAGTCCTTGCAGTCCTCGAGGACTATTACGAAGTCGTTGATTACTTTTAGTGCATTCATTCAAGCAACATCAAACAAACGCGATACGCTCCTTGAAAATGGAAAAAAATTCAAGCATAACGACAGAACAGCAGACCAATCGAAACGAGTAAAAGCTTCCTTACCTCAGTCATCGTCCTGCCATGTAGTTGGACAGCCTTTTGACACGGTGGTACAGGCAGCTCTTGTCCAGTCAAACAGGGGTATCCTTGTGGCGTCGAACGAAAGAGAGTGTCAGTGTATCTGACTCGTCAGATTGCAACTGTGCTGAACTTTTCTCTTTCTCCGCTTTCTGCTTTCATCCCTCGCTCTGATGAAACCGTTCAAACGTCTTACTGGCAGCAATGGCCAGCCAAACAGGGGATCCTTGTGGCGTCGAACGAAAGAGAGCGTCAGTGTACCTGACTCGTCAGATTTGAACTGTGCTGAACTTTTCTCGTTCTGCAATTTCTGCTTTCATCCCGCGCACTGATGAAACGTCTTCAGAGAACCACAAGACGCTTTCCAGATTTGATTTTGAACGTCTCCTTATCCTCCTTGGTTACATCGAGACAGATTACTGTCAGCAACTGCACAGCAGAATTGGCAGCCATGGCTGAAGTGAAGAAAGGAATGCGCTGCCACGAGGCAAGCAAAACTGAAAATGTGTTTGTTCTCTTTCGGGCACAACCGACACAGGACGGCGTGACTGGATAAACTGGACTCCTGGACTGTGAATAGGGGACTTGTAGAAAAAGTGTACTCCTTATAGTAGTCCAGCGGCCCAAACTTCCAAAAAAAATTCCGTTTCAGTCTCAAGCAGACAACCTGGGTTCTTCACTACGGCCTAAAGTATGTATACCTGACCTGGATTCCGCTTGTTGTCATCTTCAGAGTTAGGGCAGAAGCTCAGGAG